CAAAAGATTTGTAGACTGAAAACGTGGCTGCTTTAACTACTCATTATCGTAAATTTTCAACGAACGCTTGTTGTTGGTCCTTGCGGTGGTTATTTAACCTCGTAAAAATATTGAAAATATTGAAAATCATGAAAATTGAAAGCAAAATTTACCATCCATGAGAACTATTTTGCAAAGTTTTGTTAAGTTTTCTTCGAGGGATACCTTCTCAGCCACGGTTCTGTTCAGCCTGAGGCCTGTCTAATACCGAAATTTACATCGAGCATGCGGAGCGAATATTTTGAATAGCGAAGGGCATTGAATACTAAAACTAAATTAGGCACAAAATAAAAAAATATTTTTTATTATCTTCTAAGTTCTTGCTTGAACTCATTTGTTCAGAGTAACAAGATTGCTCAGGGTGGATAAAAACTGCAAACAGGGTTGCTGAAAACTTATGCTTAGAGGTAGACTAAAAAGTTCTTGTGACACACCTTTACTATCAAGAGGGTGATCTCAGTGACTGGTTTTTATTAAAAAAAATTGCTATATCCTGGAACGATTCTAGTCTTTGTGAAAAGAAGAAGGGCAAACGTGCTAAAGCACACACTAATGTACGCACAGAAGAGTTTGCCAGATATTAGGAGCAAAGCGAGTGCTCAAAAGTCCTAATTACAGGAGCTAATTAACGACACTTCTCAATATATATTACTAAAATTATTGGTGTTCCTGTAGGGTCAGTAACGTCAGGAAACTTGTGAACGTAACTTATCATAGGCAAACAATAGGTAATTTAGTGTTAACAACTGAGTTAAAAACGTAAATTGGCTGCCGTAAAGAATAAAAAGGCTGACGTTTCGAGTGTTAGCCCTTCGTCAGAGCGATTGACGAAGGGCTAACGCTCGAAGAACTAGGCTTTTTACTCTTTACGGTGGCCAATTTACGTTTTTAACTCAGTTGTTAACACTAAATTACCTGCTATACTCTCCCACCGACGCAGCACCACAGTTTCTTTAGAAACTTACCCCCTTTATTCATAGGCAAACAATCAGTTTTGTATGCGGGCTCACGCGAGCCAGTGGCTCGTTTTCTTTACGTGTCTTAGTATTTCTAATGACATCTGGCAGGCGTTGTTTGGAAGTATCACATCTAATTACCAATAGATCTGCTCAGGTGCCTTAGCTATCGACAACACGAAAGTTGAAGAGGAAAATGATATCTTTAAACGTCTGAGACTGCCAGAGAGTGTGTATAGGCCTGGGTCCGTATTTACATAAAGCCACCGACGACTAAAAACTGCACCGTAGTGTACCGAGCCTGGGTCGAGGGTATAAAATGTATGCAAATATTGTGAAGAAAACGATTGAAAATTATGAAATACGCTATAAAATGAAAGAAATTGTTACCACAGCCGGGCTCGATCATCCTCGGTTGTCCATCAACATAATTAATTGTGTGAGGTTTTCATATCTTCTCTGAGATCGACAATAAGTCTGAGATCAGAGGAGTTCTACCTAACACAATTCCTTACAGTGTAAGCCAGTGACGGACTGTGTCTCTTTAATTAAGTGAAATGTTTTATGAAATCCTAAACTTATGTACCACTGTGAGATGATAGCTTGCAAAATCACCCAAATGAGACACATCTCTTTGATCTTTCCCATCTTAAACGGTTCGCACAAGCAATTCGGCGAGAGGTTTTTGACATGCAGTATTGCGCATGCGTCCCACCTTATCTTGCATTACCTTATCACCTGCCAGCTTTGACTCAGTTGGTTTTACTTATCATTCCCTGCTGGTAAACAAAATAGCAATCACTCACAATAATAGAAAGTTATAAGTCCTGGATAACGTACACGCAGCCTCAAGATCTATATCTGCCACACGGGGAGGTACAAGTTTAAAGTCTGTTCTAACAGGATTTGTCGTGAATTTTCTTTAACTTTTGGATTTGACATAAGGTGAGTTTGAAGTCTTGATGGCGTGATCACTTGACACAACGGGTGCCTGAAGATATTTTGCCGGTAGGGCACGACAGGGTCCCGTTATAAATGGAAATAAACAGATATTCGTGATTTCAGGATAACTAAAAGGTAGAACAATGAAAATTTTAAAAGCGCGTTTTAATTTGCCAACGAATTTTTTAATTTGCCAAACCTTTCAATACACAGCATAAATTACATGCACAACCGCATCTATCTACGACTAAGTCAGTAAAATAAAGACCAACCCGGGGGAGGGGAAGAGGGGGAAGGGGGAGAGAGGGGAGGGGGGAAAGGATTTTGGTTGTGTCACAATTAAATTTATCTGATCCCCCATGCCACTTAGTCTTTGTAACACTCTTAGGCCCCTCCTCCCCCGTTCATTGACAGTAAATTGGCAGTTAATTTCTCACGGTCTTCGCTTCATACTCTGTTATTACTCCGTTATGTACTCTGTTATATACTCTTATATACTCCAATATACTCTTATACGCTGTGGTATACTCCGTTAATACTCTCCTCCCCCTAAAAATCATGTGATCTCCCAAAATCCTCCTCCACCCTGTCAAGGCGAAGAATGATGACTGGTCCCTGACATTATGTAACGAAATTGATAATGATGACTGCCACACAAATGAGTGGTATGATTAAGAATTTACAATTATTGATAACACTAAGTTTGTGTTCTATTTATAATTTGTACTACAGTAGTAAGTTTTGGCCTTCCCAGAGAATTAGTGAGTTTTGACCCGTGGCACGCGACACGCCCTCCTTCAATCGGAAACGTATTGGAGATATATCAATATTGCTTGAGAAAGATGTTTTGTATCTTCTCACGAGCGTGGAACAAAGAAAAAATTCTGAGTTCCCATGAGGAATCGAACCTCAGACCTTCGGATTCCGCGCTCCGATGCCCTACCACTGAGCCACAGAGACTCTACAGTGAGCGAGGTCTATTACGAAGTTCATGTAACACGCGACCTGCATACTGCTAGGATCAGCAATGTCGATTGCGTCATATTTGGTAATAGAATAAGAGAGAAGGTAAGTTTTGAGCTTGGTAAAGAAATAGAGAAGGATGTTTTTCGTCTTATGGGGACAAAGAAAAAATTCTGTATCGGAGCGCGGAATCCGAAGGTCTGAGGTTCGATTCCTCATAGGGACGAAAAATCATCTTTCTCTATTTCGAGCTCAAAACTTACCATCTCTCTTATTCTATTTACAAACAACATTCCTTATCACGCTTTTTCATTTATTTCACACAAAATAGAACCGGAGATGCTTGGGAGTGGCGTCGTGATTATCACAGTCGTTTGCCTCGTGTGCTGCACATGGTTTCTGTGCATATGGTCCAATGAACTTCGTAAGAAATATCACGTGGATTGAAATTGAGGGCAACTGTATCTTCGAGACCTGTCGACTGCGAAATCATATAAAGTCGCCCGAGAATAACATAATATTACTGTTGAGGGACATTCAAGTTATCTGACAATGGACGAGAGTCTTCTTAAGGGTCAGTTTTTAAAATTGAATAGGGGAAAATAAATGGTTCATTGGCTGCTTTTTCGGAACAAGGTTTATTGAATGCAGTCAATTCGCTTCAGGGGAAGTATCCGAAATTGATCTAGCATATTTTAGTTTATTTAATTTCTCTACGTTCCGAAAAAACAACGCATTTTTGTACTCTGAATAAAATGTGGACTGTATTCAGCTTGTCGTGAAAGCAGTTTGCAGTTAGTGCTAGAGCCAGAAAATGAGTGGATAAACGGTAAAAAGTATCATTATTTCGTTGACAGAGATAATGAAATCTTCCAAACACATCATAATCCTTATTGTTACCCAAGATGACCATATCTTCATTGAATTTGAATGATCAATTTCTGCTAGGATATATACCTTAAAAAAAAGTCATGTTAAGTGTTGTGGAACGGTCATTTTTCCCACTCGACTTTTCGTAGTAACTTTTACACAAAATTCCTTTTATCGCTTGTAGCGATGAGGAGGTTTTGCTGAAACTACACGAAAGTGTTCGTGACCAATGAGAAAATGATCGGCATGACTAGCAGGCTGCAGTAACAGGGGAGTGGGAAACGTAAATTTACACTTGTAAGATCTATTTCCACCAGTGTACCCTTGGAAGAAATTTATTGTCGATGAGCACATCGGACCGTTTGTAGATCGAAAGATTAGAAAATAATTCAACTTGTCCCTCTTGTAGTAACTCATTTAACCACTTCTTTCTAAATGTAGGTCACCTGGTGTAGATCGATGCACGTAAATATTTCTCTGTTATTGTATTACGGTTGAACATGATCGAAAGCCGGGAGGAGATCAGTTTCAGAATGACTCGAACCGATTGAAGACTGGTTTTTGGGGAGTGCATGTATTTTCGGCTTTTTTTTATTTTCAGTCAAACGTGCGGCAAGATAAAAAAGTTGTAATATTTCAGTAGAAACGAAAAGCAAGCCTTGCTCGTTAATAAATCTCTCTCTCTCAAAAATTGTCATAGTTTAAACCAAATTTAAGAGATCCTCGTAGCTATGAACACTACTGAAGTAAGGTCTGAAAAAATTCAGTCAGTACAGCGCTGCACCGGTATCGCAGAGGTCATGAGTTCAAATCCCGTTCGGGCCTGAATTTTTTTTCAGGTCTTATTTTAACTACTAGTTCAGTTCGTAGCTGCGAGGATCGCTTATATTTGTTTATTCTACCGCAGTGCACGTATATGATTTTCATATATCTACAGTCATTATAAAACCAAATTGTTGTAAGAATAAACACAGCTCGAGACAGTTTATTGAAATATTGCATAGCGAGATCGAGCGCCCACAGCTTCTCAGTATTTTATTTATCCCTGAAAAAGAGGTCACAAGCTGTCACAAACACTTTTATCTTAGTAGGGCTCAGTCCTCCTCAATGAGGCATGACGAGGCAATATTCAAATTACCAGTATTTATGTAAAGACCTAGCCGCCCATCGATATCCTCATGTCACTCCGCCTAGAACTCGAAGAACAGTGTTTCTCAGTACCCGGTGAACATGAAGCTTCAAGTTTTTTCTCTCCTGCTGCTATGCGCGGGTTCGCTTGCAGATCTCTCTGCAGAATATAATAACACCGCATCCTTGGATGGAAACAACTTCAAGATCTACTGGACTCACAATGCTACATCGAACATGATGTATATTGCACTCGAGGTGAAAGCGACGGGTTGGGTAGCATTGGCATTTGCTAAGGAGGAGAGCAGAAACATGGAAGACTACGATACCTGTCTTGGATATGTATCTGGTGAAACGAAAATTTTGAATGTGAGTGCTCTTGATATTTGTTCGCCTCAACTTTAAAAACCTTATTGACGTGTTATTGCATCGAAAAACTGAAGATGCAGATTACCAGCTTTACGAATTGAAAACGTCAAATCGGTTAAAATTTCCTGATTTGTGGGGAAAGAATGAAATGTTTCGTTTTTGTAAGAATTCGTTCACGCTTGTGTTTTTGTTAGAGGTGTTGTTGTTTTACAGTGTTCGACTGTTTTGTTCCTGTGTTTTCTTCTTTTATCAGCCATGTTGTTTGCGTGATACCGGCAGATGGTTCAAAACTTATCAGATATTTACTTGGAACACTTTACCTCTTGTCAATATCACCCAAACGGAAACAAAATCTAGCCAATGAGAACCAGCAATAATCAATATCTTACTGGAAATGATGACTGAAACCGTCATGCACATTATTCTCATGATTGTTCAAAGAAAACAGTTCTACCTCATAGTTTGTTTATCTGGACCAATTACAGCTCAGGTATATTTCATAGATCATTCTTTGGTGTTGTGTTCCTGTCATGGCAACGTCAAATGATTAAATAAAGAGCCCAATCAGAAATATGGAAATTATGCACTCTCATGTTGTTTTCATGTTGACATGTTTTAACCTTTTTATGTTTTCAAAATAACAATAAAAAAATGGAAATATTGGCCCGGTGGTTTTCCCAGGATTTCCACTCTTTCTTGAGTTCTGTCACCGACCCTCCATTCAAAGAAAATGAAACTAGGCTTGGGCAACAGACCGTATCTGTTGAATAAGTCGAATAAATGTAAACATTCTGAAGCTCCGACAATTCGGCATAATAATTGACGTAAGTACGGTTTTCCTTCAAATCTTAAATCTGAGTGATACATGGTCATTATCCAAATTACAAAGCAGTGAGCTTGAACTGCTGCATCGGTTGAGTAAGTCCCTGCGGATTATAATTACGTATTCGACATTCGGTATAAAAAACGTCCATCAAAGAGTCGCTTGAAGGAAAGTTTGACGTTTAGTTTTTTAACCCAAATATTAACAACAAACCGGAACGCTGAAATGCAAGCAAAATTTTCACTATCACAGAAAGAAATACCTCCATACAGCAATAAAATGTGTGTCCACCAACCTCAAGCAATCATGGACTTTTTTATGCTTGATATTTTAATTTCCCCGATGCGCTTTCAACATGAAATTTTCGCAATTTTGGTAAAATCGCGTTACTGCAGTATCGCGTCAAAGATATCGCGAGCGTTATATTGAGCGAAAACTCATTGACTTGCACTCTCGTGCAGAGGACGGCTCAAAAACAAGGGGCAACAGAAAGCGCATTAAAATATGTGGAGATGTTTGTACTGTTGGCTTTATCTTCTGGCCTTATTTAGGTACACATATTGTAAATCTCAAAAACCCCATTTCCACTTTACTGTATCAGTTTATATTACCTGTGAGCTGGTGTGAAAAAAAGATTACTTTTGCAATCGTAATATCTAAGTCTTTATACTTCCTAATGTGGCATGATAGAGATAAAGAAGAAGCAAAGAAAAATATCAGTTCAGAACCCATTTAATGACCATGAAGCACTGAGTCGTATTTTGCTTTCAAACTTTCAGGACTATTTGACAAACGGTCACAGTACACCTCCCAAGGACAATCAGAATGACTGTATGCTTGACGAGGCCATGCAAAGTGGGGGTACTACTACAATCAAGTACCACAGGAAGGTAGATACTGGTGATTCACAAGATATCGTTATTGAGGTAAATTGTTTTCCATTGCAATTTTATATTGAGGGATTCATCGGTGGCCATCATGACCACCGACTAATTATATTATTGCAGGTGGCATCTGCGGCGTAGCAGCACAAAATCAGCAGAACTATGATGTTCTTACACGTATCACTGCTGATATTTAGCTGCTGTAAGGCTGCCACGCGTGATAATTTCGGCTGAGTCATGAGCCTACAAGGGGTCATGCAGAAAGGCCTTTTAGAGGCGGGCGAAGGAAGCTTTAGCTTACCCGAGGCTGTTCTCCTTATGAGATCGCATTTTAAATTTAATTCAAGCATCCCTTTGGTTAAAATGGAAGTATGACAAGGGTAATTTGCTAGATATGGAGGTCTTGTGGGATTTGCTTTGGACTTTGGATTGTCCACCGTCCTCATTTACCTGCGTCCATATCCCCTCAGGAGTTTATAAGGGATTTTTTTGAGCCATCAGAGAAACGTAAACAAAATTCCTGCGGCCCATCTAGTGGGAGTTGAAGTATTCTTATTCTCTTAATGTTTTAACTCCCAAGATCTCATTAGTAATTCTCCCTACTGTCTGCCTTATAGTTCTTGCGATGTTAGTATGGAGAATTTGGTGGTGGATCAACTAATAATCCCCTAATTGATATTTTTCTCTTTTCCCATCACTTGTCTGCTTGATAGCGCACTGATATTGTAAGGAGAAAGTCTTTCTTGGTCATTCATGGGAGGTAAAGGGTTAAGGCTACAAAATCTGTGATAAGTTGACGTTGTGACGCATCATGCCCTTGTCCAAAGAGGACCGTTTGCATGCCTCTAGTAGATGTCATGCACTGTAGTGCAATGACACTGGGGCAGAGTGATCCGTCGTTAAGTTCAATTTCTGGGATTGCTGCAATTGTGGCTGGGCGGCAGTGAAAGAGTGCATTTTTATGTGAAGTTTCTTTTCCACCAGATTAATTTGAATCACACCCTGCCCCATACGAAACTGGTACAGCCAAGAGGAATCCCTAATGATTACCACGAGTGCATTACCTAATTTCGAATGTTCTTGTAAATCGGACCTTCTTTGTTGATTCAGCTTTACTCAAATTGGAATTAAAACAATTTCCCCTTGGGCAAAGCAACAAGAGCAAACCATAGTTTTCCTATTGAGTTTATTGCCAGATTATTATTGTTGTACTAGTGGTTTTAATGACTTTTTCTCTTCTTTTCAGAAAGGTGAAATCGTTGTCGTGTGGGCGTACAAAAATTCTGTAACTTCCCTCTTAAGACACGATGAAAAGGGTTTTAAGACTTTGACCATGATAAACTCCGGTGAATCAGCCAAGCTCAAGAGTTTCTATTGGAAAATTACGGTTGCATCTCTGTCTGTCGTTGTTGCCTTGTTTTTCAAATGAAATGGAATCCAGCCACATTCCCAGCGTGTATTTTTTTGGGACAGCTTCTACCTCCCCTCCCCCCCTAAATGTTGGTCTGCAAAATGAGATAAACTCACTGGCAATAATGATTGATAACATTGGAAAGGGAAGAGGGGCAAAAGGACATTGCAGACGTCCCTCTGGAGAAGTGTCTCAACTATTTATATCTGGGAGTGGAGCTTTGCTCTGATAAAGCGTAATTAGCCGTAAGCCTTTGCAAGTTATTACGTAAGCAGTATGTATGCTATTTGACAACTATTTGTTGTTTGTTACAGTTTGTAATCTTAAGGGAAAATTTCCATTGACTTGCCTAATAAATTTTGTTTACTATGGACTGTGAACTTAAATTAAAAGTGAATATAAGCACATTTCTTGAAGCGGAGGTAAGTTTAATCCTGATCAATGGAAGGGTTATAGCGAGGTAAAGCAATACTGAAACAATTACGGATTCATCTCGATGCTCAGCTCCATATTGAAAAGTGTTCTCGAAAATGAGCAGCCTTCCGGCATTCCAAGCTGAGTCCGTCGGGCGATTTCAAGTCCTGCTAAACCCAAAGATTATTTTCTAATCAAATAAATAACCTTGTTTACGTGATGGCAAAGTCGGAAAATTATTGTCCAATCTAGTTTAGTTGTTTTTTTTAAATGAATTTTCAAAGATCCTCTAATTTGAGCACCTTCATGTTAACGACCGGGGGAACCACTCCCGGGGGAAAGGGACGGGTAGGCTCGTGACGTCATCCAGGGAATTGATTCGACATGATTCATTTAGCAGGTTAGTGAGAAAGCAGGCACTGCAACCTAGCAAACAATTGCCGAATAAGGCTCAAAAAGTCTGTTATTGGACTGCAACATTGATAAGAAAAATTAAATCTCTCAGTTACTACGTAAGCTATGATTGGTCAATTTAGCAGGCAGTATTTCACAGCACGACCCACTAAACTCAAAAGTTTGTTTGATTGCAATATTTCCTCTCTGTTTGAACCCAGAGATACAATAGATATCTTACTTACTTCGTTTACTCTGTCCTAACTGTAAGTTATGGGATCTCATTTTTTCACAATTTCCGCTTGGATTTATGACCTGCTCGCTTCGCTTCCCAACAATTGATAATAAGCTGGAAAGGACATTACTCATGAGTCGCGTCATGGCTTATAAGAGGCTATCGTGGGCTACCGCGCAGTTATTTTAAAAAAAACATCTCTGGCCTCTTCCCGCTAATTTCAAGATCAAGATGCTTCAACGAGGTGCCTTCTAGGTCAAAACTGGGGCACAAAAGGGTTTGTAGCATTTTGTAAGGGGGCTGGAATTCGGCGACGAGCGACGAAGGCCGCAAGCTTCGAATTGATAGATGCATAAGTGGGTTAAGATCTATCATTGGCGTTTCAATTCCCAAACCACAAATGTGAATCAAGCGTAAAGGTGTTATTATTTTCTTTTGTCGATTCCTTTGACACAAAGCTTTCAGAGATTCATTTTGATGTTAATTATTACACAAAGTTTGCTTTGAACTCTACCGCTCTCATTTTTTCGTTGTCATAATTTGTTTTCGCATTAGCCAACAATGCTTACAAGGGATAAAACCTACAACTTGACTCAGGGATTGTTGTAAGGGATTGTTGATACATGATTTGTGATAGCCTTCTGTTTTAAAATAGAAGAGACGGCACTCAGAAGAAAACCGTCAGCATGGTTTAAACGTGTGATTCCTGTGTGACCATTATTCAAAAATCTTATGGGCGCCCTTCTCCGAATAAGCGCCCTTCTCTCTTCTTTCACTTTCTTAAATAGCAGGGATGCAAGGAAAATCTATTTCTACTGCTACTTTATTTATAATATTTTAAGCTTCGACTACAGCGTAATCAGTATTAATTAATTGTGTCGTAATAGGCACCCCCTCGATTAAGCGCCCTCGTTCAATAAGTGCCCCTCCTTCTAGCTTAAATTTTAAACAAGCACCCGGGCGCTTACTAACAGAAATATTGTAAATAAAATAATCGAGCTTTACCCTTCACCATGCTGTTCTTTGTAATAATTTGGACGCGTTCAAACCCTGAATGAGAAGGATAGCTAGTTTAGGTTATGTAACCTAGATTACGGTAAACGGATTAGAAAACTGTGCATATGAACACTCCAGACCGTTTACCTTACTAACTTATAAAAAAATTTATCTCATCTGCCCATTCTCAGAATTTTCACCGGGCCAAAAAATTTGCCCCGTGACGATAGCCGAAAAATCCCAGACAAACAAGTAGTAGAATATATAAATTGCTATGGTAACAAGGTCACTCTTGTCCTCATTAATTTATATAATGCAGGCGGTGAAAAGAATGATGACCGCTGACATGACTGACTAACTGTGACTTAAGGAAAAAGAAAATAATGAATACAAAAGAGGCATTAAAATCTGGATTGATGATTAACCAAGATACGAAAATAACGGTGATGAGTTAGGGAGATCTTTTTTTATTTTTACAACTTATTTTCTTTTTACTTTGTGATAGGACTTTTGCTCAAATTCGGTAACTTCGTGAATGGGAACTAATATATAATCTATTTTTGGACAAAATGTTGAAAATGTTTGCAGATTAGTTTTGCGTTTTGACTTAAATGTAAATTAATACATATTCTGTTTCTTTCAGTTTCGTAAACTTCAGTTTCGTCGATTTTGTTTGATGTTCCTCTAGAGAGAAGGTCATAGACTCAACACATTAGAAAACAAATACCATAAACTATCATAACTTTTGTTGTTAGTATAATCATAGTACCACTTATATATGTTTGACTAGAATTATTTGCGATGGTAAGTGCCGCTGTTACTCTTTTTTCCGACCTCACAAGTTAACTTGGACGCGCGAGAGCCTGGGTCAGGCGTGCAATTCTTACTAACCCCACTCATGCCAAGTAAACTCTGCTTTCATTTTTGTCTCAGTCATGAAGAATACCGAAGAGAAAAAATTCCAAATATGACCAAAATAAAAGAATAATATTTTCGCCACAGATATTGGAAAACATTCTTGAAGGAAAGGGATTAGAGAGGTTATGCGAAATGCTGCGGAAATGCCTTTATACGCAACTTCCCCCCGGAAACTCAACCTTGAGCGTGGCGCCTAAGAAGGAAACTTGCGATTGCGGGCTCAAGGGGCCGCACCTCGATCGCCTCTTGTCTTGTTCGCTGGTGTGTTGGCGTAGCATTTTGACTGCGAAGGAATTTTGACTTTGTCTCCGTAATAACCGGTAAGTAGTTGCTATTTTCTGTTACTTTTGTACATTGGAGTATTCTATGTGTATTTTTGTTCGTTTGGGCGCACGAATTGTCGCCATGAATTAAAAAACCGGCCGTCCACGCGCAGAGTGTTACGATTTCGTAATATACATTTACATTTGTAGTTTTTTCTCGTTGTAATTTCTCTTCATTTCGGAATCGGTATTGAATATTTATTCTCTAGATCTGTTTCCCTTGCCTTGTTTAAGCAGTGTGACTGTCAGTGGGCTGATTGTGTTCTATTTTCTGGCCTTAAAATTTCACTTTTCTTATAACGTTCGTTTGCTAATTTCCGCATGTGCTTGTTTCTATACGATGGGTCAAATTCTTCGATCGGTCTTTTCCTGTACCAGCCAAAATACCTGTGCATCACGTCGCTGTTTTCGTCTAAAGCAGTAATTGTTGATTTCTATCCATATAACTCGAGTCTATCGGTTCAAAAGAGATTGTGAATCGTAACATTTCGAACGAAAGATGGTTCTGGCCCGTCGAATTTCCTGGTGACCGAGCACTTGATGTTACTCGCAACTGTAGTTTCGTATTGGCAGTGTTTCGGAAAATAAACGCAATTTTACTTGAAGTTTAAAAATACAAAGCGATTCCTGTGTTATACCCGTGATAATAGAAACCTTTTTGAGAAAGAACCTCTAATAAAGTTGGTATTTTAATGGCGATCTCAAATAACGCTCCTTTAAATACAGAAATGTTGACGATGCGATTGTCAAGTTAATCCACGAACAGCGGGCGTGTTTTCACACGATTTTCATTTTTCCACGTCTAGTTCGGATGAAGTACATAATAAACATCCTAAAGTACTTGTTTGGTAGCCATTGATTTCCGCGCACACGTTATTTCATTTGTAAGTATTTGTAGTCAAAGAGGAGAAGACAGCTATAATTTACAGATGCTTCGCTGTCATTACGTACCGAAGAACCTCTACACTCTTGTGATTCTAAAAGTCTAGAGCCGTCGATTTGTTAAACCCCAGTTGCCTTGAAAAGCCAATTGTACCAAAGATAAATCATTTTAACGATATTTTTTATGTAGTTAACAGCTACACTGTGGTACAGGTATGCCTTGATATTCTGCAAAATCACAAATACCTTGACTTTTGCCTAAAGCGTGTTGATTTTTTTTATCAAGAAAGTAGATTCCGTAATAAATAAATGAACTACCAAACTTGCAAGTAATGAAATATCTTCCTAAATCTATACACTCACTGTAATTGTGTGTCAGCTCTGCCCATAAGAAACAAAGCACCCTTCTCTGGCTCTTTAAAGGGACCTTTAGACAAAAGGAGGAAATTACATGAACATGCTTTGATCTTTGGTTCAATACAAGAGAAGTTTCTTATAACACCTTTGTATTGTTAAAGAGTTTTTGTTTTTTGAAGAAATCAGGGATTAGTAGAAACTGAATTGAAGGCAAACCTTCGTGATTGTCCTTAGTTGCTTTCTATATCGACAAATTTGATTAACCAAATAAAATACTGGTAATTTGCAGCAATTAATATTTATGAAATTCTTATTTTTTTTTTTGATGTATGGAAACCAATCAATGTGACATAGTTTTGGTAAAGGTGGACTTGAACACTTGTTAGGTTGTTTACAGGGCTAAAAACCTCTTTGGTAACCTTTTTTTTAGGAATCATGGGGCCTAAAAGAACTATTTAAATACAGTACTTCTCTGAAGTAATTGTAAAGCTTGTTATGTTCAAGCAGATAATGTTAGCTGTCTTGATGTTAATACTTGCCAAAAAATAGGGTTACAGTCAAGAGTGACACTGGTTGAATGTTTTTAAACTTGTATGGTTAACATATGTATGTGTTTGTGTTTGTGTTTTTAGAAAGGGTGTTAATGTTCTAATTTAATTGAAAGTAATGTCATGCAACCACTTGAAAGTGAAATTGGAGGACTGTTTGTGGAGAGGTATATAAGATATTTAAAAAGCTAAAAGTTCTACATTATTGAAAAAAAGCATCACGTAAGTTACATCAATAAGTTAAAAATCATCTAAAAATTAAAAGAGTTAAAAAGCTTTTTTAAAAAGATATGTTTTTAAATGTCGTTTAAAAATGTCTATGGAACTACTGGATCTTAGTTCAAGTGGGATTGAGTTCCATAGTCTTGGTGCCACCACAGCAAATGCTCTCTCTCTATATGTTTTCATTCCAGCTTTCAGGGTCACCAGGTGTTGAGAGGACGATCTTAATTTCCGTTCAGAGGTGTGGTATTTAAATAATTCACTGATGTAGGAAGGCACTGTTCCATTGAGAGCTTTGTAGACCAGTAGGAGAATTTTAAAAACTATACGGATTACAATCATCTCCAGAGTATTATTGTTATCCTTTTCAAACTTTGGTGGTATTCCTTTCAGTTGCAGATGTAAAGAATGTGACATCTGCTTGGCATTGCATTGAACAAGTCTCCTTCATCTTGAAACTAATTCAATACCTTTTCCTAATCATTCTTTGCTTTGTTCATTTATTCTTGAAAAGCTTTGGGTAAATTTCAACCTTTGGGATTACCCAAAACCATGTTTGTGGGCTATCATCAATAACTAGTTGGCTTCACAAGCATTCGTATTAACTGAGCCAGTCATTTTTTACCATTCATAATTCTACATTCCTGATTGAAGGCATGATGTTCAGGAAAGGATAGCATTCTTGCACTTATTTACTCTCTTTGCAAGATCTCCTTGCTAATTTGAGCTAGGTCATAGGCTGCTATCATCTCTTCTGCTAGATGTGTTAATCTTGGCTTTTGTCAGTGGTTAAGACAATTTTCTCTTCATTGGAAAACCCATGATGAATTTTGAAACAGTCACATTGATCTTCATTCCCTGGCCTGATTGAGTCCCCAAAACACAATAAACATTGTTAAAAGAAAGCTTTTAAAGCCACTTTTGGGTTGTATTTGTTTGTACAAACCTAGTTTGCTCACCAACTAGTTTCTGTGTGCTCAGTTAGCTAGACCATAAGATCTGAAGTTGTAAGGTTTGTTTCCTTGTGAGGGCCAGAAACTTTTGTGAAGGTTCATGACAAATGAACAATATCTTTCTTTAATTTCCCCCCCTTATTGGAACAACTGCAAGGAAGGATTCAAAAATTGAAAGCATCTGGTGCTTTCCAATGTTCAGATTCAGCCAAAAGTTGTATTTCTGAACTGTGAACCTGCTAAAACTGCCGTGTGAACTGTACCTGTCAGAATGTGCTAAAGAAATGTAAAATTTTCTTGACAGAAAATTGCTTAAAGTGTATGTCAATGTTGTAAGAGAGTGCTAGCTTCAATAAATAACAAATGAAGAATCATGTTTGGTTTAAGTGACTTCCACTAAAGTCATGTTGATAAAGGAAGTTTATTCAGTCATGTCAACCAAATGGTTTTTTTTTTTTGGACAGGGTTTTCTCAAAATGTCTTGGGATAGTTATATTGACAACCTAGTTGCACAGACTAAAGATGCTGCTGGCACTGCTCATGCAGACAGAGCCTGCATCATTGGCATAGATGGGGGAGCAGCATGGACCACAAATGGCCATGCCTGTGCCTTACAGGTAATACTATGGTAGCTTCTTTGTACATGTTTGTCAAAAAAAGCATTAAAAAATGCATCAAGATTTCAGCTTTCAGCTTTCAGTGGGTATCTCACCACTTGAGAAGAAGTAGACAGTCTAAGAGTAGAAACTGACCTTGATTCAGTGAGATATTAAGAGCAGTGGGCACTTGTTAATTGGAACCCAAACTAAAATTCTCAGCCGTTTACCTTCATTTTACCCCTGGCACATGTAATTCAAATGTGGATGAGTTCAAACCTACTGTTAATTGGAATCAGTCTGTGTTCCCCTCCAGTGCCTGTAGTAATTAACAGTTGGAGTTTCTAGATAAATGCTGTCCTTCAAAATGATACAGTGAGATGATAGTAAAACGCCAGTTAAATTCAAAGTGCATTTGCTGTTTTCATGGTACAATTTATGATATATTGTTTTTACCCAGTGTGTTTGTTGCAAAAAAGGAATGAAAATTCCAAGTTGAGAAATTATTCAGTTTGCTGGTTTTTGTTTATTTGTTTTTTTCTTTTTTAAAATAAAGATCATGAGGTAATGCAGTGTGGGGATAATTGTTTGTTCAGTTTCAAATCTGTCTGCAGCTCAAACTATTATTATTATTATTATTATTGTATTATTAACATGTTCAGTCAATATTATTAAACTCTTTATAGAAATTGTATTACCCTGTAGAAACAATTTTTATCATAATACATTTATTCATTCAATTTTATTCTATTTTAACCCTTCAACTCCTAAGATCTTATTAGTAATTCTCCCTACTGTCTGTCACACAGTTCTTTTGATGTTAGTTTGGAGAATTAGGTATAGGATCAACTAATAATCCCCTCATTGATATTTGTCTTTATTCTCGTTACTTGTCTGCTTGGTACTGCATTGATATTGTAAGGAGAAATTGTATCTTAGTCACTTGTGAGAGTTAAATGGTTAACTCTCATGATCTGACTGTAATTCTTTCTTCTAGCTGCTAATCATTTCCTTGTAAATTAGCTGGGAGAATTTGGTGTTAGATCAAGATGACAACTTTTCCCAAATAAATTTGAGTATTCTCATTACCTTCTTGCCAGATAGTGTATGGATATTATAGGGAGAAGTAATATGTTAATCACTTCTGGGAGTTAAAGGGTTAATTCATCTTCTGTTTTTGTGATTGTTTCTCTCCAACAGCTAGAGTAATTTGTACAATAAACTAGTGTGTATGTACACGTGTGTTAGTAAATCACTGTGTAGTAGAGAAGAATCATTTTAGGTGCAAGTGGACCCTCTAAAAGGAAATAAATCACCATTTTTCCTTGTTGAATATTTTTTTGTTTGTTTTTTCCCCTCCAGTTACAAGGCAGTGAGGGTGCAAACATAGCAAGATGCTTCAAGGGCAAGGATTTTTCAGCATTTATGGCAGGTGGTATTCATGTAGAGGGCACAAAGTACCAATTCTTGCGTGAAGAAGATGGGAAGTTAGTTCTGGCAAAGAAGAAAGAGCACGGAGCCATCACTTTGCAGGCTTCCAAGACAGCAATTGTCATAGCTCATTGTCCAGAGGGAGGTCAGCAAGGCAATACCAACAAAGGTGTCTCAGTAATTGCAGAATACCTCGAAAGCTTGGGCATGTAACGCAAGGTTAAATTCTGTTAGCACTTTGTAGTTTGTGGTAGAAATCTGGTCTTCGTTTCTTAACCACATTACCCAATTTATTTTTTTTGTTATGTTTTCATTGAGGCCTTGCTGTAGACAAATTGGAGTTTATGAAATCAACTGGTTGCCAATGAAATGTTATGTAGTGTACTGATGATGATGATGATGATGATTGCAATTTAAAGGCCCCCCTTTCAACAGGTTACAAGTTGACAAAATATTACATCGTAATTATTGTTTTGAATAAAGTAGCAAATAAACTAGCATGATTAATTAATGTAGTTGGTTTCAGAAGTGCACCTATTGTAATTTGCAAAAGGGTGCACTACCTAAGTATTTTGTCTCAGGAACTTGCTGTTCAATTCTAATAAATCAAATTCTTTGAGCTTTTCATCGTGTGAAGCACTGGTATCACCACAATTTAACCCTTCACTCCCAAGGTCTGATTAGCATTTCTTCTTACTTTCTGTCATAGAATCTTTTGATATTACTTGGTAGAATTCAGTATTGGATTAGCTTAACCCTTAAACTCCCAAGATCTGATTGTTAATTCTCTCCTCTAGCTGCTAGACATTTCCTTGTAAATTGGTTACGAGATTTTGGTGTTCGGTCAAGGTAATATCTTGTACCTGATGAGTTTGAGTATTCTCACCACCTGTTTGCTGGATAATGTATGGATATTATAGGGAGAAGTTACATGTTAATCACTTCTGGGAGTTAAAGGGTGAAAGTCCCCCAAGTTATATTCTGCTTTATTCCCATCACTTTTCTTCTTGATATTGTAAGGAGAAGTTCTCTCTTTGTCACTCATGAGAGTTAAAGGGTTTAATGCTCGCTAACTAAAAATTGAATGAATGTTTCAACAAACCCACCTAAACTTCCCTTCCCCACCACCACACGCTTGGTTATGTTAGTGGAAAATTTATGATGGATCTGATACCCCTGGTAGGCTTTAACGAAGCTGTGTACAATACTCTGTTTTCTGACTTTTCAACTGTAACAACGAACCGCCTTTAAAAGGACGATGGGAGTTCATTTATGGAACAAAACAGAAATGGAATCTTAAAAAGATGTGGGCTGGGTATACCGTATTTCCTTGAATAAGCGCTCTTACCCAAGGCACAATGTTTTGCAAGCGCACCCCTCGAGTTAGCGTTGCCCATCCCTCACTCTACATTGGGGATACAAGGAAAACATGTTTTTAATGCCACTTCATTTATGACTTTTAAGCTTCAACAACAGCGGAATCGGCATTAGAGAGTGGTTTCTTTTTCTGTTTAAGTCACTTCCAGTTATTTCTATCTCTGCTTACCGTGTTCTTTATGTGCTTTTTCTGTGATTGTAATTTTTGTCCTGTTGCTACGCTCACCCAGTAAGGGAACCCCTTCCAATAAACCCCCCCTCCATTAAGCCGGACGTGCGCCTATTCGAGAAAATATGATAATCAGCAGAAGCCCCTACTTTCCCGTCTGTGCCTCTACTTGAAGAGACTTCAGTACAAGTGCCGTGCTTTTGAAGCAGGCGTGTGATCGATCGTCGGCTATACTGTGTCGCCGAAGAGGGCTGAATCGGTTGTAAGGCGTCAGACTTCCAACTTTACACGTAAATTTATTACAAACTCGGCGCTCGAATTACACCTAACGGAATAGATAACCTCTAATGAAACCTCTCTGACAGGTAGAGGCGAATTTGTTTTCGTGATGGTTTCATCAACTGAGTTGATGATGTAAATTATAATTGGCCACAGTAAAGAGTTTCAAAGCTGACGTTTCGAGCGTTAGCCCTTTGTGATTGCAGCGGAAGAGGTGAAAAATTCACAAAATACATCAAATTAATGCTTCCATCTCAAATGTAAGCAGTCGACTATGAATAACATTCAGTTCGTTGGATTCGTCCATATCCAGATTTGAACTAAAGGTAATGCTTTACTAAGGGCTAACAATCCAAAAAATTTAATCAAAAGATCGATTAACATATCATTACCGGAGAGGTCGTATAATCAAAGGCAATTACGCAAGCGTGCTCCTTATTCATAGTGCGCATATTGGTGACGAGTGTTTACACAGTGAAGTGTGCCAGGGGTGAGGGGTGGAAGGGATTCCTGTTTATCGGTACGATATGGCTCAGCGTCAGCTGTGCGGAAGGTAGAGTTGCTTTCGTTTATACCGAGGCACGGATCGCGTTATCAGTGCCTACTCTCGTTTCTCGTACAAATAAAAAAGATGAATTGAGTTTTTTTTCATGGATGCAGAATCAATTATGTCCCATACGGCTGCTACTGATCCGGCATCTCCGCTAGGAACGTTTCCAAATCCCTAACCACACTGTCGAATGATGGCCTTGCTTCGGGATCCTGATTCCAGCACCTTACCATGAGTTGCCAGCATTGTTCTGGAAACACGTCCAACCTCTCTGGTGTCTTGTTGTCAACGGCATTCATCATGAGCATAACCAGAGGTAGAAAGTGGCGGTTTATATTCTGTGGTTGGTTGCCCTGACCTTCGCACACTCGCCAGAGCAACATGCCGAACGCGTAAACATCAATGGATTTGTCGTACTGTTGTTTCATCATTTCGGGCGCCATGTTGATAGGAGTACCAACCAGCGAGTTACAGATGAGACCCTCGGATTTACAGAGACCCAGATCAGTTAACTTTGCGTTGTTTTTCTCGTCCAACTAAAAGGAGAAAAAAGGAAAAATTTGAATTTGCTTGTCCAAAAATGTAATGTACTAGCTATATATTGTAAAAATTCAGAATTATTATTAATTATTAATATTATCATTACTATTATTATTATTATTATTATTATTATTATTTCTAAGTCCCCTTTTGGTTCAATAATCAGCTCCTCTTATGGAACTCTTCATAAGCACAGCCTTACATAGCTAACACCCACCACAGCCCCATTTATTTCACAATCAACGATAACAGGTAGCGTGACGGTACTCACCAAGACGTTCTGCATTTTAACATCGCGATGGATCAGCTCCTCTCCGTGAAGATACTGCAAGGCTTTGGCAACGTCGAGAGCTATCTCAAGCCTCTTTCTCAAGGAGGGTATACCCACTAAACCATCATGAAGATCGCATCTCATTCGCTCCGAGACAAGCTGCACAGAAAGGCCACAATTTGGGTTGGACTCCACTACGGTGCATATAACGGGTAGAATGTTCGGATGGTGTAGGGTTCTTAAACGGAGAAGTTCATTTCAGTAAATAGTTGGAATACGAAAAGACCAGGGCTTGTATAGCTTTCAAGAATTTCCTTAATCCTCCGAGTGTTCGGATAAACCCCTGTGAACATGGAAAAAAAGAATCCTATATTTGCCCCTAAGAAATGATTTCCCAAAATACGGGCGAATCTGTATCGATAACTCCAAACAAGCCCATCGACCAATGAGACCGCGCGTTGTTTCGGATCTATTTCAAAACGTTTCTTTACCTTACCATTTTGATATTGCACATTACCTGGTATTATGAAGTTCCAGGGTCAAGTCCTTGAGCACCTCCTCTGAAGCGACACCTACCACCTTAACAACACAGGGCCTCCCTTCTGGAGTTTTAATGTTGTCACAGGCGAAGACATTGCCCTGTGCCCCAGTCCCAATGAGCTCTCCCTTGGCTGGAAGTCCAAACTTGAACCTGTCCATGACACCATATGCCAGCATCTCAAGAAGTGCAAGATTGGGAGCAAAGCCAAGAAGAGTTTCCCTTTGCATGTCCTTGATGGTCTCTCCGCGATCGAACAGGTCATGGACTTTTCTTATTTCACCGGTAAACTCTTCATGGCAGTCACGAAAAAGCTCTTTCAAACTTGTGACGATTTTCTGAGCCATGTCAGATGGATTTACTTTCACAAGGGCATTTGAAGCAACATCTGTCTTCCATTTCTTCGAGCCAACTTGAACCTCTCCACTGATGGTCTTGATAATTGTTTTGATCGGATTACGAATTGCCTTGTAGAACCACCCGCTTAATTTCTTTATGAAACGTAAAGCTGCTCCGTTGCGTTGTGAAAACGTGATTTGAGCTTCGTAAGAAGAAAGAAGGCTTTTGCCAAGAGCGAGTGCTGCCGATGGAATGTCGTTGTCTCTGGCAATTTCTCCTTGAATTTGCTCCATGCCGTCTTTGAGGTGAACAAGGAACAGATCTCTGGAGCGGAACATCATCGTTAACTTTTGCTTGATCTCTCCTTGGAGTTTTTTGACCACCATCCCCTGAATCTGGTCCTGACAGTGAGCCACAGCTTCTTTCTCTTTTACATGGCCATCTGACGGAATGGTAAATTCGGTCAAAACGTATTCAAAATCTCCTGCTTCCTTTAGGATGTCTTCTCTGGCTCCATTTATGGCATCACTGAGGAGTTCTTGTATCTCCATGGCCCGCTTTTCGTCCTCAAGGTCGCGGATTATGTTGTCGTGAACTTGCTGTTCCTCGCGCAAAAGTGTTTCCAACGTCTTCAATATTTGCTTCTTTCCCCTTTTCAAAACATTGGCTTTCTGAATGAAGAAATCCAAGCATCTGGATAGAACACGCACGAGGGTTCTGCACACACACGCTACCCTTGCACGTAGAGATTCTTCAGCGAACTCTTTCAGGCTGTTTTGAAATCTCTCAAAGGCTTGAGTGTAATCTGTAAACTCTTCGGAAGAAGCTTCGGGATTTCTCTTCTTCAAAGCGTGGTACTGCTGGATGCGCCAAGCTGACAGCCCATGGAATCGCTCGTTTTGATTCATGGGCAGTTGAGAAGGAAAATGGCCGTTTTTGACAAGCCGCTCGTACACCCGTGTCTTCTTTCTGTTCTGTACTTCGAGCTCTCGCTTTTTCCGCGCCTTCACTGGTGCTGCATGACCTCTTGGTTCATCGTCCTCATCTGATGATTCGGTACGATCTTCCGGTTCCAGTTTGCTGACAACGAAAAATATTGATAAATCGGTCCCTGAGGATGTCATTTCATTTAGGACCTCTCTATCCTGGCAAGGAAACAAATAATAATTGGTAATAATTGATGATAAGACTGTGTAAAGAAAAATCATTATTAACTATAAGATCTCTTTCACGCATAGAAATGGAGAGCGAATAACCTACTTGTTTTATTATAAATCTGCTAATTATTCAAAACTTAATAACAAAACAAGTACAACCCCACAATATTATTAGTAAGACACTCACTTTACTCATGATGTAAGGGGAATAGCGTGGCCAATCAGATAGCAGCAATTGGATTTGGCAACCCGAGGCAATCACTGTCGTCCATGCCCGCAGAGTGGAGAATTTGAACCCTTCTTGGGTGGGGTGGGAAATTTGAATCAGCGGAATATACGCGTTTTAATTTTCAATATGGAGGAGTTTAAAGGTAAAGTGTTCACCTTTGCGAACAAATGGCCTGGAAGTAAGATTTCACATTGTAGAATGATGCTTACAAGCGAAAAACTTAACAGTGGAGAATCTTTGGGAGGGAAAGGGTTATGTACTTCTGTTGGCAAAGAATAAATTTATTTTAGAAACTTTTTATCTTGAGTAGAATAATCATTTCGTAATAAATGCAACAGCAGGCAAACCAGAGTAAAAGCTATGCTGATGTTGTAGTAGTTACGTCGTTGTCGTTTCACGATCACGACTGTTTAATTTCGATGGGAGCAAACTTTTGCTTTAATCAGCTTCGTATTTAAAAACTACTCTGATCGAATTACTGATTCATGACTCAATACTTCAAAGACACAGTCCAAGTGAATCACAAAACATGGCACTTGTATAGTTTCGATCTTGATACAACCCGGAAATACAAATTGTAACCAATCGAGGAATCGATCGTGTTGAAAACAAAAAACCTTACCTGCTTTGTGAAAAGATCATGTCCATCCACCACGTATATAACAAACGCCAGAGGATTTTCCAGCTGCTCCTTTACCAAGTTGTCCAGCGCTTTATTTTCATTTCTTCCAGGGGAGTCAATTATGGTTACACCACATTTCAAGAACTCGATATTTAAACCGGTCTCCACGATCGCCCCCACTTTACTGGGGTCATCACGATCCTTAGGTTTGAGCTCGATCTTCTTTCGAGGGATTCTGTTTCCATCCTTGCCTATCATCTTTATCTCTTCTAAGGTTTTACCATGTGTGTCAACCAGGCGACAATAAGGCTCCTCAGCGTGGCAAACGCGAACAATTCTCGCGGTGCTCGGTTGGTCTGATGTAGGAAGCGCTTTACAACCTAGGAGCTCGTTGATTATGGAGCTTTTCCCGCAGTTGGTTTGCCCGACAAAAATGAGTGCCGGCTCCTGATCAAACAAATCGGTAACTTCCTTCTTCTCCTTAGCTGTGTAAAGCAGCTCAGCAAGGGCGTAATCGAACTCTAGATGAACATCCGCCATTGCCACTGTTTGAGCCATTACTCGAACTTCGTCTGGAGAAGCTTGCACGGGTGAGGTTGAGTAGCGAAGTTCTTCTACAATTTCTGCAGTACCTTTATCGGAAAGCTTTCGAACGATTTCATCGAAGTATTTAACCGTGTCATGGTGTACTTTTTTCAGCACAGCCTTGCTTTTCTTGAAATCCTCGAACACGTCTTGAAGCGCCATGGCTGGAAGACTCCACGAGATTGAACTGCATTGTATCAGATGTCTAAGTTTATTGTTTGTTCAATTCCTTTCGTGGAAAAAGAGGAAGTCATTAGTCATCGATCACCTTGGATGAAATTTTAAAAATCTGGTACGGACTCGTGTATAATAGAAGACTGGAGCACGCAGTCCGCAGTGTCTTGCTATACCAATCCTCATCGTTACGTCATGTTATAACTAATGTGATATGATTTAAAAAACTCTTAATTTTCCTTAAGAAGATTTCCTTATTAAGTTCGAATTCTACTCGTTCGATCTTACTAAAGGTCTCCAGGTTGATAAACAGCGCAAACGATTCAAAACGGAAATGACAGACCTGTCAAAATAATCTGAGGAATTCTTGGCTATACAAAATTTATAGTCAACGGTCTATTACAGTTACAGTTAGCTTGAAGGCGCTTGCTATTTTCATCTCGTCTTGGGCGGCTGCGAGGGCCGACGGTATTGGTTGAATTAAAAGAAAAGTGAGACAAATTCTGCTAATGAATCCCTGCTCTGACTGGTAAAATCGATGTAAAAGAAAAACAAAAAACGAAAACAGAAACAAAAACAAAAACAACAACAAACCAAGTTGCTGATGATAGCAAAGTTGTGTACATGTCTGAATTGATCAAAGAAAAATTTATAATGAAGCGGAAGCTCAATGAAAAAAGAAATCCGTACCAGAAAATTCCGAGTCCACTCCAATCGTCGATTGCATGTTTAGATGTCACGCGACATGTCATCATAGTCTAGTTTTTCCGAGAATCTGAATGAACCAGGAATCAAAGTGAATTCTAGAAATAAGCGTGGTTTGTTGTGCTCGTCTGTACAGGATCAAGTCCCTTTGCAAATCTTAATACTGAATGAGATCCAACCTGACCGTCATTGTGAACAAATGGCTTCCCGCGAGGGTGAGAAAATTGGAAATGTTGATTGAAGTAGTTCATGTTTACAGCATTACGAAAGTCTGCAGTCTGGCCTTTCTATTGACATGCACAAGGAAATACTTGCAACTAGTTGCGGAACCAGAGCCCAAACTAAGTAATACTTACGCTTTGTAGGGAGTTAAACGAAGCCAAGCTTCATTAAGATTGAGAGTACAACCGACATTTTAGTAAGAGAGGGAAATAGAACTTTCGATACGAACTATAAACTGTCACTGATCATGCAGACGAAAACCAAAAGTCAACAGTCTCTCCTCATTTCGTTTCTGTGTTATTAAAAGTTATGTTTCCATTACGAGAATCGTTCCCATAATTAAGGCGTTACATTCTTTGGAATAGTTGTCGATCGGCTCTAATTATCGTCACAACGCGATTTCACATAGAAATTTATGTTTCTTACTCGCTGCAAGCTCACAGTAACACTAGTTTCAGTTTGTAGGAACACTCTAAAATCTGTTACTAGAGATTCCTGAACATCTAATTTTCTTTTCATTTCAAGCTCAGTGTGAAGTCTGTATTAAATATAAAACTGTTTGAATCAATGACACCCAATTTTGATCCACAAAACCAGACAGCAAACAATGTTTGGGACAAAAACAGCCTTGCCATTTAATTAATATTTTCACAAATACGAAACTCTTGCATGGTGATATCCATAAGATAATGATAAAATAATACTCAGATATGCTATTTAACAAAAAGGCTGGCTGATAGAAACGCTGGACAGATACAAAGACCAGCAAAAATGAAATACAGGAAAGGGATGGAAGGGTCAAAAAGAAATATCTTCTTGGAATACAAATGAGGTTTTCTATATATTTGCTAACTAGCTAAGCAATCAAGCAACTGATATAAATTGCTAAGTAATCTTTTAAATACCTATCTTGACATCAGTGTACTTTTACTTGCAATATAGGGAAACTAACTGACAGGAAAAGTCTGCTTTAATGTTAAATTACTTGTACACCATGATGATGCAAGACTGCATATTTCTGTACCAATTTGTTATGTTTGTAATTTAGAAGTACATAACCTGATAATGGGTGATGTTTCCCAAATGCAAGATTGTTTTGTTAAAGGAGATTGGTCTTAAATTTGCTATTCTTTTATTTGCATTTGCTGTTTTGTGAAGATTAAGAAATTAATTGTGAAAAGTTGCATAGGTTGTAGAAAACTATCAGTTCAACTCTTCCTACATAAATGATTTTTAGGAAATTTACTCACAGCTCTTCATGGGAGGGGGTAGGGGCAACTTAACCCCTTTTTTGTGCTGAGCTTGCTCACCGTGGCATTCTCAAAACCCTTGATACCCCCAGATTCTCTCCCATTTATGATACAACTATTAACCTCTTAAACTGTCTGTCTCAGAATGTATTAATTTTGTAAGGGGGAAGTACACTCTGGTAGCAGGTACTCTGGTAGCATTCTGGTACACTCAGGTAGCAGGTACTCTGGTAACTGTGGTGCTGCATTGGTGGAAGAGTGTAGCAGGTAATTTAATGTTAACAACTGAGTTGAAAAATGTAAATTGGCTACTGTAAAGAGTAAAAAGCTGACCTTTTGAGCATTAGCCCTTCATTAGAGTAATTGACGAAGGACTAATGCTAGAAATGTCAGCTTTTTCACTCTTTACAGTGGCCAATTTATGTTTTCAACTCAGTTGTTGACACTAAATTACCTATTATGATGCTAGTTTGGAGAATTTGATATTGGATCAGCTAATAATCCTCTAATTGATATTTTAATCTTTATTGTCATCACTTCTCTGCTTGGTATTGTACATGTAAGGAGAAATTCTGTCTTGGTCACTTATTGAAGTTATAGGATTAACACAAAATACTGTTGTAAGCATTTCAATAATTAGTTCTTACAATTCAATCTGTCAAGTTTAAAACTAAATTTTGGGTACCAAGAAAATGAAAGCTTATAATTTACACTTTTCCTTTAGTTGGCCAAGATAATTGAAAGTAACATCTTCTCCATTATAAATCCAGGTATCTCTGGCAATGATGGCACAGAAACAGAAGAGTTTCCTGCCCCATCATTTGAAGAACAGTTTAAAGACTTGACCTCTCTCATCTCCTTTTTTGAGGAATGCTCAAAGCAAACATGTGAGTTTATTGACAATATGAAAGAGAAGTTCCCTGACAGCTTGAAAACAGATCTTATGACTGACAAAGAAAGGCAGTGTCTGCAATCATATGCTTCCAAGAAATCTACTCTTCTTGTTGTTGGCCAAACAAATAGTGGAAAGAGCTCCTTTGTGAATGAACTCCTTGGTGGGTCATTTATGCCAACTTCTGAAGTACCATGCACATCTCGCATTGTCCGTCTTAAATATAGTGAGAAAAACTATATCCAGGTTTGTGATGCACCTTTCTGTTTGAAACTTTTTAAGAAAGAGAGGCTGATAATTTGATCAAATACCAGCAGTTTCTCTTTTCTTTTTTTTTTTTTTTTTTTGGGGGGGAGGGATTGTAGCCCCTTTCTGCCTTCCCCTTTGCTTCTCAGGAGTGGCTTAATTTCATAGCTCAGTTGGTAGTAGTGCATCCACCTATGTCTTAGAGAAACAGGTTCAAATCCTTTTGAAAGCCTGAATTTAAAGGGAGGGGGTGCTTAGCCCCCCCCAATTTTTGCTAAGGGAAGGGGATGCATAGCCCTACTACTCTGCCACCTGTCCTTCCTCAGATGATATTTGTAGGTTTTCCAGTTTCCTTCTTCCACAAAAACCAACATTCTGATGAGAGTTCTATATACCCAAAACCAAATTATTTTTCATCATAACCATTAGAAGAGTGAATCAGTAGTTGGAAAATTGTCTTTAAATGTGCTAAAGATTCAGTTGAAGATGTGTGCACTTTGAAAACAAAGTGGTCATAACATAAACCAAACATGTAAAACCAAAAAGCTGGATTTACAAACAGCTGTTGCTATGGTTATCACCAAACCTCATTCTATTACACAGTCCCAGAATTTGATTTTGGGGGCAGTTTTTGAATTATTCAAACAGATGGTCAAAAGATGGGAAAAAGAGGAAAGAAATTTTGTTACAAAACTAATCGGTGGCCAAACTCGAAATGATTAAAGCAGTAGACAAATTTAAAGCACATTTGAGGACATTTTCAAAGACTTTAAATTGGGTCATTCTTTAGAATCCAAAAATGTATTTTTTGTCATGAATCGATCTAAACATCATAATCTAAGGTATAAATATTTTATGTTTCTTGAACATTCTTCTTTGATGCCAGTTTTGACCTGAAAATAGTGGGAAAAGATCCTACTTGTGCCATGAGCTCCTTCTTGTAATGACTAAATTGGACAAGCACATTGCAATAAACATTTTTATCACCTCTCCCTTTTTTTTTTTTTCAAAATAATATTACTGAAAATTTTACCATTCATATTAAGGTATTGGATAAATCCAAAACTAATGAAGGAGAGAAGATTTTCTTCGATAAAAAGAAGGTACCGAAAGAGGAAATAGAGTTGGGTGACAGCCAGAGAGGAGATCAATCCTGGGTCAATGCCATGGTGGAAGTGGGCCTAAACAATTCTCTCCTCCAAAATGGACACCTGGAAGTTATTGATGCACCTGGGATGAGTGAAAATGAAGCTCTGGACAAGATTGTTGAGGAATGTATCCACGGCATTCTTCAAGTCATTATCTACGTCATAGATGGGAACTCCTCTCTAAGGTTGCAGGTCAGTTATAGTCTTACGTTCATGTGGGTTTTGAATGTGGAATGATTAGTCCTATTTCACAGTCTTGGCTACATTTCAATCCCATTCTCATGTCGTTGCTTGTGATTTCCATTACTAGTGACCCAAATCCCATTTTCCTGGTGAAGGATGGTGTAATGAACGGACCGATAAATTCTCTAAACTATTATTGCACAACCAGTGGTATCTAAAATACGTATAGAAATGATTTAACAATAATTTACAATGATGGAAAACAAGGTAAATGAAGATTAAACAAAGGAAGGACAGTAAGAAACGACACTCAAGAAAAAATTCTGAGTACTAATTAATTGGCGCGAAAACGATTTAAATATGGGGATATCGCGCAGAGGTTGGGGACCAGCAAAGCGCTGAACGACGTTGTAACAGAAGACAAATCCCATGCACCGTTTTACGTCTACTTACCCTTTGTATAACTGTCATTATCATTGGCACCTTTTCCCTTAAGAGCTTTTGCATTACAGGAATGAGCACAAATTTGGGAAGGTGTGCTACCTGCACAAAACAAATTATCTGACGTCAAAGGCTAGTTTTGTATAGGCTTAGGGTGGGGAGGTTTGACTAGAAAATGTTGGTGATCTTCATCTCTGCTACTTGCTCAGCTTAATAGAGCAAGCAAATCGGTTCTTTTTTCCCCTTGGTATAGCTATCCATATGGGTAGATGAGTGGATGACTTAATTTTCAGAGAGCCACTCTAGACTGCGTACAAAAAATAATAATAGTTATAAAATTGACTGCAACTCTTTTTACGGGGTGTTGTTTTTATGAATCCATCTAAACAGTTTTCGTGTTTGAATCACAGGAAAGGGGTTTTCTTCTTAACCTGAAGGAGAAAGTTGGTAACTTGCCCATTTTCTACCTGTGCAACAAAGTTGATAAGAATACGACAGCCCTGGAGTTTGACAAGGACTCTGACTCAGAAGAAGATAAAGACCCACCTAATGAGGAAGAAAAAGAGGTGCTCGCTTATCGGGCTCTCTCTCAATGCCACATGGTGCCTGGCGACATAGAACCTACACAATGTCCTTTCTTTCACGGTTTGTCCACTAAGGAGGTCAGAAACGCTCGACTGAAGAAGCATTCAAACCAGTATACTGAGCAGTTTGATGACCTCAAGTTTAAGCTGCTGAAATTTGTTGCCGCTGGAGTGACCAGCCATCTACGATCTGCAGCAGAATTGCTCTGTCAGATCCAGAAGAGAGTGTTTGATTTCTTCTTGAATTGTGACTTCAACCAAGAAACGATTCATGCTCAAGATGAGTTATTTAATAAGCTTGAGCTGAAAGAACGCGATTATGTGGTAAAAATGCGTGGCTATGTCCTTCAGAATCTCTATAAGCTTTCCAAGATTGTAAAAGATGGTGTCAAGTGCAACAGACTTAAGATCGTAACTGACGCTGCCCAAATGCAGTTTGATTCAATCAAAATTGGAGATGTTGTCGGGCGAAATGAAGTGGTAGAACAGTGCCGCAGACAGATTAAGGACCTGGTGTTGTACAAGGCTACGAATATATCGCTGATAAGAATTCAACACACTATCTCCGTTATCACCGACGATCTACGCACATCTCTCGAAGGCTCGCTCAGTGAGGTCGGCAAAAAAGACGACCACTTAGCCACGCTTGTAAGGAGGCAACTGCAGTACAGTTTCCTACAACATTTTAAGACGCAAGACGTTTGTCCTCATTTTGATTATGCTTTGATGAAAAGTGGAGTGAGGCTTATGGACAACGCGAAGAAAGCTGTCATTGATGTGTGGTCTGCCATTAGCGGGAGGGGGACGTACCTTAACGAAAATTGGAAGCGAAGTATCGCCGAAGATGTGCTAGACAACGTCGATTGCGATGCCATCGCACGTAGAATTTGTGATAGGATGCTAGAGGATCTGGAAAAAGGGCACGAATTGTTCCAATTGAACCTGGCTTACATGAAACAATTTTGCCAAGCAGCCCTAGAACTGTCTGATGTTCAGAAAAAATTCGCCGAAGCACAATCCCCACATTTTTCCAGACTGATGAGTGAGGCCAGTGCTCTTTCCCAGACGCTCGCTTTCGATGTTCCTTTGAGAGCAGTAGTTGGGGCTCAAATAGGAAGGAACGGCAACCGAGGCAAGGTTTTCGAGGACAAAACCGACAGGGAACGAGTTGTGAAACAGCTCACTGTTGCAGTTTACCCCAGTGAAATGCGAGATGAACATTTGCTAGGCATTACAAGAACCCTAGGAAGGTCAGATTATCAGATGGTTTTTGGTCACAACCTTGGCCCATATTATGAGAAATATTTTTTCTAAATTTTTAACTATGTGTCTATCACAAGTAGCCACCATTAATGTATGACTAGTGGTCATTTTATGTAAAAGCAATTTTGCGTTTGACCGCAAGAAGTCGCTCTCGAAATGGGAAAGGAAAGATTCTCAATTTTACCTTGAACTGTTCAAGAGAAAGAACATACTTCCTTTGTCTCCCACGTTTCTTAGAAGCAAAATTGAAATTTTAACTTATATATTGATTGGAATATTACAGAGCATTATGGTGCATTTTATCGAGACACGAGAAATATCCTCATTAAAACTGTATCTTTTTGGTTTTTAATGCCCGCAGGATACAAGATGATATTTCCACAATCCTACGACCTATTTCGTTGAGATTGGACGGAAGTAATAGGGTCTCTGTTCTGTTTCCAAAAATGGCCACGGACTTGTTCGAAAGTCTTCAGAGTCATCCAATCCTTTTGCCTCAAGGTCTGAGAATAACGCAGCAAATGGCTGATGCTGTGGAGAACTGCTGGGATAGACGCATTTACCATGTTGATCTCAGGATCACAAACATATTGGTAACTACGCTTCTGAATTACATTACGATATTAAATCCCTTTAACTTCTCTGTTTCACTGACGAGAGTATACTGACCGATTAGGTGTCTCAGGATTTTCTTCTTAAGGCTATGATTAAGTTCTTGGACTTATCGTTCGGCCCAGTATAGAAAAATGAGGACAAATTAATCTTATGACTGATTATTTTTTAATTGAAAGGAATTACAGATCTTTAGGCAAGTTAGCTTGGCTTATCATTGCAGCAGCAAAGGCCAGTGGCCCCCCCCCCCTCTCGATGAATGGTGTATATCGCAATCAGGGGACCTTTTTTTTTATTCGCTGCCCTTTTTACTCGTATACAGACAATGAATATGAAAGAGTCTCAAGCAAAATGAGAAGTAATGGAATAAGCTCTGCTTTGAGCCATGTTGACTATGTTTTTTTTTCTTTCTCCTCTTTTTTTTCTTTTGGAAAACAGCTTGACTACTACGGGAATGCAAAACTGAACGTTTCTAAGCCAAGGGATGACATGATTCCGTATCCTGACAACCAGGCGCCTTTCCATGTTCCTGCTCAGAATCCCTTTGTAAGCGCATCTGACCTTGTTTCGTTGAACACTCTGCAGAACCATTGTGTCTACAGTCTTGCAGTCTTGCTTTTGCTGCTTGTGGAGGAGAAGTACTGCAGACCACCTTATGCCCAGACGGTAAAAGTGGGTGAGGTGTATGCTGCCGTAGCCCGAGGAGAAGATTGTGCGTACGTCTCCGGAATGAACGATCCAGAGGGTTGGTTTTCTGGCGAAAGGAAAAAGGCTCGCGAAATTGTCCTTTCCATTTTTGACTTTCAGCGGAAGTATAACGAGCATCTGCTCTCAATGATGGATTCTTTCAAATCGAAAGTCACTGAGGTGGTTTCTAGTTGTGAAATCCCCCGACAATTTGAGACTACACTTTGAAAAAGTCAACTTTTCTTCTTTGTCAAGGGGTTAGGCAATTTTTGGATGGAAAAAAAACCAGAATTTACGGCTGCCTTCGAGGGAGACCTTAAAACTCCAATTCCATTTCCACCTAGAAAGCAATTTATATAAGCCAAATTTGAAAAGAAAAGTTTTTATTACATTGTATAATCCATTAGCATTCGATTCAACTTGTGCTTGTTTCATTTTGCGTTGTTATTTATGTCTTTTTGTCTTGCATTTAAAGCAACCATAGATGATGATGGAGTATTTATACCTTAGATGTACTTTCAGAGCTGTTTTAAGGCACGAAAAATTGGTGCTACTATGTTACCCGAAGAAAACTAATATCAGCATAGGGTGAAGTTAGAAAATGAACTCGGGTTCTCGCGTTTTTTAGTGAAAATCATAGCGCGTTAAAAGCTTGCTAGGATTTTGCAATAACGGATTCTGCAAACACGTGATGTCGTCATGACAGAGTTTGTTCTTCTAGTCGTTTTATTGAACGGTGATTGCGTTTTACGGATTTTAGTTCATCTTGCTTTTGTTGTTATGACAAATGTGGTACCAATGAATATACTCAACCTGTACAGTATGACCTGCAAAAGACACCGCCTCTTTTCATCTACTTCGACTACCAAGGTATTTTTATCACAGGCAACTGTTACCAGCTTCTCGAAAAATAACTTTTTGAGAATTACAGGAGTTCGGAGATATGTTAAGCATTAAAACAAATTTATTTCCTTTATACTTCGCAGATAGCTGTAGCTCGGTAGAAAACGAGGTTCGATAAGTTGGTTTTTCGATTATTAACACCTCAACCAAATATTACGAGGAAGTTCATTAGCTTTACTGCTGCTGTGGTAACTGGTTTTATTGAGGAAATGACAACATTTTAACTGTGAGCGTCTTTTTCGTTCCAGAAGATTACAACACTGTTAAAACCATATCACAGTACTGTGTAGTGTTGAAAAAACAAAACAAAAAGACCAAAAAAAAAACTAACAAACAAAAACAAAACCAACAGAAAAATAGGAAACAAGGGAAACGAAAACAAAAAAGAAAGAAGAGAAGGTCTGTTGATGTAGCTGCTGTATTTTGGTAGTTATTAGATCTAGAATGTAAATGCTTAGTAAAATTAAGCTAAAAATAGTGCTTTTAATCCTATCACCAAGAGGGATATAGTTGCAAAGGTGTCTGCCTTTTTTGTGCGAGAGGGAAAATAATAAATTGTTACTTGTTTCCTGTCAGCATTTGATGTGTGTATACTTGCTATTAATAATTTCTTTGTAAGCTTTCCATGGAATTAATAGTCGTAACTTACACGCGAGCGTTATATTTAGAAAGGGGGTAAGTTTCTAAAGAAACTGTTGTGCTGCGTCGGTGAGGGTATTACGATATAATTTGGTTTAATTAACTAAGTCGATAATGTAACTTGGCCACCATAAAGAGTTTCTGAAGCTGACGTTTCGAGCTTCAGCCCTTCATTTTAGAGCTTCCTAGTCGCTCTGATGAAGGGCTAACGCCCGCATCGTCAGCTTAGAAACTCGGCTCTACAGTGGCCAATCTATATTGTCCACTCAGTTTATAAAACCAAATTATCTCGCTATAATTATAGCCTGAAACGTGTCCTGTAGGTTTTTAGATGAACGAAGTGAGCTGTTTTCCCGTCGATGACACAACGTATATGACTTTTTCCAGCACCAAGTATGGTCGCCAAGGGAGAGTAGATTTTACTCATCTTCGAGTCTGGCGTTTTGATCCTGCAAATCATTATGATAAGGGTCCAATAATATTACCACGGAATGTACAATATTCATAATAGAGCATTGATTGATTGGAACTATCAAACCATTTTATTGCTTAATCAATTTTGCGCATTGCAATCAAACGACAATGTTTCGATTCAATACAATACAATACTGTACGATTCTTTCGACCCAAAGAAACGTGATCTAAAGCTGAAATTAAACGTTCGTTTTTGTCTAGTGCAGGGAAAATTGAGAAAACTTAAACACTTGAAAAGGGTAAAAAATTAAAAAACTCGTCTATCAAGCTAGAAATGTTGTAATAAAGGCATCTCGATCACTGAATACGAAACTGCATGACAACGTTAGGATACATCGCCACAAAACACAAAGACCAATTCTGTTAACTGCCAAGCTAACTAGTAAAAAACCCTTACTGTATTTTTTTCGGTTCAACCCTCTAGTGGAAATATATCCAGCCATTTTAAATAAAATGTTACTTCTATTGAATTCGACCTCCTTTTCCCTGCAACAATTATTTGTCTATATATTTTTTTTCTCTCTCTCCCGCCATCATTATTCTACCAAAACATTTATAACCTATTCTGAACTTATATGAAATCAAAATGTAAAATAACATGTTAACATTACTCGATGGGGGTATGGCTATGTTCAGAAATATCAAACCCATGCCCCCACGGATTTGGTGGCAGCTGCAATCTATAAGGCATGTATTATGCCACATGCTATAGTTCCATCACAACTAGCTCTTTCCTAAGACTTCTAACATCATTTTTCATCATTAATCTATCTGCTGGATGAGTATTTCCTAAACGTTTTAAACATCTTTCATGGTATGCTCTTATTCGATAAAATTCTGGAACAAGGAAAACAATATTTGTTCAACGACGGTCGCTAGGCATCAAAGTGTCTAGGCAAGAACACCTTATCAGGTTCAATTCATAGATGACGTTTTCCATTTCAATGCTTTCTCTGTTTTTCCAGCACATCATCATGAAATTCCAGCATGCATCGTTCACCTGAGGCAGTCTTTTCGGAAGGACTCCATTCTCAACCGCTCCTTGCATTGCCTCAGTAGTTTCCATGTTTTGGTAAACTTCTGGTCTTGTTATCCCACTTCCCTCAAAGAGCACCCACAGTAACATTCCAAATGCGTAGATGTCGTACGAATGATAACTGAGGTGGCTTTCTCGGTGATAGTGGTACATTTCTGGTGAGATGTGGAACGGTGAACCAAGAGTGGTCATGTTGTAAGGACTTTCAGGTTTAGCGAGGTTGATCTTGGCTTTTCCATCTTTCATGAGCTAAAGGAAAATAACTGTTGCGAGATTTCCCTTTACAATAGAAGCGTTAGCATCCCGGAATTGGAGCCATGCGTCATAAAGTATACACGTGTTCACGTTAATGCAGGGAAATTAGTGTTACTTTATGTTGACTTAATTAAAGAAGTGAAGTCTGTAAATGAGCCAAGTGGCTCATCAAGCCGGACACTATGTCGGTTTCTGTAGCATGAAGAGACTAGAAGTATTACAGCCCCTCTCCCCCCAAACATTTCATCAGGCTTCCCAGACAATTCGCCAGTACCCTTTTATACTCCTGGCTGAGAAATAATTCATTACATAAAATTCAAATTATCAGTGACAATGTCAGTACATTGATAAAGTTCCATGATTTACTCGGGTTAGCTCTTACTGTATTTATACTGTCTCTTAAGGAGAACACTTTTTTCTTGAATGTTTTCCAACGACTCGTTATCTTTCATCTAAATTCTTGTTATTTCAGAATCGAAAAATTTCAGATTTTCTCAGAATTCAGGGGTGGCCAGAAACTATAAAATATATTTTGTTGACATATTCTTGAGACTAAACACGATTCTTAAAACTAAAGAGCGACCCATTCGATAGGGTCATGTAGGCCTGTATGGCGTATAGACTGCTGTGATTATTTGAATTTTTCTTACGTCTCCAGCAAAGACCATCATTTAAAACCAAATCCCAGATTGCACACATAGAGGACCCCTACCAGAATATTTCCAGGTTTCAGATCCTCGTAGACGTAACCAATATCATGAATGGCCTTCAACCCCTCAGCCACGTCCAAGGCTATGTTGATCCTTATAATCAGCGGCAATCCCGGTTGGAGAGCACGCAGCAGATTCTTTTCTGCTTTCTCCATGACGACGTGTACGGTATCAGGATCTGGGAGGATCCATCCATACAAGCGTAACAGGTTTGGGTGGGATCCATTGAGCCTCAGATTTATGTCCCTAAATCAAATAACACCAATATTTACTCTAATGATTTTGTCAGGGATATGGTAATTCAGATCGTTAAGTCTTAGAAATACATATCAGATAGTCTACTGTTTGGATTTGTAATAGAGTGAACAGACTGAATTAAGGCCACGAAACTATTAGTGAAGTCGCCCAAACTTTGAGATAAATTGAACGGGGGAATCCTCAAAACGTGTTTTTGTTCTTATCAAGCAGTTTATGATCAAATCGACGCTTCTACCACAGGCATTTGATTGTCGTCCATGCCGCGGGGGTGAGGAGTGTGGACCTTACCTGGGTGGGGTGGGGAGCTTTAGCCAGGAGTATTGATAAAATTTTAACTATGGAGGAGTTAAAAGAAAAGAGTCCGCTTTCACATCGAAGAATGATGCTTACAAGCCAAAAAAAAAAAACAAAACAAAAAAAACAAAAAAAACCACAACAACAACAAAAAAAACAGCAGCACCAAAAAAAAAAGTGAGTTTGCTAAATTCAGAAACATTCGTTGATCGTACAGAGAGTTGTTCAATAAAAAATGTGCTTGAGTAAGCCATTTGAATGCAAATTTGGCCCAGAGGGACGGGAATATAAACGGAATAATCTTCAAAAGCTCAAATACCCGGGTGGTTGCCCGAAGGGGATGATGAAGCTTAGAATTGACTGACGCATTAATTCACTACAGTTTTTAATGCATTACTTACATCATGTTGACTAAATCCACAGCATTCTGGCTCCAGGCAGCTTCGCTCAAATTTCGCTTTTCAATGACTTTTACCACGCACTGTCCAGTGGGTGTGGCACTACACCAGCTTTCGCTTATGCAGTCATAGATAGCTCCATGTCTTGTTTTGGCCACAAGAGAACCACGCTCAACTGGCCCAAACGTTTGCAAATATTGCAAGGCCATTCCTTCCACAGTCAATTTGCGAATCTTTGGGGTCAATTGGACCCGGAAAGATTCCAGCTGAGCTGACACGAAGCTGTTGGTAAAAGTCTCTTGCAAAGAATTGAAAGAAGAAAGGGCACCCTGAAATTTCTCATGCATTTCTAACAGACGGTCTGCACATACGGTTAGAACTGAATACACGACACCATTGAAGTCAATCATAGCCAACAGCGTCTCACAAATATTCTGCCTGGTTGACCTCTCGGAAATATCTACGTCATGGTAACTCACCAAGTCTCGTGGCGAAAGAACTCGAGAGAGAGGATCCGAGATTCCAGTTCTCAGAGCAACAGAGGAAACGTCGTTCGTGGAGTCAAGAAGCCCATTCATAACAACTTGGAGTAACTGATCTGTTTCACTTTTGACGGCCAGGAATTGAAAGTCATAGATGTCCTCTAATATGCGTGAGACCATTGGGTCTTGAACGACTGAATGGAAGTCATCGATAGCACGTATAAGATCGTGGACGTAATCCTTCATGAGGCCGTGAACAGCTGTCTCCAGGGTTTGGCATGACATTTCCAAGATGCTGCGTTTCATGTCAGCAACAAATGTTGCTAAAGCAATGTCAAGGCCGGAATCTAGCAATGTCTCTGAGAAAGCCGGTAGCTCAGTTCTAACCAGGGTTTGAAACTCTATCTGCAGACTTTCCCGTTTCTCGGCTTTGTACTCTTCAGCTTCGCGTAAAACATGCGTCTTAAGGACTTCTAAATTTGTCACAAGCGTGCGCTCTGCCTCCTCCGACTTAAATGTGATTGCTGTTGCCAACGTTTGGATCATTTTGTCCAACACCTCGGCAGCTTTTGAATTCAACAAAGGCACAACCGATGCTTTGTGGGTGATGGAATCCCTTCGCACCTTCATGGTACTCGCAAAGCTTTCTTGGAGAAGTACAAGTTTTCTTACGACTCTAACAGTTTGAGTTTTAACAACCTCACAAAGGCGGTTCTCTAGACTGGATTCAAAAAGACGAAATTTTGTGGTTGCTTCTCCCTCTTGTTTTCTCCGGCGTTCTTCGCGAACTTCTTTGGCTGAAATAGCATGGAACATGGGGCACGTCTCCCACGAATCTCCACGGAGATACCTGTCTTTTAGTAGATCAAAAACGGCCTTTGCCTTTTCGTTTGCTATTCTTGACTCATTTAAATGACGTTTACAACTGTTACCTGTCTCTTCATCGTCATCTTCATCATCATCATCATCGTCGTCGTCGTCATCGTTGCCCTCGTCATGATCATCATCATCTCTGTGAGATTGCAAGCTACGTCTTGACCGCCGATCATATTTCTTTGCTTTCGTAGTGATGTCCACTTTGTTGCAAACAAACATGATTTGAGTTTGAGGAAATTTGTCCCCTAAGAATTCCAGTGTTTCTCTATCCTGAAAGGAAGAAATAAATAGCCCAGTGAAGGGTTAATTCAAAGAGGAAATTCTGATTGTTTGGCAAAGATCTACTCTCAATAACTTCGAATAACAATTTGGGAATGGTAACTAGAATTTTTTTTTTTTGGGGGGGGGGGATCACATGGTTTTCAAGGAGAACTGAGTGAGATCAGTCGTCGCCAACATAGTACATAGGGAAAACCATAGAACATTGACTGTCTATTAACTGCCAATATGGGAGGGGGAAAACAAGAGTACATACAACCAAAATCCCCTGACCCCTCCCCTTTGCCCCTAGCCTATAAATCGACCAGTCCACAAAGTAGTAAGTTTGGATGTTCTCCGGTCTAGTTCAGTTTGGACAGCGTTCACTACAGAGGAGAAAGTGGACTATTTGAAAATCTGATGTACATTCTCTAAACTTTCCTAATTTGAGAAAATGAAAGACACTTTTTAAATTTCAAAACGCGTATGTGAGCACTTGGTCAGTGATAGGACCTCTCACATTTTCAGACATCTACATAATTCTCCACGATGTCGCACACATTGTTCTGATGAGTGTTTTAACATCTTAGATCACGCTTCCACCACTTTCAACTTAAAATAAAGAAGCTATCCACATTCAATGGGAGAAACCTACACTTAATCACCAATTTATCACGTTAATTTCAAACTTTCCTTGTAAATGCATATATTGTTCTGTTACTATTGTAACAGAAATTCGTTACATATCTGAACAGCTCATCACATGATGAGCTGTTCAGGGTTCTTCCGGTTTAATTTTGTAGTTATTACTTCGCGAGATGATTCCAGGCTTTCATTTTTAAAATCATTTAAATTAAGTTCCTCTTGCTCATGTTTTACGAGACTCTTTGGCAAAGTTGCTGTTAGACTAATGCGGGTATCAGCGGCCATCCCGAGGGGTCGACCCCCGGGCACCCAAGGGCATTTGTTACAGCTGCCGTGACAAATACATGCTAAAGCCCCTCGGGTAGGGCAAAAAATTGGGACAAATACCCCCACCCCTGGAGCAACCTGGGCAACATATAGTCGGTGTTGCTTGTTCCTCGATGCAAAAGAACGAGTGATCATGGTTTACTGAAGCCACATCAGCACTTAAATCCACACAAGTCTCTATGGAGTCCTCAAATTCGAGCTTTCTAGGGCAAACTTTCTTGGCTTGCGGTTGTTCATCACACTGTCTCTTCCTATCGGCAAGACGCTTCGAATGCGAACTAACCGTATGAAATTGAAATCTCGATGTCGCTTTCCTTAAAATGCAATGAACAGATTCTTGGATCGCCGAGTGTCTTGAATTTTTTATCCGCTCGCTTACAGAAAACCTCCCACTTCTTACGCTCATTGGGCCTTGTAGGAAAGCAAAAATAACTGAGATCAGGTCGTTTCTTACTCCCATTTACCTCGAGGGCTAGAAGAACATCGAGCGAGCGAGCTTGCTTGTCCTGTGGCGAAAACCGCTGAACGTTGAGACAGCAGATTACGTGCAAATCCCGTGGGTATGGCCCCGGGGAATTTTGCCAAAAACGCAAAAGCGCTCTAATGCCCCGCGTGCGGGGCATGCCTTTGCTACAAATCCCCTGCTAAGCCCGTGGGTTGCCATTGGGTTGCCCGGGGGTAGACCCCTCGGGATGGCCGCTGATACCCGCATGAGCTCAAGTAAGAGATTAAAACTTTCCATGCTCTTTGATGCCAGACTTCAAACCATAAGATGTAAACAAATAAAGCTTCTATTTATAATAAAGAACAACAGATATTGCGTATGTCTTATCCATGGACTAGAAGAGTGATTCAATGGGTGGTTTAGCCTTTACTTACCGAGCGTGTGAGTCGTTTATCTCCGTTGATGACATATACAAACAATGGTATGGTGCCTTTTTCAAGGAAGCTGTCCAACACTTTGTCTAATGCCTCTGATTCACTCTTCCCAGGCGAGTCGATGAGTTCCAATCCACTTAGTAGAAGCTTGTGGTTTAATCCGACCTCAACAGTGGCTCCCAAGACAGCTTCATCTTCCCTGTCCCGATCGGAAACGACGATGAATTCTTTTGGGGGTTGTTTGTCGGTAAAGAACTGTTTCTTGACCTCTTCGCCATTTGATCTTATGAGTCTAACGTACGGCTCAGTCGCATATTTGATTCGAACAATTCTTGCCGTGCAAGGGATCTCGTCAACTGGTAAAGCAGACTTTCTAAGAAGTTCATTAATCACTGAGCTTTTTCCGCAGTTCTTTTCGCCAATAAAGAACACCGAAGGGCTTTTCTGGAGCTCGTTTCTTACTTCCTCTTGATGCGGCAAGAGAAACCTGAGTGCATCTTTGTTAGTCACTGGAACACTTCCTTCGATTTCCTGAAAACAATCTACTGTTCGCTCGAATAAGTTGGAGCTACTGTCGTAGTAGCGTCTGAATTCATCTATGGCTCTTTGCAAATCGGAGTAACTGTTTGAGTCTCCCATTGATTTCCTACATGAAGTCAATTCATGTTCCGTAGCAGCCTTACAAGAAGCGCCGAAGGTTTCTTATTTTTCCCAGAAATCATGTACTTGTTGGATTGGTAATTGTACTGGACTTGTACAAAAAGGATAAACGGAATGTATTCGTCAAGTGACTGTAAGTCTGAAAAAATTAAAACCTGCCACGACGTTCTCGGCTGTTTTCCTTAGTCGACGATGAGGAAGAGGGATCGTGTGATCAAAATTCAACAAGTAACTTGTTTCGGAAAATACGAAGGGTATAAATATTTTGAAACTGACTTGTTTCAATTTCGCCAAAATTTCTGCCAGCGGTACTGGTCTGCCTCTCTCTCATGTAGCGAAAGGTCAGGTTCTCTAGTTCTTTCTCAATGCTCTTGCTGCTAGAAGCATCGAAAAGGAGCTCTCAGTCAATATAATTACTTCGCTAATTTTCTGGCTCATGTGACGACAGTCACAAGTAACCAAGTTTGGGATACATGTATTTTTCGGTAGGCTGATAAAGGGTTAAGGCTACAGGATAAAACGTTAGGCTATAGAGAGGGAGAGGGGGGGGAGTAGTTAAGGACATGAGTACAGTCGGGCTTTCTCTATACCCAGTCTTCCCAAATGCCTTCGCGAGCTTTCGCGAAAAGGGCCTCTGTCATCGTTGTGGCTGAGTTTCGAAAACCCACTGGAGACTTTTAAGTTCCTCTTCATTCCATATTCACCGCATGAGACAATATCTGCCTTTCTTCAGCTTTGTTTATTTAAAAAACTTAATTCAAACTCAAAGTTTTAGCAAATTTCGTTCTTAAAAAAGGAGGAGGCTGACGGCCCGTGACATATCGTAAATCGATCTCCTCTCTCTTAGAAACAAACTCGCCATTGTTTGATCAGTTTTTCAACGCCTTTCCTTTGCTTTATTTGGTTTTTTATTTCAAGCGGGCAATATCAACGCTTCATTTTTTACTTTATACGTATTCAGTAGCGCACAATTATGACACAGCTCTTGATAAACTTAACTTTAAATGATTGACTTACAACGAGTGTTGTTTATAATCGTCACGCAACGCCCTCTCTTTCCTGCGTGACGGGACCAAACAATAACTTCAAAGGGGAGTGACGAAAAGATTGATAGCTGATACCGAATACTTTCCTGGATAATTTGCAGATTGCAGTTTACCTTCTTTTGACCCACTGGCTACTTGATACAACGAGTGTAAACCTACGTCGAGGAGGGCTTTATAAATTATTGCAATTATTGTCAATGCTTTTCAAATGGTTTTCATAAACCAAATAGCTTGACTTAAAAGACAATGGGGGAAAATGCTTTTTCGGTGGCTGCATGCTGCAAAATCATGGAGCAATCTACCCCAGGATTGACGTAATGACAAAGGTTTTGATACTTTTGAATTAATGTTTAAGACTTACATGTATCTATTTTTGCCTTGCTTTTGATAATATCTGTATATAATTAGTTTCCCATTTTTTTAATGTCTTAGCTATTTGATTTTTCTATACTTTTTTATAGTTTTAATAGACTGAAATGTTGTAGTATTTCATGCGGTGAAATGCACTATTATCACTATTATATTATTATTTTTAACTTGTAGAGTGGATAGTACTGCTCAGAAAAAGACAACCTAAAAGTTCTGAATAATTATCAACTTCTATGTTATGATATCTATTCTGTCTTTCTTAACCCTTTATCTCCCAGATCAAATTTGTAATTCTCCTTACTATCTCCCATGAAGTTCTTGTGATGTTAGTTTGGAGAATTTGGTAGTAGATCAACTAATAATCCCCTAATTAAGATTTTACCTCATTCTCATAACTTGTCTGCTTGATATAGTATTGATATTGTAAGGAGAAATGCTGTCTTGGTCACACATGGGAGTTAAAGGGTTAATATACTTAATATACTAAATTGCTAAACTTTGTAATTGTTAAACTAGAAACAATTTTTATTATAATACTACATTTATTCATTCAATTTTATTCTATTTTAATTCATCTTTGGTGTTTGTGATTGTTTCTCTCCAATAACTAGTGTAATTTGTACAATAAACTAGTGTGTATGTACACATGTATGTTAGTAAATCACTGTGTAGTAGAGAAGGACCATTTGAAGTGCAAGTGGACCCTCTAAAAGGAAATGAATCATCATTTTCCCTTGTTGAATAATTTTTTTTTCAGTTAAATGCAACTGAGTGTACAAACATATCAAGATGTTGCAAGAGCAAGGATTTTTCAGCACTTACGTCAGGTGGTGTTTATGTAGAGGGAATGAAGTACCGATTCTTGCATTAGGAAGATCAGAAGTTGGTTCTGGGAAAGAAAAAAGGATAGGGAGCCATCTCCATCCAGTGTTCTAAGACAGCAATTGTCATAGGTCATTGTCCAGAGGGAGGTCAGCAAGGTAATACCAACAAAGGTGTCTCAGTAATTGCAGACTTAACCTTGAAGGTATGGGCATATAATGCAAGGTTAAATTCTGTTAGCACTTTATATAGTTTGTGGTAGAAATCTGCTCTTTAATTCTCAACCACATTACCTCATTTTTTTAAATGTATTTATTGAGGCCTTGCTGTAGACAAATTGGAGTTTATGAAATCAACTGGTTGCCAATGAATTGTTATGTAGTGTTCTGATGATAATGATGATGATTGCAATTTAAAAGCCTCCCTTTCATCAGGTTACAAGTTGATAAAATATTCCATCATAATTATTGTTTTGAATAAACTAGCTGGCGTGATTGATAATGTAGTTGGTTTAAAAAGTGTATTTATTGTAATTTGTAAAAGGATACACTTCCTAAGGATTTGTCCCAGGAACTTGCCATTCAATCCTAATAAATCAAATTATTTGAGCTTTTCACTGAGTGAAGCACTGGTATCACAACTACTTAACCCTTTCACTCCCAAGATCTGATTAGTATTACTTACTGTCTGCCATAGAATCTTTTGATATTACTCAGGAGAATTTAGTATTGGATCAACTTATAGTCCCTCGAGTTATATTCTGCTTTATTCTCACGACTTTTCTACTTGATATTGCACTGATATTGTAAGGAGAAGTTTTCTATTTGTCCCACATGAGAGTTTAAGGGTTTCATACTTGTTAACTAAAAGTTGGATGAATGTTTCAACAAACCTACCTAAACTTCCCTTCCCTGCCACCGCACGCTTGGTTATGTTAAAGGAAAAACTATGTTGGATCTGCTACCTTGGCAAGTTTGAGGGAAGCTGTATACTATACTCTGTTTTCCAACTTTTCAACTGGAACAACAAACTGCCTTCAAAAGGACAATGGGAGTTAATTCATGGAACACGACAGGAGTGGAACTTCAAAAAGATGTGGGCTGGATATACCGTATTTCCTTGAATAAGTGCTCACACTCAAGGCAAAATGTTATGCAAAAGCGTTCCTTATCCCTCACTTTCTACAATGGGGATACAAGGAAAGCTGGCCTGTTTCTAATGCCACTTTACGTAATACTTTTTAAGCTTCAACAACAGCGAAATCAGCACAGGAGAGTGGTTTCTTTTCTGTTAAAGTCACTTCCAGTTATTTCTATCTCCCTATGCAGTCAGTTTTCCTTATGTGCTTTTTCTGTGATTTTCTTTTTTGTCCTGTTGCTGCGCTCACCCAATAAGGGACCTTCTTCCGATATGCACCCCTCTATTTAGCCAGACGAGCGCTTATTCGAGGAAATACGGCAATTAGTTCGGTTGCTGTAGAGTATCAGGAGAACCCCCCACTTTCCCGTCTGTGCCTCTATTTAGAGAGACTACAATACAAGTGCCGCGCTTTTGAAGCAGGCGTGTGATCGATTTTCGGCTGTAATGTGTCCCCCGATCGAAGGGGACTGAATCGGTCATAAGGCGTCAGACTTCCAACTTTACAGGTAAATTTATTCCAAACTCAGCGCTCAAATTACACCCAACGGAATGGATAGTCTCTATTGAAACCTCTCTGACAGGTACAGGCGAACTTGTTTTCGTGATGGTTTCATCAACTAAGTTGATGATGTAAATATGCCACAGTAAAGAGTTTCAAAGCTGACGTTTCAAGCGTTAGCCCTCGTTGATTGCAGCAGAAGAGGTGAAAAATTCACAAATAAAAAATTCACGAATAACATTAAGTTCATCGGATTCATCCATATACACATTTGAACTAAAGGTAATGCTTTACTTATGGCTAACAATCCAAAAAATTTAATCAAAAGATCGATTAACATATCATTACCAGAGAGGTCGTATAATCAAAGGCAATTAAGCAAGCGTACTCCTTATTCGTAGTGCGCATATTGGTGACGAGTGTTTACACAGTGAAGTGTGCCAGGGGTGAGGGGTGGAAGGGATTCCTGTTAATCGGTACGATATGGCTCAGCGTCAGCTATGCGGAAGGTAGAGTTGCTTTCGTTTATACCGAGGCACGGATCGCGTTATCAGTGCCTACTCTCGTTTCTCGTACAAATAAAAAAGATGAATTAAGTTTTTTTTCATGGATGCAGAATCAATTATGTCCCATACGGCTGCTACTGATCCGGCATCTCCGCTAGGTACGTTTCCAAGTCCCTAACCACACTGTCGAATGATGGCCTTGCTTCGGGATCCTGATTCCAGCACCTTACCATGAGTTGCCAGCATTGTTCTGGAAACACGTCCAACCTCTCTGGTGTCTTGTTGTCAACGGCATTCATCATGAGCATAACCAGAGGTAGAAAGTGGCGGTTTATATTCTGTGGTTGGTTGCCCTGACCTTCGCACACTCGCCAGAGCAACATGCCGAGCGCGTACACATCAATGGATTTGTCGTACTGTTAAGTTGTTTCATCATTTCGGGCGCCATGTTGATAGGAGTACCAACCAACGAGTTACAGATGAGACCCTCGGGTTTACAGAGACCCAGATCAGTTAACTTGCGTTATTTTTCTCGTTTGAAAAATTGAATTTGCTCGTCCAAAAATGTAATGTACTAGCTATATGCTGTATAAATTCAGAATTATTATTAATTATTAATATGATCATTACTATTATTATTATTATTATTATTATTATTTCTAAGTCCCCTTTTGGTTCAATAATTAGCTCCTCTTATGGAACTCTCCATAAGCACAGCCTTACATAGCTAACACCCACCACAGCCCCATTTATTTCACAATCAACGATAACAGGTAGCGTGACGGTACTCACCAAGACGTTCTGCATTTTAACATCGCGATGGATCAGCTCCTCTCTGTGAAGATACTGCAAGGCTTTGGCAACGTCAAGAGCTATCTCAAGCCTCTTTCTCAAGGAGGGTATACCCATTAAACCATCATGAAGATCGCATCTCATTCGCTCCGAGACAAGTTGCACAGAAAGGCCACAATTTGGGTTGGACTCCACTACGGTGCATATAACGGGTAGAATGTTCGGATGGTGTAGGACTCTTAAACGGAGAAGTTCATTTCAGTAAATAGTTGGAATAAGAAAAGACCAGGGCTTGAATAGCTTTCAAGAATTTCCTTAATCCTCCGAGTGTTCAGATAAACCCCTGTGAACATGGAAAAAAGAAATCCTATATTTGCCCTTAAGAAATGATTTCTCAAAATACGGACGAATCTGTATCGATAACTCCAAACGAATCCATCGACCAATAATACCGCGCGTTGTTTCGCATCTGTTTCATAACGTTACTTTACCTTACCATCTTGATATTGCACATTACCTTGGCAGTCACAAAAAAGCTGTTTCAAGCTTCTGACGATTTCCTGAGCCATGTCAGATGGATCTACTTTCGCAAGGGCATCTGAAGCAACATCTGTCTTCCATTTCTTCGAGCCAACTTGATCCTCTCCACTGATGGTCTTGATAATTGTTTTGATCGGATAACGAATCGCCTTGTAGAACCACACGCTTAATTTCTTTATGAAACGGAATGCTGCTCCGTTGCGTTGTGAAAATGTGATTTGAGCTTCGTAAGAAGAAAGAAGGCTTTTGCTAAGAGCGAGTGTTGCCGATGGAATGTCGTTGTCTCTGGCAATTTCTCCTTGAATTTGCTCCATGCCATCTTTGAGGTGAACAAGGAACAGATCTCTGGAGCGGAACATCATTGTTAACTTTTGCTTGATCTCTCCTTGGAGTTTTTTGACCACCATCCCCTGAATCTGGTCCTGACAGTAAGCCACAGCTTCTTTCTCTTTTACATGGCCACTTGACGGAATGGTAAATTCGGTCAAAACGTGTTCAAGATCTCCTGCCTCCTTTAGGATGTCTTCTCTGGCTCCATTTATGGCATCACTGAGCAGTTCTTGTATATCCATGGCCTGCTTTTCGTCCTTCAGGTCGCGGATTATGTTGTCGTGAACTTGCTGTTCCTCGCGCAAAAGTGTTTCCAACGTCTTCAATATTTGCTTCTTTCCCCTTTTCAAAACATTGGCTTTCTGAATGAAGACTGAAATCCAAGCATCTGGATAGAACGCGCACGAGGGTTTTGCACACACACTTTACCCTTGCACGTAGAGATTCTTCGGTGAACTCTTTCAAGCTGTTTTGAAATCTCTCAAAGGCTTGAGTGTAATCTGTAAACTCCTCGGAAGAAGCTTCGGGATTTCTCTTCTTCAAAGCGTGGTACTGCTGGATGCGCCAAGCTGACATCCCATGGAATCGCTCGTTTTGATTCATGGGCAGTTGAGAAGGAAAATGGCCGTTTTTGACAAGCCGCTCGTACACCCGTGTCTTCTTTCTGTTCTGTACTTCGAGCTCTCGCTTTTTCCACGCCTTCACTGGTGCTGCATGACCTCTTGGTTCATCGTCCTCATCTGATGATTCGGTACGATCTTCCGGTTCTAGTTTGCTAACAACGAAAAATATTGATAAATCGGTCCCTGAGGATGTCATTTCATTCAGGACCTCTCTATCCTGGCAAGGAAATAAATGACAATTGGTATTAATTGATGGTAAGACTGTGTAAAGAAAAATCAGTATTAACTATTAGATCTCTTTCACGCATAGAAATAGAGAGCGAATAATCTACTTGTTTCTAATCTGCTAATTATTCAAAACTTAATAACAAAACAAGGTCAAATAGTTATTTTATTTTGTTTACAACCCCACAATACTACTAGGAAGACACTTCACAACCTAGGAGCTCGTTGATTATGGAGCTTTTCCCGCAGTTGGTTTGCCCGACAAAAATGAGCGCCGGCTCCTGATCAAACAAATCGGTAACTTCCTTCTTCTCCTTAGGTGTGTAAAGCAGCTCAGCAAAGGCGTTATCGAACTCTAGATGAACATCCGCCATTGCCACTGTTTGAGCCATTACTCGAACTTCGTCTGGAGAAGCTTGCACGGGTGAGGTTGAGTAGCGAAGTTCTTCCGCAATTTCTGCAGTACCTTTAACGGAAAGCTTTCGAACGATTTCATCGAAGCATTTTACCGTGTCATGGTGAACTTTTTTTAGCACAGCCTTGCTTTTCTTGAAATCCTCAAACACGTCTTGAAGCGCCATGGCTGGAAGACTCGACGAGATTGAACAGCACTGCATCAGATGTCCAAGTTTATTGTTTCTTCAATTCCTTTCGTGAAAAAAGGGGAAGTCAATAGTCATCGATCACCTAAGTTGAAATTTTAAAAATCTGGTACGGACTCGTGTATGATAGAAGACTGGAGCACGGAGTCCGCAGTGTCTTGCTATACCAATCCTCATCGTTACATCATGTTATAACTGATGTTATGATATGATTTTAAAAACTCTCAATTTTCCTTCAGAAGATTTCCTTATTAAGTTCGAATGCTACTCGTTCGATCTTACTAAAGGTCTCCAGGTTGATAAACAGCTTAAACGATTCAAAACGAAAATGACAGACCTGTCAAAATAATCTGAAGAGTTCTTGGCTATACTAAATTTTCAGTCAACGGTCCATTACAGTTTCAGTTAGCTTGAAGGCTCTTGCTCTTTTCATCCTGTCTTGGGCGGCTGTGAGGGCCGACGGTATTGGTTGAATCAAAAGAAAAGTGAGTTAAATTCTGCTAATGAATCCCCCGCTCTGACTGGTAAAAGAAAAACAGAAATAAAACAAAGACAAAGACAAAAAGAAAGAGCAAAAAAAAAAATAGAAACAAGTTGCTGATGATAGCAAAGATTTGTTCATGTCTGAATTTATCAAAGAAAAATTTATAGCGAAGGGGAAGCTCAATGAAAAAAGAAATCTGTACAAGAAAATTCCGAGTCCACTCCAATCATCCCTTGCATGTCTGGATGTCACGCAATATGTTGTCATAGTCTAGTTTTTCCGAGAATCTGAATGAACCAGGAATCAAAGTAATTCCAGAAATAAGCGTGGTTTGTTGTGCTCGTCTGTACAGGATCAAGTCCCTTTGCAAACCTTTATACTGAATGAGATCCAACCTTACTGTCATTGTGAACAAATGGCTTCCCGCGAGGGTGAGAAAATTGGAAATGTTGATTTGAAGTAGTTCATGTTACAGCATTACGAAAGTCTGCAGTCTGGCCTTTCTATTGACATGCAAAAGGAAATATTTGCAACTGGTTGCGGAACGAGAGCCTAAATTAAGCTTTGTAGGGGAGTTAAACGAAGCCAAGTCTCATTATGATTTAGCTAAGAGTACAACCGACATTTTAGTAAGAGAGGGAAATAGAACCTTCGGTACGTACTCTAAACTGTCACCGATCATGCAAACGAAAACCATAAGTCAGCAACCTCTCTTATTTCGTTTATGTATTATTAGAAGTTATGTTTCCATTACGAGAATCGTTCCCATCGTTAAGGCGTTATATTCTTTGGAATAGTAGTCGATCAGCTCCAATTACCGTCACAATGCGATTTCACTCAGAAATTTATGTTTCTGACTCACTGCAAGCCCATAGTAACACTAATTTCAGTTTGTAGGAACATTCTAAAATATGCTACTAGAGGTTTCTTGAACATCTCATTTCCTTTTCCTTTCAAGCGCAGTTTGAGATCTGTATTAACCATAAAACTGTTTGAATCAATGGGAACTAATTTTAATCCACAAAACCAGACACCAAACAATATTTGGGACAAAAGCAGCCTTGCCATTTAATTAATATTTTCACAAATACGAAACTCTTGGATGATGATATACATAAAATAATGATAAAATGATACTCGAATATGTTATTTAACAAAAAGGCTGGCTGATAGAAACACTGGACAGATACAAAGACTAGCAAACATGAAATACTGGGAAGGGATGGAAGGGTCAAAGAGATATATCTTCTAGGAATACAAATGAGGTTTTCTATATATTTGCTAACTAGCTAAGCAATCAAGCAACTGATATAAATCACTAAGTAATCTTTTAAGTACCTATCATGTAATTTTACTTGTAATATAGGAAAACTAACTGACAAGAAAAGTCTGTTTTAATGTTAAATTTCTTTTACACAATGATGATGTGAGACTGCACGTCTCTGTACCAATTTATTATGTTTGTAATTTAGAAGCACTTCACCCAAGGGCTCCTATTGATAACAGATATACTTTTAAGTATTCTGAAGGGATTGCTACTAATAATAGGTAACATTTCCCATATGCAAAATTATGTTTGTTAAAGGAGATTGGCCTCAAATTTGCTGTTCTTTTATTTGCATTTGCTGTTTTGTGAAGATTAAGAAATTAATTTGGAAAGCTATATAGGTTGTAGAAAACTATCGGTTCAACTCCTCGTACATAAATGATTTACCCCAAAGCTCTTCATGGGAGGAGAGGGAGGGGGGGCAACTTAACCCCTTAGCCCTGTGCTAATTATAGCCTCAGTTTTTTTGTGGTGAGCTTGCTCACAGTGGCATTCTCAAAACCCTCGATACCCCCAGATTCTTGCCCATTTATGATACAACCATTATCCTCATTAACTGTCTGTCTCAGAATATATTAATTTTGTAAGGAGGAAGTACTGTCTAGTAGCAATTGGGAGTGGGAAAATTTTAATTTTCTTGTCATTTACATTTTTCATTGGAGTTCAGTGAAGTTGTCTGGGTTGTTCTTGTCCTTTTGTGTGGATCTCAACTATTTTATAATCAACCCATTCACTACCAAGATCTCATTGGCAATTCTCTATACATTCTACCATATAACTATTATGATGCTAGTTTGGAGGATTTGATATTGGATCAACTAATAATCCTCTAATTGATATTTTAATCTTTCTTCTCGTTACATTTCTGCTTGGTATTGTACATTTAAGGAGAAATTCTGTCTTGGTCATTCATTGGAGTTTTAAGATTAACACAAAATACTGTTTCTAAGTATTGCAATCAGTAGTTCTTACATTCCAACCTGTCAGGTTAAAAACTAAATTCTTGAAACCAAGGAAATAAAAGCTTATAATTTACACTTTTCCTTTAGTTGGCCAAGATAATTGATTGAAAGTAACATCTTCTCCATTGTAAATCCAGGTATCTCTGGCTATGATGACACAGAAACAGATGAATTTCCTGCTTCATCATTTGAAGAACAGTTTAAAGACTTGACCTCTCTCATCTCCTTCTTTGAGGAGTGCTCAATGGAAACATGGAAGTTTATTGACAACATGAAAGAGAATTTCTCTGAAAGCTTGAAAACAGATCTTTTGACTGACAAAGAAAGGCAGAGTCTGCAATCATATGCATCCAAGAAATCTACTCTTTTGGTTGTTGGCCAAACAAATAGTGGAAAGAGCTCCTTTGTAAATGAACTTCTTGGTGGGTCATTCATGCCAACTTCTGAAGTACCATGCACATCTCGCATTGTCCGTCTTAAATATAGTGAGAAAAACTATATCCAGGTTTGTGATGCACCTTTTTATTTGAAGAGAGGCTGATAATTTGATCAAATACCAGCAGTTTCTTTTTTTGAGGGGGGAAGGAATTGTAGACCATTTCTGGCTTCCCCCCTTAGCTTCTCAGGAGTGGCTTTATTTCATAGCTCAGTTGGGTCATTCTTTAGAATCCAGAAATGTATTTTTTGTCATGAATAGACCCAAACATCATAATTTAGGGTATAAATATTTAATGTTTCTTGAACATTCTTCTTTGGCGCCAGTTTTGACCTGAATATTGTGGGAAAAGATCCAACTTGTGCCATGAACTCCTTCTAGTAATGACTACATTGGACAAATACATTGCAATAAACATTTTTATTACCTCTCCCCTTTTTTTCTCTGAAATAATAGTACTGAAAATTTTACCATTCATATTAAGGTATTGGATAAATCCAAACCTAATGAAGGAGAGAAGACTTTCTTTGATAAAAAGAAGGTACCGAAAGAGGAAATAGAGTTGGATGACAGCCAGAGAGGAGATCAATCCTGGGTCAATGCTATAGTGGAAGTGGGTCTAAACAATTCTCTCCTCCAAAATGGACACCTGGAAGTTATTGATGCACCTGGGATGAGCGAAAATGAAGCTCTGGACAAGATTGTTGAGGAATGTATCCACGGCATTCTTCAAGTCATTATCTACGTCATAGATGGGAACTCCTCTCTAAGGTTGCAGGTCAGTTATAGTCTTACGTTCATGTGGGTTTTGAAGGTGGAATTATTAGTACTATTTCACAGTCTTGGCTACACTTCAATCCCATTCTCATGTCGTTGCTTGTGATTCCCACTACTAGTGACCCAAATCCCATTTTCCTGGTGAAGGATGGTGTAACGAACGCACCGATAAATTCTCTAAACTATTATTGCACAACCAGTATAGAAATGAGTTAAATAACAATAATTTACAATGGTGGAAAACAAGGTAAATGAAGATTAAACGAAGGAAGGGCTGCAAGAACATACCTAACGGTTAGTATGCTAGTACGAAACGACACTCAAGGAAAATTCTGAGTACAAATGAATTGGCGCGAAAACGATTTAAATATGGTGATATCGCGCAGAGGTTGGGGACCAGCAAAGCGCTGAACGACGTTGTAACAGAAGACAAATCCCATGCACCGTTTTACGTCTACTTGCCCTTTGTATAACTGTCATTGTCATTGGCACCATTTCCTTTAAGGGCTTTTGCATTATAGGACTGAGCACAAATTTGGGAAGGTGTGCTACTTGCACAACACAAATTATCTGAAATCAAAGGTTAGTTTTGTATAGGCTTGGGGTGGGGAGGTTTGACTACAAAATGTTGGTGATCTTCATCTCTGCTACTTGCTCAGCTTAATAGAGCAAGCGAATCGGTCCATTTTTCCCGTTGGTATAGCTATCCATATGGGTAGATGAGTGGATGACTTAATTTTCAGAAAGCCATTCTAGACTGCGCCCAAAAAAAAATTAATAGTTACAAAATTGACTGCAACTCTTTTTACGGGGTGTTGTTTTTATGAATCCATCTAAACAGTTTTCGCGTTTGAATCACAGGAAAGAGGTTTTCTTCTAAACCTGAAGGAGAAAGTTGGTAACTTGCCCATTTTCTACCTGTGCAACAAGGTTGATAAGGATATGACAGCCCTGGAGTTTGACAAGGACTCTGACTCAGAAGAAGATAAAGACCCACCTAATGAGGAAGAAAAAGAGCTGCTCGCTTATCGGGCTCTCTCTCAATGCTACATGGTGCCTGGCGACATAGAACCTACACAATGTCCTTTCTTTCACGGTTTGTCGACCAAGGAGGTCAGAAACGCTCGACTGAAAAAGTCTTCAAACCAGTATACTAAGCAGTTTGATGACCTCAAGTTTAAGTTGCTGAAATTCGTTGCCGATGGAGTGACCAGCCATCTACGATCTGCAGCAGAATTGCTCTGTCAGATTCAAAAGAGAGTGTTTGATTTCTTCTTGAATTGTGATTTCAACCAAGATACAATTCATGCTCAAGATGAGTTATTTAATAAGCTAGAACTTAAAGAGCGCGATTACGTGGTAAAAATGCGAGGCTATGTCCAGGAGAATCTCTATAAGCTTTCCAAGCTTGTCGAAGATGGTGTCAAGAACAACAGAGCTGAGATCCTAGCTGACGCTGCCCGAATGCAGTTTAATTCAATCAAAATTGGAGATGTTGTCGGGCGAAATGAAGTGGTAGAACAGTGCCGCAGACAGATCAAGGACCTGGTGTTGTACAAGGCTACGAACATATCGCTGATAAGAATTCAACACACTATCTCCGCTATCACCAACGATCTACGCGAATCTCTCGAAGGCTCGCTCTGTGAGGTCGGCAGAAAGGATGACCACTTAGCTACGGTTGTAAGAAAGCAACTGCAGTACAGTTTCCTACAACATTTTCAGACGCGAGACGTTTGTCCTCATTTTGATTATGCTTTGATGAAAAGTGGAGTGCGGCTTATGGACAACGCGAAGAAGGCTGTCATTGATGTGTGGTCTGCCATTCTAGGGAGGGGGACGTATCTTAACGCGGAATGGAAGCAAAGTATCGCCGAAAATGTGCTTGACAACATCGATTGCGATGCCATCGCACGCAGAGTTTGTCAAAGGATGCTAGAGGATCTGGAAAACGGGCACCAATTGTTCCAATTTAACCTGGCTTACATGAAACAATTTTGTCGTGCAGCCCTAGAACTGTCTGACGTTCAGAAAAAATTCGCCGCAGAACAATCCCCATATTTTTCCAGACTGATGAGTGAGGCCTGTGCTCTTTCCCAGACGCTAGCTCTCGATATTCCTTTGAGAGCAGTAGTTGGAGCGCAAATAGGAAGGAAGGGCAACCGAGGCAAGGTTTTCGAGGACAAAACCGACAAGGAACGAGTTGTGAAACAGCTCGCTGTTACAGTTCACCCCAGTGAAATGCGAGATGAACATTTGCTAGGCATTACAAGAACCCTAGGAAGGTCAGATTATCAGATGGTTTTTGGTCACAACCCCGGCTTATATTATGAGAAGTATTATTTCTAAATTTTACCCAATGTGTCTCTCACAAGTAGCCACCATTATTGTATGACTAGTAGACATTTTATGTAAAAGCAATTTTGCATTTGACTGCAAGAAGTCGCTTTTGAAATGGGAAAGGAAAGATTCTCAATTTTACCATGAACTGTTCAAGAGAGAGAACCTACTTGCTTCGCCTCCCACGTTTCTTAGAAGCAAAATTGAATTTTTAACTTATATATCGATGATTTTGCTCTTCTACTTTTTTAGAAGGAGGGGGGAGCGAGGATTGTTGGGGGAGCACATGGTTTTCAGGGTGGGTCAGGGTGGTTCAGTCGTCGACAATAAGGTATAAATGGGGGTACCATGGAAAATTGACCCACAATTAACTGCCATTAAGGGGTGAGGGGAATCTTAGGAATATCACAGAGCATTATGGTGCATTTTATCAAGACACGAGAAATATCCTTATTAAAACTGTATCTTTTTTATTTTTAATGCCCGCAGGATACAAGATGATATTTCCACAATCCTACGACCTATTTCGTTGAGATTGGACGGAAGTAATAGGATCTCTGTTCTGTTTCCAAGAATGGCCACAGACTTGTTCGAAAGACTTCAGAGTGATCCAATCCTTTTGCCTCAAGGTCTGAGAATAACACAGCAAATGGCTGATGCTGTGGAGAACTGCTGGGATAGACGCATTTACCATGTTGATCTCAGGATCACAAACATATTGGTAACTACGCTTCTGAATTACATTACGATATTAAATCTCTGATGTTAACTTCTCTGTTTCACTGACGAGAGTATACTGGCCGATTAGGTGTCTCAGGATTTTTTTCTTAAGGCCATAATTAAGTTATGGGGCTTGGCGTTCGGCCCGTTATAGAAAAATGAGGACAAATTAATCTTATGACTGATTTTTTTAATGAAAGGAGTTATAGATCTTTAGGCAAAATAGCTTGGCTTATCATAGCAGCAGCAAAGGCCAGTGCCCCCCACCCCTCTCGATGAATGGTGCATATCGCAATCAGGGGACCTTTTTTATTTTATTCCCTGCTCACTTCACTCGTATACAGACAATGAATATGAAAGAGTCTCAAGCAAATGACAAGTAGTGGAATAGGCTCTGCTTGGAGCCATTTTCATTTTTTTTTTTTTCTTTCTCCTCATTTTTTCTTTTAAAAAACAGGTTGACTGCTACGGGAATGCAAAGCTGAACGTTTCTAAGCCAAGGGATGACACGATTCCGTATCCTGACAACCAGGCGCCTTTCCATGTTCCTGCTCAGAATCCCTTTGCAAGGGCATCTGATCCTGATTCGTGGAACACTCTGCAGGACCATTGTGTCTACAGTCTTGCAGTCTTGCTTTTGCTGTTTGTGGGGGAGAAGTACTGCAGACCACCCTATGCCCAGACGGTAAAAGTGGATGAGGTGTATGCTGCCGTAGCCCGAGGAGAAGATTGTGCGTACGTCTTCGGAATGAACGATCCAGAGGGTCGGTCTTCTTGCGAAAGGCAAAAGGCTCGCGAAATTGTCCTTTCCATTTTTGACTTTCAGCAGAAGCATAACGAGTGTCTGCTCTCAAAGATGGATTTCTTTAAATCGAAGGTCACTGAGGTGGTTTCTAGTTACGAAACCACCCACCAATTTGAAACTGCACTCTGAGAAACTCAGCTTTTCTTCTCTGTCAAGGGGTTGGGCAATTTTTGGATGGAAAAAAAATTAGAATTTACGGCTGCCCTCAAGGGAGACCTTAGAATTTCAGTTCCATTTCCACCTAGAGAACAATTTATATAAGCCAAATTTGATAGCAAAAGTTTTTATTACATTGTATAACCCATTAGCATTCGATTCAACTCATGAAAAGACATACGAACGAATCGTAAAAAACTTTCTTGGGTTACAGTTTGAGAGAAGCGATTATTTCTTGCCCATCTTACTTGTGCTTGTTTCGTTTTGCTTCGTTATTTATGTTTTTCGTCTTGTATTTAAGGCAACTATAGAAGGTGATGAAGTATTTATATCTTAGATCTACTTTCAGAGCTGTTTTAGGGCACAAAAAATTGGTGCCATTTTGTTTCCCGTAGAAAATTGGTATCAACATAGGGTGGAGTTAGAAAACAAACTCGGGTTCTCGCGTTTTTTTTTAGTGAAAGTTATCGCGCGTTAAAAGCTTGCTAGGATTTTGCAATAACGGATTCTGCAAAAACAAGGTTTCGTCATGGCAGAGTGTGTTCTTCTAGTCGTTTTAGTGAACAGTGACTGTGTTTTATGAGTTTTTAGTTTCATCTTTTGTGGATGTAAAAAATGTGGTACCAAATAATAGACTGTACAGTGTGACCTTCAAAAGACACCTCCTCTTTTCATTTACTTTGACTACCAAGGTATTTTTATAACAGGAACTGTAACCAGCTTCTCGAAAAATAACTTTTTAAGAATTACAGGAATTAAGAGAAATGCTAAGCATTGAAACAACGTTATATCCTTTATGCTTCGCAGATAGTTGTAGGTAGTTGGTTTTTCGGTTAAAAACACCTCAATCAAATATTAGGAGGAAGTTTTATTAGCTTCACTGCTGCTGTGGTAACTTGTTTTATTGAGAGAATGACAGCAGCGTCTTAACTGCGAGCGTGTTTTCGTTCCAGAAGATTATCACTATTAAAACCATATCACGGTTTGGTGTGGAGTTGAAAAAAAAAAAAAAGAAAAACACACACAAATAAAACAAAAATACAAAAAAAAAACAAAAACAAAAACAAAACAAGTTTTAAAAAAATATAGGAAACAAGGGAAACGAAAACATAAAAGAAATAAGAGAAGGTCTATTGATGCAGTTGCCGTTTTTTGGTAGTAATTAGATCTAGAATGTAAATGCTTAGTAAAATTAAGCTAAAAATGGTGCTGTTAATCCTACCACCAAGAGGGATGTAGTTGCAAAGGTGTCTGCCTTGTATGTGCAAGAGGGAAAATAGTAAACTGTTACTTGTTTCCTGTCAGTATTTGAAGTGTATATACTTGCTATTAAAAATTCCTCTGTTAGCTTTCCATGGAATAAATAGTCGTAACTTACATGCAATCACTATATTTATAAAGGAGGTAAGTTTCTAAAGAAACTGTGAGGCTGTATCAATAGGGGTATAGCAAGATAATTTGGTTTAATTAACTGAGTGGATAATGTAACTCGCCCACCGCTAATAGCTGGTGTAGTTTGTACTAATAAACTAGTATGTATGTACACATGTATGTAAGTAAATTGCTGTGAAGTAGAGAAGGACCGTTTGAAGTGCAAGTTGATCCTCTGAAAGGAAATGAATTACCATTTTTCCTTGTTGAATAATTTTTTGTTTGTTTGTTTTTTTCTACCGTTAAATGCAACTGAGTGTAAAAACATAGCTAGATGTTGCAAGAGCAAGGATTTTTTAAGCATTTATGTCAGGCGATGTTTTATGTAGAGGGAGTAAAGTACTAATTCTTGCATGAGGGAGATCAGAAGTTAGTTCTGGAAAAGAAAGAAGGGCAGGGATCCATCTCCATCCAGTGTTCCAATACAGCATTTGTCATAGGTCATTGTTCAGAGGGAGATCAGCAAGACAATACCAACAAAGGTGTCTCAGTAATTTCAGAATACCTCGAAAGCTTGGGCATGTGACGCAAGGTTAAATTCTGTTACCATTTTGTAGTTTGTGGTAGAAATCTGTTCTTCGATTCTCAACCACATTACCTAATTTCTTTTTTTATGTTTTCATTGAGTCCTTGGTGTAGACAAGCAAGATTATGAAATCAACTGGTTGCCTATGAAATATTATGTAGCGTTTTGATGATGATGATGATGATTTCAATTTAAAGGCCACCCCTTCATCAGGTTACAAGTTGACAAAATATTCCATCATAATTATTGTTTTGAATAAAATGGCAAATAAACTAGTGTGGTTAATTAGTGTAGTTGGTTTAAAAAGTGTACTTACTGTAATTTGTAAAAGGACACACTCCCTAAGTACTTGTCTCAGGAACTTGCTGTTCAATTCTAATATATCAAATTCTTTGAGCTTTTCATTGTGTGAATCTCTGGTATCACGACTATTTTACTCTTTCACTCCCAAGATCTAATTAGTATTTCATCCTACTGTCTGCCATAGAATTGTTTGATATTACTTGAGAGAATTTAGTATTGGATCAGCTTAAAGTCCACCAAGTTATATTCTGCTTTATTTTCATCACTTTTCTACTTGTTATTGTACTGATGTTGTAAGGAGAAGTTCTCTCTTTGTCACTCATGGGAGTTAAAGGGTTTAATGTTTGCTAACTAGAAGTTGAATGAATGTTTCAAGAAACTTACCCAAACCTCCCTTCCCTGCCACCGCATGCTTTGGTATGTTAAAAGAAAAACTATGTTGGATCTGCTACCCCTGGTAAGCTTGAGGGAAGCATTTTACTATACTCTGTTTTCCGACTTTTCAACTGGAGCAACGAACTGCCTTTAAAAGGACGATGGGATTTAATTCATGGAACGCAACAGAAGTGGAACCTCAAAAAGGTATTGGCTGGATATACCGTATATCCTTGAAGTGCTCACACTCAAGGGAAAATGTTATGCAAAAGCCCCCCCCTCGAATAAGCGTTCCTCATCCCTCGTTCCTCATTTTCTTACGTGGGGATACAAGGAAAGCCTGTTTCTAATGCCACTTTAGGTGAGACTTTTTAAAGCTACAACAACAGGGAAATCAGCACAGGAGAGAGGTTTCTTTTCTGTTAAAGTCACTTCCAGTTATTTCTATCTCCTCATGCTTGCAGTGTTCTTTATGTGCTTTTCTGTAATCTTAATTTTTGTCTTGTTGCTGCCCTCACCCATTAAGGGACCCCCTCCCAATAAGCCCCCTTCTAATAAGCCGGACGAGCGCTTATTTGAGGAAATACGGTAACTAGTTCAATTGTTGTAGACTATCAGCAGAATCCCCCACTTTCCCGTCTGTGCCTCTGTTTAGAGAGACTAAACAAGTGCCGTGCTTTTGAAGCAGGCGTGTGATCGATCGTCGGCTGTAATGTGTCGCCCGAAGGGGACTGAATCGATCGTAAGGCGTCAGACTTCCAACTTTATAGGTAATCTATTACAAACTCAACCCTAAAATTAGACCCAACGGAATAGACAATCTCTAATGACACCTCTCTGACAGGTCCAGGCGAACTTATTTTCGTGATAGTTTCATCAACCGAGTTGATGATGTTAATTGGCCACAGTAAAGAGTTTCAAAGCTGACGTTTCGAGCGTTAGCCCTTCGTGGTTGCAGCGGAAGAGGTAAAAAAAATTCACAAAATACATCAAATTCATGCTTCCATCTTAAATGCAAGCAGTTGACTATGAATAACATTCAGTTCGTCGGATTCATCCATATCCAGATTTGAACTACAGGTAATGCTTTACTGAGGGCTAACAATTCAAAAGTTAATCAAAAGCTTAGTATAATATTACTGAAGAGAATGTGTAATCAAAAGTAATTGCGTAAGCGTGTTCCTTAATCGCAGAGTATGGGGCGCCAAACCAGTCAATATTCCCTCTGTATCTATGCGACCCAGTCTACTTTTTATACGGTCAGTTCGACTTTTTATACGGTCAACTTTTTACTTTTTACATGATCAACTTGAGTTTTTATGTGGTCAACTTTTTCTTTTAATAGGATCAAGTTTTACTTTATATATGGTCAAGTCGACTTTTTATATGATCAACTTTTACTTTTTACATCGGTCAGTGTTAAGGCAGACTGCAGATTTCAGACTGCAGACCGCAAACCGGGGGTTAAGTGCAGACTGAGGGTAAAATGCTGACTGAAGACTGCAGACCAAGGGAAAAGGCAGACTCGGTTCAAAAACAATCCACTTCCCCGGAAAAACTTCAAGAGTGAACTGGGTTCGAGGCCGCATAAGTTAGAAATAATGTTTCGAACTCCACGTCCTCAGATGGTTTGGGCGTTGACATATTGTTTTAAGGTAATTGTCTGAATATGCAGTTTACAGCCGGCTAACTACATTTCCCTTATGCATATAAGAAATAAACAGTTCTGCTGGGCAACATTAGGTAGCTTTCATCACACATCGGAAATTTCAATTACTTGGACAATTGAAACCTGTTTCTCGTACCTTTGTTTTGCGCTGCGAAGATAAGCGTGACCTTGGAATGGTGCTTTGTATCAAAAGCTTCAAGACGTTCAACAGCTCGCTCTTGCGCTTCACAATCAGCTCGATACCGCAGTCATAAACGGTTGATTCTTCAAGAATCGAGTCTGCATCTTACCCCAGATCTGCAGTCTTCAGTCTGCATTTTACCTCCGGTCTGCAGTCAACTTTCTATTTGCTCTTGGAAATGATTTCTCAAAATACGGGCGAATCTGTATCGATAACTCTAAACGAACCCATCGACCATGAATGAGACCGCGCGTTTTTTTTGCATCTATTTCAAAACGTTACGTTACCTTATCATCCTGATATTGCACATTACCTGGTATTATGAAGTTCCAGGGTCAAGTCCTTGAGCACCTCCTCTGAAGCGACACTTACCACCTTAACAACACAGGGCCTTCCTTCTGGAGTTTTAATGTTGTCACAGGCGAAGACACTTTCCTGTGCCCCAGTCCGAATGAGCTCTCCTTTGACTGGAAATTCAAACTTGAACCTGTCTATGACCCCATATGCCAGCATCTCAAGAAGTGCAAGATTGGGAGCAAAGCCAAGAAGAGTTTCCCTTTGCATGTCCTTGATGGTCTCTCCACGATCGAACAAGTCTTGGACTTTTCTTATTTCACCGGTGAACTCTTCATGGCAGTCACAAAAAAGCTGTTTCAAGCTTGTGACGATTTTCTGAGCCATGTCAGATGGATTTACTTTCGCAAGGGCATTTGAAGCAACATCTGTCTTCCATTTCTTGGAGCCAACTTGAACCTCTCCACTGATGGTCTTGATAATTGTTTTGATCGGATTACGAATTGCCTTGTAGAACCGCACGCTTAATTTCTTTATGGAACGGAGAGCTGCACCGTCACGTTTTGAAAACGTGATTTGAGCTTCGTAAGAAGAAAGAAGACTTTTGCCAAGAGCGAGTGCTGCCGATGGAATGTCGTTGTCTCTGGCAATTTCTCCTTGAATTTGCTTTATGCGGTCTTTGAGGTGAACAAGGAACAGCTCTCTGGAGCCTAACATCATTGTTAACTTTTGCTTGATTTCTCCCTGGAGTTTATTGACCACCATCCCCTGAATCTGGTCCTGACAGTAAGCCACAGCTGCTTTCTCTTTTACATGGCCACGTGACGGAATGGTGAATTCGGTCAACACGTATTCAAAATCTCCTGCCTCCTTTAGGATGTCTTCTCTGGCTCCATTTATGGCATCACTGAGGAGTTCTTTTATATCCATGACCCGCTTTTCGTCCTCTAGGTCGCGGATTATGTTGTCGTGAACTTGCTGTTCCTCGCGCAAAAGTATTTCCAACGTCTTCAATATTTGCTTCTTTCCATTTTTCAAAAAGGTGGCTTTCTGAATGAAGAAATCCAAGCATCTGGATAGAACACGCACGAGGGTTTTGCACACACACTCTATCCTTGCACGTAAGGATTCTTTAGCGAACTCTTTCAAGCTGTTTTGAAATCTCTCAAAGGCTTTCGTGTAATCTGCGAACTCTTCGAAAGAAGCTTCGGGATTTTTCTTCTTCAAAGCGTGGTACTGCTTAATGCGCCGAGCTGACAGCCCATGGAATCGCTCGTTTTGATTCATGGGCAATTGAGAAGGAAAATGGCCGTTTTGGACAAGTCGCCGGTACACCCGTGTCTTCCTGCTGTTCTGTACTTCGAGCTCTCGCTCTTTCCGCGCCTTCACTGATGCTACATGACCGCTAGGTTCATCTTCCTCATCAGATGATTCGGTACGATCTTCTGGTTCCAGTTTGTTAACAACGAAAAAAATTGATAAATCGGTCTCTGAGGATGTCATTTCATTCAGGATCTCTCTATCCTGGCGAGGAAAAAAATAACAATTTATATTAATTGATGATAACACCGTGTAAAGAAAAATTATTATCACATAAACGGCGGTGTTATTCAGGGATTTCCAGCCCTGGGAAAAGCCGTAACAACACACGTGGAAAATTTCATAATTTTTCACGTGTGTTGATGGCCAATCAGCTGCTGCACGTCACTTGCCTTTGGTGCCACTCGGTCAGATTGATGAATGAACAGCGAAGCCTTCACGATTCTCAGCACAAGGTAGTTTGTCAGAACTTTCACGGATTATGGCGGCTAAAACACTAAAAAAATCCGTATCGCTGACAGACAGTGAGGTTCAAACTTTCTTAGAAGGGGAAACAACCAATATACAAAAAGAAAAATCGAGATTCACGAATTCAGTGGCTTTGGTGTTGGCATTTTTCGCGACTGAGAATAAAAATCGACAACTGAAAGATTCGTCACTGGCCAAATTTGTATGAGGTGCCATTCCCACCAAAATTCAGCCCTTCTGTTTTTTCGTAAAGGGTACTTGCATTTTCGTAAATGGTACTTACATTTCTGTAAATGCAGCCTTCGTTTTTTTTATATGGTACCTCGACTTTGTAAATGGTGCCTATAATATTGTAAATGCTGCGTCGACAGTTGTTTTCATAAATGCTGCCCCTATTTTATATAATCTGTGGCTATTTTTCCCTAAATGATGCTAAGAATCTTCTCAAATGATGTCTTTACTTTTGTAAATGCTGGCTCGAGTCAATTTTTGTAAATGGTGCTCTTTAAAAAATATGGTGCAGCAGTTTGGGGACTAAACCAGCCCTCTTTATGGAGCAAAACCTGATAACTAGTCATTTCCCGCGTTTCTTCCGTCAACATGGCGGACGACCCTGCAAATGCGGCGAGGATGCTGTCAAGGGCCGCCGAAAGGCTTACGACACAAGTCATGACCACTGTTGAAAGTATTCCAAGCTCTTTAGCAGTGGAACCGACGGCCTCTGGCTCTTCAAGGGTGGAAATGGAACTGAAATCGTTATTTCCACATCATTATCATCAGCCGAGCAATACCAGTAGTCGCCTAAATGCAACGTTGAATAACCCACTAAGGGGTAAAAAGCGAAAGGCCTAGGGATCGGAGGGAAAGACCAAAAAGTGTAAAATAATCACACGTAAATTTCTCTGTTTGAGCGACATGGATCAGTCGGAGACCCCTGATGCTGAAGAACAGAGGGAATTGTTGATGGCCGGTCTGGGGGAAGTGAAGATTTCTGTACCCGAGGAATCAAATGAAATGGAAATTCGAGACCTTGTCATAGAAACCTTCCCAAAGTTAATGGATGCAGGGGGTTTTGAGCTGATGTATGCAGAACTGCGGAAGAGAGATTTGAGAATTATTCCCCCTGGACCAAACGGACTCACAATTAAATACTTTGTTTCATTTATCGGCCAAGTAGTCTGGGAGCAAATGTGGTCCCGTGTGAAGTCCGTGCTGAAAGCAAGCACCTAGTGTAAAAGTGTTCATTAGGACCTACTAAACATGAAAAGTTATGGTGCCAGCTTTGAAACTTGCTCAGACGGCTTTTAAGGGGGGTTAAATTCTGACCCATGAAATCCAGCATGGAAACGAGGCTAAAACACATAATTCCTCATAACTTTGTTAATAATACACGAAAATACACCAAACTTGCTCACATGATTGAACATGATCCTCCCTGTTGATTTATGCTAATGTACATAGGTCACGTGATCTTACGCATGAAAGCGAGGCTGAAACACATAATTTACTATAAATTTGTCAAAAAAAAATCCTTATCATGCCAAACTTGCTCACCTTAGTCAGTTAGACATCTTGCATCGATTGGTGCCACTTTGTAGTGTCACGTGACCCCATACATGGAAACGAGTCTGGATATATCTGGTAGCATCGTGTAGGATGGCATTTGTCTTGCCAAATGTACTAACAACTACTAGGCAGATAGATATCTGGTTATCCGAGTTCAGATATAAAAACTTCAACTAATCATTGTCCTATGGCCCATAGCACAGGGACGAGACGGATAAAGCAAATACTGCGGAGGCTCCATTTGAGAATCTATCTTGTACACATAATCAATAATTTTGCTAACTTATGATACTGGTTCCATGTATTCATTTTCGCATGTATATTGGAACAAGGGCAGAAAAAGAAAAGAGCGACTACTGCTATTTTATATATACAGTCATGAAAGTCTTGCTGAATATCTATATACATTGTTCTGTTGTCCATTCCTATGGAATTTCCTGTTCGACTTCGTCTTCATCATACTCATCATCACTCTCAGCATACTCGTTCTGGCAATCTTCAGAGCACAGACAGAGATCAGTACAGACAAGTCCAGCTTTTTGACACTGACAACGGTTGTTAGAGCAACGGGACTTGGCGCACTTACATTGGACAAGCTGTATAATTGCCTCTGGAGCTGGTGGAAGATTTGTCATAACTGGTACCCTCTTTCCATCTTCATCTTGCCATCCATAGCCTTCTGGTGAGGGCAACACCGGGTTTGCTACATGATCGTTGTTCCAAACAAGAAGCTGGTAGTGCGCTCTTAGTATGGCTTGATGGAGAGCAGCTTGTGTGGGCGGCAACCTCTCAGACTCAGCTTGATTTTTCTTAGAGAGGGACCATCTGAGGGCTTTGACAGTTTTGATGTCTGTCTTTGGTTGGTACATCCGACAAACCTGCTGTTCCACTCCACTTCTTGAGCCGTCATCTGGCTGTTCCCCACAACCGAGGTTAACAAGAGCTTGCAAGATAGGAGTGCTGGCGTTATCAAACTCATCCCAACAGGTGGCTTTTCCCTTTCCAGAGAAACTCCCAGTAACATCTGCTCCGGTCAATGCATGAAATGCTGGCAGTGCAGCCGTCTTAGTGGGCCCAAGGGCGTCTGCGATTGACTTCAAGTTGATAACTCTAAGACTACTGCCGGTCCCAGTAACAAAGCAAGAGTTGGAGCACAAATCTGGATACCGTCGGAGAGCCAAAACAAGAACATCAGTGTCAGGAGAATATATAGATAGTTGGGTAGCACCTCGAGCAGAGGCATCCAGAGCATGTACAATAATCTTCGTGTCGGCTTCTTCTTGTGTATACATTATCATTACACCTTTTTAGCTTTTATTTTTTTCATTAAAATGCTATACATACAGCATTAATGTGCATTACAATGAGTCAACGCTATTGTCCTGGATGATGTGTTCACCTTTGGCGTGTTTTGCAATTCAGCCTCATTTCCATGTATGGGGTCACGTGACACTACAAAGTGGCACCAATCGATGCAAGATGTCTAACTGACTAAGGTAAGCAAGTTTGGCATGATAAGGATTTTTTTGGACAAATTTATAGTAAATTATGTGTTTCAGCCTCGCTTTCATGCGCAAGGTCACGTGACCTATGTAAATTAGCACAAATCAACAGGGAGGATCATGCCTAATCATGTGAGCAAGTTTGGTGTATTTTCGTCTGTTATTAACAAAGTTATGAGGAATTATGTGTTTTAGCCTCGTTTTCACGCTGGATTTCATGGGTCAGAATTTAACCCCCCTTAAAAGCCATCTGGGCAAGTGGCAAAGCTGGCACCAAAACTTTTCATGTTTAGTAGGACCTAATAAACACTTTTACACTAGGTGTTTGCTTTCAGCACGAACTTCACAGGGGACCTTATTTTATGACATTTGCTCGCGGATTTGGACCGGGGGGGTTTGTAACCAATTGAGGAATATTGGTTAAATAATTGGTTTGTAACCAATTGAGGAATTGTAACCAATTGAGGAATTGTAACCAATCGAGGAATCGATCGTGTTGACAACGAAAACCTTACCTGCTTTGTAAAAAGATTATGTCCATCCACCACGTCCAAGTGACTTACAAAATACGGCACTCAATACAAACCGGAAATACAAATTGTAACCAATCGAGGAATCGATCGTATTGACAACAAAAACCTTACCTGCTTTGTGAAAAGATTATGTCCATCCACCACGTATATAACAAACGCCAGAGGATTTTCCAGCTGCTCTTTTACCAAGTTGTCCAGCGCTTCACTTTCATTTATTCCAGGGGAGTCTATGATGGTTATACCACACTTCAAGAACTCGATATTTATACCGGTCTCTACGATCGCCCCCACTCTTCTAGGGTCGTCACGATCATTTGGTCCGAGCTCGATCTTCTCTCGAGGGATTCTGTTTCCCTCCTTGCCCATCATCTTTATCTCTTCTAAGGTTTTACCATGTGTGTCAACCAGGCGACAATAAGGTTCCTCGGCGTAGCAAACGCGAACAATTCGCGCGGTGCTCGGTTGATCTGATGTAGGAAGCGCTTTACAACCTAGGAGCTCGTTGATTATGGAGCTTTTCCCGCAGTTGATTTGCCCGACAAAAATGAGTGCCGGCTCCTGATCGAACAAATCGGTAACTTCCTTCTTCTCCTTAGCTGTGTAAAGCAGCTCAGCAAGGGTGTCATCGAACTCCAGATGAACATCCGCCATTGCCGCTGTTTGAGCCATTACTCGAATTTCTTCTGGAGAAGCTTGCACGGGCGAGGTTTTGTAGCGAAGTTCTTCTGCAACATCTGCAATACCTTTATTGGAAAGCTTTCGAACGATTTCATCGAAGTATTTTACCATGTCATAGTGAACTTTTTCCAGCGCAGCCTTGCTTTTCTTGAAATCCTCGAACAAGTCTTGAGACGCCATGGCTGGAAGACTCGACAAGACTGGAGAGTACTGTATCAGACGTCAAAGGATATTATTTATTCAATTCATTTCGTGGAAAAAAAGAGGAAGTCAATAGTCATCGATTACCTTGGATGAAAGTTTAAAAATCTGGTACGGACTCGTGTGTAATAGAAGACTGGAGCACGCAGTCCGCAGTGTCTTGCTATACCAATCTTCATTATTGCATCATGTTAACTTATATTATGATATGATTTAAAACTCTCAATTTTCCTTAAGAAGACTTTCATCATTAAGTTCGAACGCTACTCTTTGGATCTTACTAAAGGTCTTCAGGTTGACAACAGCGCAAGCGATTCAAAACGAAAATGACAGACCCGTCAAAATAATCTGGGAAGTTCTTGGCTATCAAATACTTCCCGTCAACGGTCTATTACAGTTACAGTTAGCTTGAAAGCTCTTGGTCTTTTCATCTCGTCTTGGGCGGCTGCGAGGGCAGACGGTATTGGTTGAATTACATGAAAAGTGAATTCAATTTTGCCAATGAATCCCCCGCTCTGACCGTTGAAATTGATATAAAACAAAAACAGAAAAAACAAAAAAACAAAAAAAAAAACAAAAGGAAAGAGTAAAGACAAAAACAAAAACAAAAACAAAAGAACAAGTTGCTGATGATAGCAAAGATGTGTACATGTCTGAATTGATCAAAGAAAAAATTTATAATGATGGGGAAGCTCAATGAAAAAAGAAATCCGCACAAGAAAATTCCGAGTCCACTCCAATTGTTCCTTGCATGTCTGGATGTCACACGACATGTTATCATAGTCAAGTTTTTCCGAGAATCTGAATGAACCAGGAATCAAAGTGAATTCTAGAAAATAAGCGTGGTTTCTTGTGCTTGTCTGTACAGGATCAATTCCCTTTGCGAAACCTTTATACTGAATGAGATTCAGCCTGGCCGTCATTACGAACAAATGGCTTCCTGCGAGGGTGAGGAAATTGGAAATGTTGATTTAAAGTAATTCATGTTTTCAGCATTACGAAAGTCTGCAGTCTGGCCACTCTATTGACATGCAAAAGTAAATATTTGCAACTGGTTGCAGAACGAGAGCCTAAACTAAGCAATACTTAAGCTTTGTAGGGTAGTTAAACGAAGCCAAGCCTCATTAAGATTTAGCTAAGAGTACAACCGACATTTTAGTAAGAGAGGGAAATAGAACCTTCGGCACGCACTCCAAACTGTCACTGATCATGCAGACGAAAACCAAAAGTCACCAGCCTCTCTTTATTTCTTTTATGTATTATTTTTATTATGTATTTACTTATGTAAGTTATGTTTCCATTACGAGAATCGTTCCCATAGTTAAGGTGTTATATTATTTGGAATAATTGTCGGTCGGCTCTAATTACCGTCACAATGCGATTTCACTCAGAAATTTATGTTTCTGACTCACTGCAAGCCTATAGTAAAACTAATTTCAGTTTATAGGAACATTCTGAAATATGCTGCTAGAGGTTTCTTTAATATCTCATTTTCTTTTCCAGTTTAAGGTCTGTATTAAATATAAAACTGTTTGAGTTAATGGGACCCAATTTTAATCCACAAAACCAGACACCAAACAATGTTTGGGACAAAAGCAGCCTAAATTTCTATTTAATTAATATTTTCACAAATACGAAACTCTTGCATGATGATATACATAAAATTATGATGAAATAATACTCAAATATGCTATTTGACCAATAGACTGGTTGATAGAAACACTGGACAGATACAAAGAACAGCAAAAATGAAATACTGGAAAGGGATGGAAGCGTCAAAGAGAAATATCTTCTAAGAATATGCATGAGGTTTTCTATATATTGGCTAACTAGCAAAGTACTAGAGCAAATGATATAAATAACTTAAAGTAATCTTTTAAGTAGCTATCATGACATCAGTGTACTTTTACTTGCAATATAGGAAAACTAACTGACAGGAACAGTTAGATTACTTTTACACAATGATGACATGAGACTGCATGTCTCTGTACCAATTTATTATGTTCGTAATTTAGAAGCACATAACCTGATAATGGGTAACGTTTCCCATATGAAAGATTGTTTGTTAAAGGAGATTGGCCTTAAATTTGCCATTCTTTTATTTGCATTTGCTGTTTTGTGAAGATTAAGAAATCAATTGTCAAAAGCTATATAGGTTGTAGAAAACTATCAGTTCAACTCTTCCTACATAATTGATTTTTAGAAAATTTACTCCTAGCTCTTCATGGGAGGGGGTAGGGGCCACTTTAAACCCTTTTTTGTGTTGAACTTGCGCACAGTGGCATTCTCAAAACCCTTGATACCCACAGATTCTCTCCCATTTATGATACAACCATTATCCTCATTAACTGCCTGTCTCAGAATGTATTAATTTAGTAAGGAGGAAGTACTCTCTAGTAGCACTTGGGAGTGAGAAAATTCTAATTTCCTTGTTGTTTACATTTTTCATTGGAGTTCAGTGAAGTTGTCTCGGTTGTTCTTGTCCTTTTGTATGGATCTCAACTATTTCATAATTAACCCTTTCACTCCCAAGATCTCATTGGCAATTCTCCAGACATTCTACCATATAACTATTATGATGCTAGTTTAGAGGATTTGATATTGGATCAACTAATAATCCTCTAATTGATATTTTGATCTTTCTTCTTGTGACATGTCTGCTTGGTATTGTACATTTAAGGAGAAATTCTGTCTTGGTCATTCATTGGAGTTTTAAGATTAACACAAAATACTGTTTATTAGTATTGGAATCAGTAGTTCTTACATTTTAACCTGTCAGGTTAAAAACTAAATTCTGGATACCAAGGAAATAAAAGCTTATAATTTACACTTTTCCTTTAGTTGGCCAAAATAATTTATTGACAGGAACATCTTCTCCATTGTAAATCCAGGTATCTCTGGCAATGATGACACAGAAACAGAGGAATTGCCTGCCCCATCATTTGAAGAACAGTTTAAAGACTTGACCTCTCTCATCTCCTTCTTTGAAGAGTGCTCAATGCAAACATGGATGTTTATTGAACACATGAAAGAGAAGTTCTCTGAAAGCTTGAAAACAGATCTTATGACTGACAAAGAAAGACAGAGTCTGCAATCATATGCTTCCAAGAAATCTACTCTTTTGGTTGTTGGCCAAACAAATAGTGGAAAGAGCTCCTTTGTAAATGAACTTTTGGCAGGTTATTCATGCCAACTTCTGAAGCACCATGCACATCTCGCTTTGTCTGTCTTAAATATAGTGAGAAAAACTATATCCAGGTTTGTGATGCACCTTTCTGTTTGGAACTTTTTAAGAAAGAGAGGCTGATAATTTGATCAAATACCAGCAGTTTCTTTTTTTTTTTTTTGGGGGGGGGGGGGGAAGGAATTGAAGCCCCTTTCTGCCTTCCGGCTTCTCAGGAGTGGCTTAATTTCATAGGTTAGTTGGTAGTAGTGCACCCACCTTTATCTTAGAAAAACAGGCTCAAATCCTTTTGAAAGCCCAAATTTAAAGAGGGGGAGGGGTGCTCAGCACCCTAATTTTTGCTAAGGGTAGGGGATGCATAGCCCCATTACTCTGCCACCTGTCTTTGCTCAGAGGGTATTTGTAGGTTCTCCAGTTTTCCTTCTTCCACGAAAACCAACATTTTGATGAGAGATCTGTGCTCCCAAAACCAAATTATTTTTCACCATAACCATTAGAAGAGTAAATCAATAGTTGGAAAATTGTCTTTAAAAAAAATTCAGTTTAGGATGTGCATTTTGAAAACAAAGTGGTTATAATGTAAACCAAACATGTAAACCAAAAAGCTGGATTTACAAACAGCTGTTGTTATGGTTATCACCAAACCTCATTCTATTATACAGTCCCAGAATTTGCTTTTGGGGGCAGTTTTTAAATTATTCAAGCAGATGGTCAAGAGATGAGAAAAAGAAGAAAGAAATTTGTCACAAGACTAATTGGTGGCCAAGCTCAAAATGGTTAAAGCAGTAGATAAATTCGAAGCACATTTGCGGACATTTTCAAAGTCTTTAGGTCATTCTTTAGCATCCAAAAATTGAAGTTTTTGTCATGAAGAGATCTAAACTTTATAATTAAGGAGATAAATATTTTATGTTTCTTGAACATTCTTCTTTGGTGCTAGTTTTGACTTGAAAGTAGTGGGAAAAGATCCTACTTGTGCCACAAACTCCTTCTTGTATTGACTAGATTAGATAAGTACATTGCAATAAGCATTTTTCCCTTGCAAAATGGATTTTGGAATTCCTAGGAATTCCTAAGAATTCCCAACCATAACAACTCTGGTTCTAAAAACCTAGAAATTCCTAGAAATTCCCAGAAATTCCAAGTTTACAGCCAACAAGACACCGCCATCTCGATTCCTCGGTCAGTCGTTTCCACTGAACTTAAAGCAGTGGTGACAACAGAGTAGAGTGCGTCTTACAAAGGAGAAACATTTGTACAAGAGACAGAAGTAACTATATGCGATTACAGAGGTGCGTTGGAACTTTGGTCCACAAATAGTCATGCACTGTCTGAAGTATAAAACAATTTTGTTGATAGCTGACAGACAGAGAAGAACAACAAGTAAACTTTAGAGCTGTTATTATTGAAGTGTGACTTACACTTTTCATTTGTATATAAACAAGGACTTGTATTTTGCACCAAAATAAAAAGATGTAATATTTTTTGGGAGATCCAGTGATTGGGACATTTAAGAAATTAAGTTACAAAAGCAAACTTGGTTTGTACTTCTCACTACTAACAAGTCTTGTTGACAAATATTTTCAGATCAGAGTTTCAAATAAAGTAAATTGAAGACGTCATTTAAAAGGTGTTTTTTCTCAAAGGGAACATTGACTACCTCTGTCTTGTCTGCATGCCAAATGTTTGCAAAGTGAGTGGATGATCCACAAGTATTGGAACTTTTACAAAAATGTTTTGTAAGAATAAAAACAGCAAAACAAATTACAGCAATTAGTCACGAAAACAGAGCAAAAACTGAAAAAAAAAACAGCAGCAACAATCATGAAAAAAGAAAGATAAATTAGGTGTTGAATTTGTTTGTCTAATTAAGGCATGAAATTTCTACTAAAAATAATGTCAACAAAAAGTCTCTGACAGTGTTTGAGGCAACTGAGCTTGACTGTTCCAAGGTTTTCTAACAAAGGCAACCAGTGATGTAGGTTAGGGAAGTAACTTATGTTCATAACTAACAAAGTTCTTTAAGTGTAGATAACAATGTAATTATTGTTAGTTATTGTGGAAGTTGTGTACCAAGGAACAGCTAATGAATGTTTAATGATTTTGGCACATCAGTGAACATGAGACATTATTATTGCATCACAATAAAAATATTTTATGATCATGGAATCCAAGAGTCCTTTGAAGTTAGATAGCAAATCTGTGTTATGAGTACATTGGATTAATTGGCAATTTCCATTTAACATAATTGAATGCTGGTTCATGAGAAAATCCATATTAATGTAGAGATTTACTAAAACTTAGTTTGAATAATAAATTTCATGATCTTTAAGTTACAAACATATACATGTATGTATATCTCTTGGTAAGTTTTGTATAGCATACCTTTTTATTGAGCCAAAGTTTTAAGCCTCTGAAATTACTCCTTTTCTAAAAACCTTCACATTCAAGGTATTGAGAATTTCTTAGAATTTATGTGGACCTCAGGGTATTTAAATTGCCTCAAATTCAATTCCCAGAAATTCCCAAGAATTCCACCCTTCTTAAATTATAGGCAGTTTGTATAGCTGAGAATTCCTAGGAATTCCTAGGAATTCCAAGTCCTCACAAAACTGGAGTCTTCCTTTCCCAGAAATTCCCAGTAATTCCAAGCTTTTTAAATCAGAGTTACTTTGCATAGTTGGGAATTTTTGAGAATTCCCAGGAATTCCTAGGAATTCCCAGAAAACTGGGAATTCAGTTTGCAAGGATCATTTGCATAATTGGGAATTTTTGAGAATTCCTAGGAATTCCGAATTCCCAGAAAACTGGGAATTCAGTTCGCAAGGGCTATCTACTCTCCCCTCTTTTTTTTCGAAAAAATAGTACTAAAAAATTTACCATTCATATTAAAGTATTGGGTAAGTCCAAACCCAGTGAAGGAAAGAAGATTTTCTTCGATAAAGAGTTGCCGAAAGCAGAAATAGAGTTGGATGACAGCCAGAGAGGAGATTAAGTTATTATCTACGTCATAGATGGGAACTCCTCTCTAAGGTTGCAGGTCAGTTATAGTCTTACGTTCATGTGGTTTTGAAGGTGGAATTATCAGTCTCATTTCACAGTCTTGGTTAAATTTCAATTCCATTCTCATGTCGTTGCTTGTAATTCCCACTACTAGTGATCCAAATCCCATTTTCCTGGTGAAGGATGGTGTAACGAACGCACCGATAAATTCTCAAAACTATAACTACACAACCAGTGGTATCTAAAATACACATAGAAATGATTTAAATAACAGAAAATGATGGCTGATCTTCATCTCTGCTAATGGTCAGCTTAGTAGAGCGAGGGAATCGGTTCATTTTTGCTATTCGTATATTCATCTATATGGGCAGATGACTGAATGCTCAGAAAACCATTCTAGACTGCGCACAAAAAATAATATCAGTTAGAAAATTGACTGCAATTCTTGAGGTTTTTACCTTTTTACGGGGTGTTGTTTTAATGATTCCGTCTAAACAGTTTTCGTGTTTGAATCACAGGAAAGGACTTTTCTTCTAAACCTGAAGGAGAAAGTTGGTAACTTGCCCATTTTCTTCCTGTGCAACATGGTTGATAAGAATTGGACAGCCCTGGCGTTTGATAAGGACTCTAACTTAGAAGAAGATGTTGACAAAGACCCACGTAATGAGGAAGAAAAGGAGCTTCTCGCTTATTGGGCTCAGCTATCTCAATGCTACATGGTGCCTGGCGACATAGAACCTACACAATGTCCTTTCTTTCACGGGTTGTCCATAAAGGAGGTCAGAAACGCTCGACTGAAAAAGCATTCAAACCAGTATACTAAGCAGTTTGATGACCTCAGGTTTAAGCTGCTGAAATTCGTTGTCGCTGGAGTGACCAGCCATCTACGATCTGCAGCAGAATTGCTCTGTCAGATTCAAAAGAGAGTGTTTGATTTCTTCTTGAATTGTGACTTCAACCAAGATACAATTCATGCTCAAGATGAGTTATTTAATAAGCTAGAACTTAAAGAGCGCGATTACGTCGTAAAAATGCGAGGCTATGTCCAGGAGAAGCTCTATAAGCTTTCCAAGTTTGTCAAAGATGGTGTCACGTACAACAGATGTAAGATCGCAAGTGAGGCTGCCGAAATGCTGTTTGATTCAATCAAAGTTGGAGATGTTGTCGGGCGAAATGAAGTGGTAAAACAGTGCCGCAGACAGATCAGGGACCTGGTGTTTTTCAAGGCTACGAAAATATCGCTGATAAGAGTTCAATACATTATCTCCGCTATCACCAACGATCTACGCAAATCTCTCGAAGGCTCGCTCTGTGAGGTCGGCAGAAAGGATGACCACTTAGCTACACTTGTAAGAAGGCAACTGCAGTACAGTTTCCTACAACATTTTCAGACGCGAGACGTTTGTTCTCATTTTGATTATGCTTTGATGAAAAGTGGAGAGAGGTTTATGGACAACGCGAAGAAGGCTGTCATTGATGTGTGGTCTGCCATTCGAGGGAGGGGGACGTATCTTAACGCGGAATGGAAGCAAAGTATCGCCGAAAATGTGCTCGATAACATCGATTGCGATGCCATCGCACGCAGAATCTGTGACAGGATGCTAGAGGATCTGCTGGAAAACGGGCACCAATTGTTCCAATTTAACCTGGCTTACATGAAACAATGTTGTCATGCAGCCCTAGAACTGTCTGACGTTCAGAAAAAATTAGCCGCAGAACAATCCCCATATTTTTCCAGACTGATGATTGAGGCCATTGCTCTTTTCCAGACGCTGGCTTTCGATGTTCCTTTGAGAGCGGTAGTTGGAGCGCAAATAGGAAGGAAGGGCAACCGAAGGAAGGTTTTCGAGGACAAAACCGACAAGGAATGAGTTGTGAAAGAGCTCACGGTTACAGCTCACCCCAGTGAAATGGAAGATGAACATTTGCTAGGCATTACAAGAACCCTAGGAAGGTCAGATTATCAGATGGTTTTTGGTCACAACCCCGGCCCATATTATGAGAAATATTATTTCTAAATTTTACCTAATGTTTAGGATTGTTGGGGAATCACATGGTTTTCAGGTTGGGTCAGGGTGGTTCAGTCGTCGACAATAAGGTATAAATAGGGGTACCATGGAAAATTGACTGACAATTAAATGCCATTAAGGGGTGAGGGGAATCCAAGGAATATTACAGAGCATTATGGTGCATTTTATCAAGACACGAGAAATATCCTTATTAAAACTGTATCTTTTTGGATTTTAATGCCCGCAGGATACAAGATGATATTTCCACAATCCTACGACCTATTTCGTTGAGATTGGACTGAAGTAATAGGGTCTCTGTTCTGTTTCCAAGAATGGCCACAGACCTGTTCGAAAGTCTTCAGAGTGATCCAATCCTTTTGCCTCAAGGTTTGAGAATAACGCAGCAAATGGCTGATGCTGTGGAGAACTGCTAGGGTAGACGCATTTACCATGTTGATCTCAGGATCACAAACATATTGGTAACTACGCTTCTGAATTACATTACGATATTAAATCCCTGATGTTAACTCCTCTGTTTCACTGACGAGAGTATACTGGCCGATTAGGTGTCTCAGGATTTTTTTCTTAAGGCCATGATTAAGTTCTGGGGCTTGGCGTTCGGCCCATTGTAGAAAAATGAGGACAAATTAATCTTATGACTGATTTTTTTTAATGGAAGGAGTTACAGATCTTTAGGCAAAGTAGCTTGGCTTATCATTGCAGCAGCAAAGGCCAGTGCCCCCCACCCCTCTCGATGAATGGTGCATATCGCAATCAGAGGACCTTTTTTTTTATTCCCTGCTCACTTCACTCGTATGTAGACAATGAATATGAAAGAGTCTCAAGCAAATGACAAGCAGTGGAATAGGCTCTGCTTGGAGCCATGTTCATTATGTTTTTTTTTCTTTCTCCTCGTTTTTCTTTTAAAAAACAGCTTGAATGCTACGGGAATGCAAAGCTGAACGTTTCTAAGCCAGGGGATGACACGATTAGGAAGTATAGCCCCACTACTCTGCCATCTGTCTTTCCTCAGAGGATAGTTGTAGGTTTTCCAGTTTTCCTTCTTCCGCAAAAACCATTTTCGCACGGGCACCAATCGTTTCAAGTTAACCTGGCTTACATTATTATTTTTTTAATTGAAAGGAGTTACAGATATTTAGGCAAAGTAGCTTGGCGTATGATTGCAGCAGCAAAGTCTAGTACCCCCCTCCCCTCTCGATCAATGGTGTATATGGCAATCTCGGGACCTTTTCTTTCGTTGCTCACTTTACTCGAATGCAGACAATGAATATGAAAAAGTCCTAAGCAGATGACAAGTAATGGAATAGGCTCTGCTTGGAGCCATTTTCATTATGGTTTTTTTTTCTTTTGAAAAACAGCTTGACTTCCACGGGAATGCAAAGCTGAACGTTTCTAAGCTAAGGGATGACACGATTCCGTATCCTGACAACTAGGCGCCTTTCCATGTTCCTGCTCAGAATCCCTTTGCAAGCGCATCTGACCCTGATTCGTTCAACACTCTGCAGGACCATTGTATCTACAGTATTGCAGTCTTGCTTTTACTGTTTGTGGGGGAGAAGTACTGCAGACCACCCTACGCCCAGACGGTAAAAGTGGATGAGGTGTATACTGCCGTAGCCCGAGGGGAAGATTGTGCGTACGTCTCAGGAATGAACGATCTAGGGGGTCGGTCTTCTAGCGAAAGGCAAAAGGCTCGCGAAATTGTCCTTTCCATTTTTTACTTTAGGCAGAAGCATAACGAGTATCTGTTTTTTAAAGATGGATTTCTTCAAATCGAAGATCACTGAGATGGTTTCTAGTTATTTAACCACGAAAGGGAGACCTTAAAATTTCAGTTCCATTTCCACCTAGAAAGCAATTTATATAAGCCAAATTTGATAGTAAAAGTTTTTTTTACATTGTATAATTCATTAGCATTCGATTCAACTTATGAAAAGACATACGAACGAATCGTGAAAAACTTTCTTGGGTTACAGTTTGAGAGAAGCGATAATTTCTTGCCCATCTTACTTGTGCTTGTTTCGTTCTGCTTCGTTATTTATGTTTTTCGTCTTGCATTTAAGGCAACTATAGAAGGTGATGAAGTATTTATATCTTAGATCTACTTTCAGAGCTGTTTTAGGGCACAAAAAATTGGTGCCATTTTGTTTCCCGTTGAAAATTGATATCAACATAGGGTGGAGTTAGAAAATAAACTCGGGTTCGCGCGTTTTTTTTAGTGAAAGTTATCGCGCGTTAAAAGCTTGCTAGGATTTTGCAATAACGGATTCTGCAAAAAGAATGTTTCGTCATGGCAGAGTGTGTTCTTCTAGTCGTTTTAGTGAACAGTGATTGTGTTTTACGAGTTTTTAGTTTCATATTTTGTTGATGTAACAAATGTGGTACCAAAGAATAGACTCACCCTGTACAGTGTGACCTTTAAAAGACATCGCCTCTTTTCATTTACTTTGACTACCAAGGTATTTTTATAACAGGGAACTGTAACCAGCTTCTCGAAAAATAACTTTTTAAGAATTACAGGAGTTCAGAGAAATGCTAAGCATTGAAACAACGTTATATCCTTTACACTTCGCAGATAGTTGTAGGTAGTTGGTTTTTCGGTTAAAAACACCTCAACCAAATATTAGGAAGAAGTTTTATTAGCTTTACTGCTGCTGAGGTAACTTGTTCTATTGAGAGAATGACAGCAGCGTCCTAACTGCGGGGAAAAAAATGCGAGCTCCGCTTATAGGCTTGGCTAAATCTATATATTATCACTATTAAAACCATATCACGGTTCTGTGTAGAGTTGAAAAAAAAAAACCACAAATAAAACAAAAATACAAAAAACAAAAACAATAACAAAACAAGTTAAAAAAAATAGGAAACAAGGGAAACGAAAACATAAAAGAAAGAAGAGAAGGTGTATTGATGTCGCTGCCGTTTCTTGGGAGTAAATTAGATCTAGAATGTAAATGCTTAGTAAAATTAAGCTAAAAATGGTGCTGTTAATCCTACCACCAAGAGGGATGTGGTTGCAAAGGTGTCTGCCTTATATGTGCAAGAGGGAAAATAGTAAACTGTTACTTGTTCCCTGTCAGTATTTGAAGTGTATATACTTGCTATTAAAAATTCCTCTGTGGGCTTTCCATGAAATAAATAGTCGGAACTTACATGCAATCGCTATATTTATAGAGGGGGTAAGTTTCTAAAGGAACTGTGGTGCTGTTTCAGAAGGGGTATAACAAGATAATTTGGTTTATTTAACTGAGTCGATAATGTAACTTGGCCACCGTGAAGAGCTTCTATAGCTGACGTTTCGCTGGAGCGTCAGCCCTTCATTAAAGAGCTTCCTAGTCGCTCTGATGAAGGGCTAACGCTCGAATCGCCAGCTTAGAAACTCGGCCTTAGGGTGGCCAATCTACATTATCAACTCAGTTGATAAAACCAAATTATCTTGCTATAATTAGAGCCTGAAACGTGCCCCGTAGGTGTTAAGATGAAGGAAGTGAGCCGTTTTCCCGTCCTTGACACAACGTATATGGCTTTTTGCATTGATGTTTCCCTTACTCACCACTTCCATTAAGCGATGACTCTTTCTTGCACAAAGTATGTATGGTCGCCAAGGGAGAATAGATCAGTTGTACTCATCTTCGTGTCAGACATTTTGATCCTGCAAATCATCCTGATAAGGGTCCAATAATATTACCGCGGAATGTATAATATTCATAATAGAGCATTGATTGATTGGAACTATCAAAGCATTTTATTGCTTAACCAATTGTACCCATTGCAATCAAACGACAATGTTTCGATTCTATACATGTAATTTAGCTCGAATATCAATAACTTTTACACGGTCAAATATATTAAGGTGTCCCTGTACAATTCTCTCGACCCACATTTTTGTGCAAAGAAATATGATCTAAAGCTGAATTTTAGCGTTCATTTTTGTTTAGTGCAGGGAAAATTGAGAAAACTTTAACACTTGAAGGGCTAAAAATTTCAAACACTTGTCTATCTAGCTAGAAATGTTATACAGTAATAAAGGCATCTCGATCACTGAATGTGAAACTGCATAAAAACATCAGGATACACCGCCACAAAAAACAAAGACCATTACTGTTAACTTCCAGGTTAACTAGTAAAAAAATCCTTATTGTATTTTTTTCGACTCAACCCTCTAGTGGAACTAAATACAGCCGATTTCAATAAAATGTTACTTTAGTTGAATTCGACTTCCTTTTCCCTGCAACACTTATTTGTCTATGTATTTTTTTGTCTCTCTTTCCCACCACCATTATTCTACCAAAACTTTTCTAACCTATTCTGAACTTATATGAAATCAAAATGTGAAATAAGATCGATTCTCCCAAAAAACTGTCAACATTACTCGATGGGGGTATGGCTATGTTCAGAAATACCAAACCCATGCCCCCACGGATTTGGTGGCAGCTGCAATTCATAAGGCATGTATTATGCCACATGCTATAGTTCCATCACAACTAGCTCTTTCCTAAGACTTCTGACATCATTTTTCATCATTAATCTATCTGCTGGATGAGTAATTCCTAAACGTTTTAAACATCTTTCATGGTATGCTCTTATTTGGTAAAATTCTGGAACGAGGAAAACAATATTTGTTCAACGACGGTCGCTGGGCATCAAAGTGTCTGGGCAAGAACACCTTATCAGGTTCAATTCACAGATGACGTTTTCCATTTCAATGCTTTCTCTGTTTTTCCAGCACATCATCATCAAATTCCAGCATGTATCGTTCACCTGAGGCAGTCTTTTCGGAAGGACTCCATTCTCAACCGCTCCTTGCATTGCCTCAGTAGTTTCCATGTTTTGGTAAACTTCTGGTCTTGTTATCCCACTTCCCTCAAAGAGCACCCACAGTAACATTCCAAATGCGTAGATGTCATACGAATGATAACTGAGGTGGCTTTCTCGGTGATAGTGGTACATTTCTGGTGAGATGTGGAACGGTGAACCAAGAGTGGTCATGTTGTAAGGACTTTCAGGTTTAGCGAGGTTGATCTTGGCTTTTCCATCTTTCATGAGCTAAAGGAAAATAACTGTTGTGAGATTTCCCTTTACAATAGAAGCTTTAGCATCCCGGAATTGGAGCCATGCGTCATAAAGTATACACGTATTTACGTTAATGCAGGGAAATTAGTGTTACTTTATGTTGATTTAATTAAAGAAGTGAAGTCTTTAAATGAGCCAAGTGGCTCACCAAGCCGGACACTATGTCGGTTTCCATAGCAAGAAGAGACTAGAAGTATTACAGCCCCTCTCCCCCCCCGCCCCAAACATTTCATCAGGCTTCCCTGACAATTCGCCAGTACCCTTTTATACTCCTGGGTGAGAAATAATTCATTACATAAAATTCAAATTATCAGTGACAATGTCAGTACATTGATAAATTTCCATGATTTACTCAGGTAAGCTCTTACTGTATTTATACTGTCTCTTAAGGAGAACACTTTTTTCTTGAATATTTTCCAATGATTCGTTATCTTTCATCTAAATTCTTGTTATTTCAGAATCGAAAAATTTCAGATTTTCTCAGAATTCAGGGGTGGCCAGAAACTTTAAAATATATTTTGTTGACATATTCTTGAGACTAAACACGATTCTTAAAACTAAAGAGCGACCCATTCGATAGGGTCATCTCACACATTTTGTGAGAAGCCTGTATGGCGTATAGACTGCTGTAATTATTTGAATTTTTCTTACGTCTCCAGCTAAGACCATCATTTAAAACCAAATCCCAGATTGCACACATAGAGGACCCCTACCAGAATATTTCCAGGTTTCAGATCCTCGTAGACGTAACCAATATCATGAATGGCCTTCAACCCCTCAGCCACGTCCAAGGCTATGTTGATCCTTATAATCAGCGGCAATTCCTGTTGGAGAGCACGCAGCAGATTCTTTTCTGCTTTCTCCATGACGACATGTACGGTATCAGGATCTGGGAGGATCCATCCATACAAGCGTAACAGGTTTGGGTGGGAGCCATTGAGCCTCAGAATTATGTCCCTAAAATCAAATAACACCAATATTTACTCTAATGATTTTGTCAGGGATATGGTAATTCAGATCGTTAAGTCTTAGAAATACATATCAGATATTCTACAATTCGGATTTGTAATAGAATGAACAGACTGAAATAAGGTCACGAAACTATCAGAGGAGTCGCCCAAACATTGAGATAAATTGAACAGGGGAATCCTCAAAACGTGTTTTTGTTCTTATCAAGCCGTTTATGATCAAATCGACGCTTTTACATCCCCTTGGGCAACCCACAGGCATTTGACTGTCGTCCATGCCGCGGGGGTGAGGAGTGTGGACCTTACCTGGGTGGGGTGGGGAGCTTTAGCCAGGAGTATTGATAAAATTTTAACTATGGAGGAGTTAAAAGAAAAGAGTCCGCTTTCACATCGAAGAATGATGCTTACAAGCCAAAAAAAAAAACAAAAAACAAACAAAAAAAAAACAAAAGAAAAAAAAACAGCAGCACCAAAAAAAAAGTGATTTTGCTAAATTCAGAAACATTCGTTGATCATACAGAGAGTTGTTCAATAAAAAATGTGCTTGAGTAAGCCATTTGAATGCAAATTTAGCCCAGAGGGACGGGAATATAAACGGAATAATCTTCAAAAGCTCAAATGTCCGGGTGGTTTCCCGAAGGGGATGATGAAGCTTAGAATTGACTGATGCATTAATTCACTACAGTTTTTAATGCATTACTTACATCATGTTGACTAAATCCACAGCATTCTGGCTCCAGGCAGCTTCGCTCAAATTTCGCTTTTCAATGACTTTTACCACGCACTGTCCAGTGGATGTGGCACTACACCAGCTTTCGCTTATGCAGTCATAGATAGCTCCATGCCTTGTTTTGGCCACAAGAGAACCACGCTCAACTGGCCCAAACGTTTGCAAATATTGTAAGGCCATTCCTTCCACAGTCAATTTGCGAATCTTTGGGGTGAATTGGACCTGGAAAGATTCTAGCTGAGCTGACACGAAGCTGTTGGTAAAAGCCTCTTGCAAAGAATTGAAAGAAGAAAGGGCACCCTGAAATTTCTCATGCATTTCTAACAGACGGTCTGCACATACGGTTAGAACTGAATACACGACACCATTGAAGTCAATCACAGCCAACAGCGTCTCACAAATATTCTGCCTGGTTGACCTCTCGGAAATATCTACGTCATGGTAACTCACCAAGTCTCGTGGCGAAAGAACTCGAGAGAGAGGATCCGAGATTCCAGTTCTCAGAGCAACAGAGGAAACGTCGTTCGTGGAGTCAAGAAGCCCATTCATAACAACTTGGAGTAACTGATCTGTTTCACTTTTGACGGCCAGGAATTGAAAGTCATAGATGTCCTCTAATATGCGTGAGACCATTGGGTCTTGAACGACTGAATGGAAGTCATCGATAGCACGTATAAGATCGTGGACGTAATCCTTCATGAGGCCGTGAACAGCTGTCTCCAGGGTTTGGTATGACATTTCCAAGATGCTGCGTTTCATGTCAGCAACAAATGTTGCTAAAGCAATGTCAAGGCCGGAATCTAGCAATGTCTCTGAGAAAGCCGGTAGCTCAGTTCTAACCATGGTTTGAAACTCTATCAGCAGACTTTCCCGTTTCTCGGCTTTGTACTCTTCAGCTTCGCGTAAAACATGCGTCCTAAGGACTTCTAAATTTGTCACAAGCGTGCGCTCTGCCTCCTCCGACTTAAATGTGATTGCTGTTGCCAACGTTTGGATCATTTTGTCCAACACCTCGGCAGCTTTTGAATTCAACAAAGGCACAACCGATGCTTTGTGGGTGATGGAATCCCTTCGCACCTTCATGGTACTCGCAAAGCTTTCTTGGAGAAGTACAAGTTTTCTTACGACTCTAACAGTTTGAGTTTTAACAACCTCACAAAGGCGGTTCTCTAGACTGGATTCAAAAAGACGAAATTTTGTGCTCGCTTTTCCCTCTTGTTTCCTCAGGCGTTCTTCGCGAACTTCTTTGGCTGAAATAGCATGGAACATGAGGCACGTCTCCCACGAATCTCCACAGAGATACCTGTCTTTTAGTAGATCAAAAACGGCCTTTGCCTTTTCGTTTGCTATTCTTGACTCATTTAAATGACGTTTACAACTGCTACCTGTCTCTTCATGGTCATCTTCATCATCATCATCACCATCGTCGTCGTCATCGTTGTCCTCGTCATCATCATCATCATCATCATCTCTGTGAGATTGCAAGCTACGTCTTGACCGCCGATCATATTTCTTTGCTTTCGTAGTGATGTCCACTTTGTTGCAAACAAACATGATTTGAGTTTGAGGAAATTTGTCCCTTAAGAATTGCAGTGTTTCTCTATCCTGAAAGGAAGAAATAAATAGCCCAGTGAAGGGTTAATTCAAAGAGGAAATTCTGATTGTTTGGCAAAGATCTACTCTCAATAACTTCGAATAACAATTTGGGAATGGTAACTAGAATTTTTTTGGGGGGGATCACATGGTTTTCAAGGAGAACTGAGTGAGATCAGTCGTCGCCAACATAGAACATAGGGAAAACCATAGAACATTGATTGTCTATTAACTGCCAATATGGGAGGGGGAAAACAAGAGTACACACAAAAATCCCCTGACCCCTCCCCTTTGCCCCTAGGCTATAAATCGACCAGTCCACAAAGTAGTAAGTTTGGATGTTCTCCGGTCTAGTTCAGTTTGGACAGCGTTCACTACAGAGGAGAAAGTGGACTATTTGAAAATCTGATGTACATTCTCTAAACTTTCCTAATTTGAGAAAATGAAAGACACTTTTTAAATTTTAAAACGCGTACGTGAGCACTTGGTCAGTGATAGGACCTCTCACATTTTCAGACATCTACATAATTCTCCACGATGTCGCACACTTTGTTCTGATGAGTGTTTTAACATCTTAGATCACGCTTCCACCACTTTCAACTTAAAATAAAGAAGCTATCCACATTCAATGGGAGAAACCTACACTTAATCACCAATTTTATCGCGTTAATTTCAAACTTTCCTTGTAAATGCATACATTTTTCTGTTACTATTGTAATAGAAATTCGTTACATATCTGAACAGCTCATCACATGATGAGCTGTTTAGGGTTCTTCCGGTTTAATTTTGTAGTTATTACTTCGCGAGATGATTCCAGGCTTTCATTTTTAAAATCATTTAAATTAAGTTCCTCTTGCTCATGTTTTACGAGACTCTTTGGCAAAGTTGCTGTTAGACTAAGCTCAAGTAAGAGATTAAAACTTTCCATGCTCTTTGGTGCCAGACTTCAAACCATAAGATGTAAACAATAAAGCTTCTATTTATAATAAAGAACAACAGATATTGCGTATGTCTTATCCATGGACTAGAAGAGTGATTCAATGGGTGGTTCAGCCTTTACTTACTGAGCGTGTGAGTCGTTTATCTCCGTTGATGACATATACAAACAATGGTATGGTGCCTTTTTCAAGGAAGCTGTCCAACACTTTGTCTAATGCCTCTGATTCACTCTTCCCAGGCGAGTCGATGAGTTCCAGTCCACTTAGTAGAAGCTTGTGGTTTAATCCGACCTCAACAGTGGCTCCCAAGACAGCTTCATCTTCCCTGTCCCGATCGGAAACGACGATGAATTCCTTTGGGGGTTGTTTGTCGGTAAAGAACTGTTTCTTGACCTCTTCGCCATTTAATCTTATGAGTCTAACGTACGGCTCAGTTGCATATTTGATTCGAACAATTCTTGCCGTGCAAGGGATCTCGTCAACTGGTAAAGCAGACTTTCTAAGAAGTTCATTAATCACTGAGCTTTTTCCACAATTCTTTTCGCCGATGAAGAACACCGAAGGGCTTTTCTGGAGCTCGTTTCTTACTTCCTCTTGATGCGGCAAGAGAAACCTGAGTGCATCTTTGTTAGTCACTGGAACACTTCCTTCGATTTCCTGAAAACAATCTACTGTTCGCTCGAATAAGTTGGAGCTACTGTCGTAGTAGCGTCTGAATTCATCTATGGCTCTTTGCAAATCGGAGTAACTGTTTGAGTCTCCCATTGATTTCCTACATGAAGTCAATTCATGTTCCGTGGCAGCCTTATAAGAAGCGCCGAAGGTTTCTTATTTTTCCCAGAAATCATGTACTTGTTGGATTGGTAATTGTACTGGACTTGTACAAAAAGGATAAGCGGAATGTATTCGTCAAGTGACTGTAAGTCTGAAAAAATTAAAACCTGCCACGACGTTCTCGGCTGTTTTCCTTAGTCGACGATGAGGAAGAGGGATCGTGAGATCAAAATTCAACAAGTAACTTGTTTCGGAAAATACGAAGGGTATAAATATTTTGAAACTGACTTGTTTCAATTTCGCCATACCAGCGGTACTGGTCTGCCTCCCTCTCATGTAGCGAAAGGTCAGGTTCTCTAGTTCTTTCTCAATGCTCTTGCTGCTAGAAGCATTGAAAAGGAGCTCTCAGTCAATATAATTACTTCGTTAATTTTCTTTTCTTTGGGATACATGTATTTTTCGGTACGACAAAGGGTTAAGGCTACAGGATAAAAGGTTAGGCTACAGAGAGGGATACATGTATTTTTCGGTAGGCTGATAAATGGGTTTCGCGAAAAGGGCCTCTGTCATCGTTGTGGCTGAGTTTCGAAAACCCACTGGAGACTTTTAAGTTCCTCTTCATTCCATATTCACCGCATGAGACAATATCTGCCTTTCTTCAGCTTTGTTTATTTAAAAAACTTAATTCAAACTCAAATTTTTAGCAAATTTCGTTCTTAAAAAGGAGGAGGCTGACGGCCCGTGACATATCGTAAGTCGATTTCCACTCTCTTAGAAACAAATTCGCCATTGTTTGATCAGTTTTTCCGCGCCTTTCCTTTGCTTTATTTGGTTTTTTATTTCAAGCAGGCAATATCAACGCTTCATTTTCTACTTTATACGTATTCAGTAGCGCACAATTATGACACAGCTCTTGATAAACTTAACTTCAAACGATTGACTTACAACGAGTGTTGTTTATACTCGTCACGCAACGCCCTCTCTTTCCTGCGTGACGGGACCAAACAATAACTTGAAATGGGAGTGACGAAAAGATTAATAGCTGATACCGAATACTTTCCTGGATAGTTTGCAGATTGCAGTTTACCTTCTTTTGACCCACTGGCTACTTGATACAACGAGTGTAAACCTACGTCGAGGAGGGCTTTATAAGTTATTGCAATTATTGTCAATGCTTTTCAAATGGTTTTCATTAACCAAATGGCTTGACTTAAAAGACAATGGGAGAAAATGCTTTTTCGGTGGCTGCATGCTGCAAAATCATGCAGCAATCTACCCCAGGATTCACGTAATGACAAAGGTTTTGATACTTTTGAATCAATGTTTAAGACCTACATGTATCTATTTTTGCCTTGCTTTTGATAATATCTGTATATAATTAGTTTCCCATTTTTTTTAATGTCTTAGTTATTTGATTTTTCTATACTTTTTTATAGTTTTGATAGACTGAAATGTTGTAGTATTTCATGCAGTGAAATGCACTATTATCATTATTATATTATTATTTTTAACTCGTAGAGTGGATAGTACTGCTCAGAAAAAGACAACCTAAAAGTTCTAAATATCAACTTCTATGTTATGATATCTATTCTGTCTTTCTTAACCCTTTATCTCCCAGATCAAATTTTTAATTCTCCTTACTGTCTCCCATGAAGTTCTTGTGATGTTAGTTTGGAGAATTTGGTAGTAGATCAACTAATAATCCCCTAATTAAGATTTTACCTTATTCTCATAACTTGTTTGCTTGATATAGTATTGATATTATAAGGAGAAATGCTGTCTTGGTCACACATGGGAGTTAAAGGGTTAATATACTTAATATACTAAATTGCTAAACTTTGTAATTGTTAAACTAGAAACAATTTTTATTATAATACTACATTTATTCATTCAATTTTATTCTATTTTAATTCATCTTTGGTGTTTGTGATTGTTTCTCTCCAATAACTAGTGTAATTTGTACAATAAACTAGAGTGTATCTACACATGTATGTTAGTAAATTGCTGTGTAGTAGAGAAGGACCATTTGAAGTGCAAGTGGACCCTCTAAAAGGAAATGAATCATCATTTTCCCTTGTTGAATAATTTTTTTTTTCAGTTAAATGCAACTGAGTGTACAAACATATCAAGATGTTGCAAGAGCAAGGATTTTTCAGCACTTATGTCAGGTGATGTTTATGTAGAGGGAATGAAGTACCAATTCTTGCATTAGGAAGATAAGAAGTTAGTTCTGGGAAAGAAAAAAGGATAGGGAGCCATCTCCATCCAGTGTTCCAAGACAGCAATTGTCATAGGTCATTGTCCAGAGGGAGGTCAGCAAGGTAATACCAACAAAGGTGTCTCAGTAATTGCAGACTTAACCTTGAAGGTATGGGCATATAACACAAGGTTAAATTCTGTTAACACTTTATATAGTTTGTGGTAGAAATCTGTTCTTTAATTCTCAACCACATTACCTCATTTTTTTTAATGTATTCATTGAGGCCTTGCTGTAGACAAATTGGAGTTTATGAAATCAACTGGTTGCCGATGAAATGTTATGTAGTGTTTTGATGATGATGATAATTGATTGCAATTTAAAAGCCTCCCTTTCATCAGGTTACAAGTTGAAAAAATATTCCATCATAATTATTGTTTTGAATAAACTAGCTGGCGTGGTTGATAATGTAGTTGGTTTAAAAAGTGTATTTATTGTAATTTGTAAAAGGATACACTTCCTAAGAATTTGTCTCAGGAACTTGCCATTCAATCCTAATAAATCAAATTATTTGAGCTTTTCATTGAGTGAAGCACTGATATCACGACTGTTCAACCCTTTCAATCCCAAGATCTGATTAGTATTACTTACTGTCTGCCATATAATTTTTTGATATTACTCAGGAGAATTTAGTATTGGATCAAAGTCCCTCTAGTTATATTCTGCTTTATTCTCACGACTTTTCTACTTGATATTGCACAGATATTGTAAGGAGAAGTTTTCTATTTGTCCCTCATGAGAGTTTAAGGGTTTCATACTTGTCAACTAAAAGTTGGATGAATGTTTCAACAAACCTACCCAAACTTCCCTTCCTTGCCACCGCACGCTTGGGTATGTTAACCCTTTAACTCCCAGATCAAATTTGTAATTCTCCTAACTGCCAACCATACAATTCTTATATTGTTAGTTCAGAGAATTTATTATTGGATCAACTTATTATCCCCAAATTGACATTTTCTTCTATTCTCATCACTTATCTGGTTGATATTGTATTGATATTGTAAGGAGAAATTCTGTCTTGGTCACTCCCCTTGCGAAATGGCTCTTGGAATTCCTAGGAATAAAGGTGTGAATTTTCACGGTAAATTCGGACTGGGAATTCCTAGGAATTCCCAACCATAACAACTCTGGTTCTAAAAACCTAGAAATTCCTAGAAATTCCCAGAAATTCCCAGAAATTCCCAGAAATTCCCAGAGATTCCAAGTTTATAGCCAACAGGACTTGGAATTCCTAGGAATTCCTAGGAATTCCAACTCAGAGAACCAATGACTTTCCCTGAAAAGCTGTAAATCTAAAAAATTCCTAGGAATTTCTGGGAATTTCTGGGAACTTCTGGGAATTTTTGGGAATTTTTAGGAATGTTTAAGAATTACTGGGAATTTTAAGCAAAAATTTGAGGCTAATGATATAAAATAAATACTTTAAATTAAAAAAAACCCAGCTAAAATTCAAGTATTCAATGAAATTTATTTAGAAGCTTAATTAAGGCTTACATGTAAAATATTTTTGATTAATTACTAACATCAATGTGTGGTAATATTAGGATGGAATTTGATTTATTTTTCTTTCCTTGAAAACTTCATACGGATTAATCCTCAATTACAGCTATTCATATAAAATAGTTCTAATCAATCATTAAATTTGGTTTGACACAAATTGTGAATAAAATCTGTTGATTCTCTTCCATAAAATACAATATCTTAAGTTCTATTTATATAGTTATATTCTTGGGAGTGAAGGGGCTAATTACAGACAAATAAAATTAATTTTTGATTAAAATCTTGTTGTAACTGTAACAATAAATTAGAATGAAGTTATCCTAAACTGCAAACTTAGCTGCTGTTTGTACTGTTTGTATTTTTTTTTCCTGGGCTCACAATGAGTTGGCCTTGAATGAGGTTGTCAACAAGAACCTTGACCATTTTGTATCTGGATTCCTTGACATCTGAATTTGAAAAAATATATATATTAAAAATATGTATGTTTAAAGCTCAGACCAGGCTTTTAAGATGGCTATGAGGAAAAGGGCATTCATTGGATTCTCAAATTGAGAAATCTCTGTTATATTGAGTGACTTTTATATTGGAGTTAGTACATCTCTCTCATGGATTTTACTAAAAAGGGCTGAATACATTATTTTGTTTTTTACCAAGGAGGGCTTCTTTATGTACTAAGGTTTGTTATGAATCTTGAATGTTCCCAAACGTGACTAGAGGAATCTTGAAACCTTGCTGATAGGTTTATTTCATTGTAAAGCATAAGCTTAAGAAACTGCGGCATGCAAGTGACCGATTCGATTCTCAGAATTATTCTAGTTTCAGTTGCGCCGAGCGTTATGTAAGCTTAATTCAACCCGCTACATCTATTATTTTATAAGATTTTGATCTCGTAACGAATATCGCAATTTTTACTCACCACAAATTTTCAAAATCGTAGCTTTACAGATGGCCACTCGACCCTTGTTTGTACCAGTCCATATGTCAACTGTTGTCCCTTCTTTTAACTCCACGGCGCCAACGACTTTCTTCTCTTTTACAACACTCACGCTATTCTCGTTTTCTCATTGAACCACAATAATAGCTATCTTTAGAAATGTTATATTAAGCAAAACAGTTGAGAAAAGCGATCAACCGACGAAAAGTACATTCAAAGATGAGCGCCAAATGGAGTCTTCTTTGTTTCCGATCACGGGCATGATCACGTGGATCTTTTAGGACTTGTCATTGGCTAGCAAAGTGAATCCGCTGGCTTGCCGATTGCAGTGTTAAGATAAGCGCACAACTTTATTCTGACTTCTCCGACCGGTTCTCTGCTTCTAGAAGATGGATAGCTTGGTGATATAAATAAAGATGTGAGCTCACTCTATGTAGAAATAATCGACAAGAATCGATCGTATTACAAATGCACGATTTGTGGCCGAAAGTTGTCGAGGAAACAAAGACTCACTTGAGTTGTGTTAATGGCAAAGGTGAGAAATAACACAAGCCAATCACAGTTTTGAATGCGACTACAAATCGTCTTTTACCCTCATATTTATAAAAGAAGGATACCACATTCGGAAGTATAAGAGATACATAGATGATCCCAGTGTACCAGTACCTAAATCTACAAAGCTTGACCGTAGCAAGCGTTCAGCAACACGTTCCAACACCGCCATCTCGATTCCTCAGTCAGTCGTTTCCACTGAACTTAAAGCAGTATTGACAACAGAGTAGAGTGCGTCTTACAAAGGAGAAACATTTGTACAAGAGAAAGGAGTAGCTATATGCGATTACAGAGGTGCGTTGGAACTCTGGTCCATAAATAGTTATGCACTGTATAAAACAATTTTGTTGATAGCTGACAGACAGAGAAGAACAACAAGTAAACTTAAGAGCTGTTATTATTGAAGTGTGACTAGCACTTTTCATTTTTATATAAAGAAGGACTTGTAATTTGCACCAAAAATAAAAAGATGTAATATTTTTTTTGGGAGATCCAGTGATTGGGACATTTAAGAAATTAAGTTATGAAAGGAAACTTGGTTGGTACTTCTCACTACTAACAAGTCTTGTTGACAAATATTTTCAGATCAGAGTTTCAAATAAAGTAAATTGAAGACGTCATATAAAAGGTGTTTTTCCTCAAAGGGAACATTGACTACCTCTGTCTTGTCTGCATGCCAAATGTTTGCAAAGTGTGTGGATGATCCACAAGTATTGGAACTCTTACAAAATGTTTTGTAAGAATAAAAACAGCAAAACAAATTACAGCAATTAGTCATGAAAATAGAGCAAAAAACTGAAAAAAAAAAGCAAACAACAATCATGAAAAAAAAAGAAAGATTAATTAGGTGTTGAATTTGTTTGTCTAAGGCATGAAATTTCTACTAAAAGTATTGTCAACAAAAGTCTCTGACAGCGTTCGAGGCAACTGAGCTTGACTGTTCCAAAGTTTTCTAACAAAGGCAACCAGTAATGTAGGTTAGGGAAGTAAGATAACAATGTAATTATTGTTAATTATTGTGGAAGTTGGCAATTTCCATTTAACATAACTGACAGCTGGTTCATGAGAAAATCCATATTAATGTAAAGATTTACTAAAACTTAGTTTGAGTAATAAATTTCATGATCTTTAAGTTGTAAACATGTACATGTATGTATATCTCTTGGTAAGTTATGTATAGCATACCTTTTATTGAGCCAAAGTTTTAAGCCTCTGAAATTACTCTTTTTCTTAAAACGTTCACATTCAAGGTATTGAGAATTTCTTAGAATTTATGTGGACCTCAGGGTATTAAAATTGCTTCAAATTCAATTCCCAGAAATTCCCAAGAGTTCCACACTTCTTAAATTATAGGTAGTTTGTAAAGCTGAGAATTCCTAGGAATTCCAAGGGATTCCAAGTCCTCACAAAACTGGAGTCTTCCTTTCCCAGAAATTCCCCGTAATTCCAAGCTTTTTAAATCAGAGTTAATTTGCATAGTTGGGAATTTTTGAGAATTCCTAGGAATTCCTAGGAATTCCTAGGAATTCCCAGAAATTCCCAGAAATTCCCAGAAAACTGGGAATTCAGTTTGCAAGGGTCATTTGCATAATTGGGAATTTTTGAGAATTCCTAGGAATTCCTAGGAATTCCTAGGAATTCCCAGAAAACTGGGAATTCAGTTCGCAAGGGTCATGGGAGTTAAAGGGTTAAAGGAAAAACTATGTTGGATCTGCTACCTTGGTAAGCTTGAGGGAAGCTGTATACTATACTCTGTTTTCCAACTTTTCAACTGGAACAACGAACTGCCTTCAAAAGGACAATGGGAGTTAATTCATGGAACACGACAGAAGTGGAACTTCAAAAAGATGTGGGCTGGATATACCGTATTTCCTTGAATACGTGCTTATACTCAAGGCAAAATGTTATGCAAAAGCGCCCCTTGAATAGACGTTCCTTATCCCTCACTTTCTACAGTGGGGATACAAGGAAAGCCGGCCTGTTTCTAATGCCACTTTACGTAAGACTTTTTAAGCTTCAACAACAGCGAAATCAGCACAGGAGAGTGGTTTCTTTTCTGTTAAAGTCACTTCCAGTTATTTCTATCTCCCTATGCTGTCAGTATTCCTTATGTGCTTTTTCTGTGATTTTCATTTTTGTCCTGTTACTGCGCTCGCCCAATAAGGGACCTTCTTCCGATATGCCCCCCTCTATTTAGCCAGACGAGCGCTTATTCGAGGAAATACGATAACTAGTTCGGTTGCTGTAGAGTATCAGGAGAACCCCCTACTTTCCCGTCTGTGCCTCTATTTAGAGAGACTACAGTACAAGTGCCGCGCTTTTGAAGCAGGCGTGTGATCTATCTTCGGCTGTAATGTGTCCCCCGATCGAAGGGGACTGAATCGGTCATAAGGCGTCAGACTTCCAACTTTACAGGTAAATTTATTCCAAACTCAGCGCTCAAATTACACCCAACGGAATGGATAATCTCTATTGAAACCTCTCTGACAGGTACAGGCGAACTTGTTTTCGTGATGGTTTCATCAACCGAGTTGATGATGTAAATTGGCCACAGTAAAGAGTTTCAAAGCCGACGTTTCGAGCGTTAGCCCTTTGTGATCGCAGAGAAAGAGGTGAAAAATTCACAAAATACATCAAATTCATGCTTCCATATCAAATGCAAGCAGTCGACTATGAATAACATTCAGTTCGTCGGATTCATCCATATCCAGATTTGAACTAAACGTAATGCTTTACTAGGGGCTAACATTACAAAATTTAATCAAAAGATTAGCATCACACTACCGGAGAGGTCGTGTAATCAAAGGCATTGCGCAAGCGTGCTCCTTATTCGTAGTGCGCATATTGATGACGTGCGTTTACACATTGAAGTATGCCAGAGGCGAGGGGTGGGTGAGGATTCCTGTTTATCGGTACGATATGGCTTAGCGTCAGCTGTGCAGAAGGTGGAGTTGCTTTTGTTTATACCGAGACACGGATCGCGTTATCACTGCCTAGTCTCGTTTCTCGTGCAAATAAAAAAAATGAAGGATATTTTTTTAATGGATGCAGTATCAATTATGTCCCATACGGCTGCTACTGATCCGGCATCTCCGCTAGGAACGTTTCCAAGTCCCTAACCACGCTGTCGAATGATGGCCTTGCTTCGGGATCCTGATTCCAACAACTTTCCATGAGTTGCCAGCATTGTTCTGGAAACACGTCCAACCTCTCTGGTGTCTTGTTGTCAACAGCATTCATCATGAGCATCTGTGGTTGGTTGCCCTGGCCTTCGCACACTCGCCAGAGCAACATACCGAACGCGTACACATCAATGGATTTGTCGTACTGTTTTTTCATCATTTCGGGCGCCATGTTGATAGGAGTACCAACCAACGAGTTATTGATGAGACCTTCGGGTTTACAGAGACCCAGATCAGTTAACTTTACGTTGTTTTTCTCGTCCAACTAAAAAGAGAAAAGGAGAAAATCGAATTTGCTCGTCCAAAAATGTAATGTACCACTTATATGCTGTATAAATTCAGAATACTATTATTTAAAAGTCCCCTTTTGGTTCAATAATCGGCTCCTCTTAGGGAACTCTTCATAAGCACAGCCTTACATAGTAAACACCCACCACAGCCCCATTTATTTTTCAATCAAGGCTAACAGGCAGTGTGACGGTACTCACCAAGACGTTCTGCATTTTAACATCGCGGTGGATCAGCTCCTCTCCGTGAAGATACTGCAAGGCTTTGGCAACGTTAAGAGCTATCTCAAGCCTATTTCTCAAGGAATGTATATCCGCTAAACCATTATGAAGATCGCATCTCATTCGCTCCGAGACAAGTTGCACAGAATGGCCACGAGTTGGGTTGGACTCCACATAACTGCACATAACTGGTAGAATGTTCGGATGGTGGAGAGCTCTTAAACGGAGAAGTTCATTTTAGTAAATTGTTCGAATAAGAAAAGACGAGGGCTTGAACAGCTTTCAAGAATTTCCTTAATCCTCCGAGTGTTCGGATAAACCCCTGTGAACATGGAAAGAAGGAATCCTCTTTGCCCTCAAGGAATGATTTCTAAAAATACGGTAGAATCTGTATCGATAACTCCAAACGAACCCATCGACCAATGAGACCGTATTTTGTTTCGCACCTATTTCAAAACGTTACGTTACCTTACCATCTTGATATTGCACTTTACCTGGTATTATGAAGTTCCAGGGTCAAGTCCTTGAGCACCTCCTGTGAAGCGACACGTACCACCTTAACAACACAGGGCCTTCCTTCTGGAGTTTTAATGTTGTCACAGGCGAAGACTTCACCCTGTGCCCCAGTCCCAATGCGCTCTCCTTTAGCTGGAAATCCAAACTTGAACCTGTCCATGACACCATATGCCATTATCTCAAGAAGTGCAAGATTGGGAGCAAAGCCAAGAATAGTTTCTCTTTGCATATCCTTGATAGTCTCTCCGCGATCGAACAGGTCTTGCACTTTTCTTATTTCATTGGTGAAGTCTTCATGGCAGTCACAAAGGTGCTGTTTCAAGCTGTTGACGATTCTCTGAGCCATGTCAGATGGATTTACTTTCGCAAGGGCATCTGAAGCAACATTTGTCTTCCATTTCTTCGAGCCAACTTGAACCTCTCCACTGATGGTCTTGATATGTGTGTCGATCGGGGTACGAATCGCCTCGTTGAACTTAATCGTTAATTTCTTTGTGAAACGGAGAGCTCCTCTGTTGCGTTGTGAAAACGTGATTTTAGCTTCGTAAGAAGAAAGAAGGCTTTTGGCAAGAGCGAGTGCTGCCGATGGAATGTCGTTGTCTCTGACAATTTCTCCTTGAATTTTCTCCATGCCGTCTTTGAGGCCAACAAGGAACAGATCTCTGGAGTGGAACATCATTGTTAAGTTTTGGTTGATCTCTCCTACGAGTTTATTGGCCACCATCCCCTGAATCTGGTACAAACAGTGAGCTACAGCTGCTTTCTCCTTTACATGACCACTTGAGGGAATGGTAAATTCGGTCAAAATGTATACAAAATCTCCTGCCTCCTTTAGGATGTCTTCTCTGGCTCCATTTATGGCATCACTGAGCAGCTCTTGTATATCCATGGCCCGCTTTTCGTCCTCAAGGTCGCGAATTATGTTCTCGTGAACTTGCTGTTCCTCGTGCAAAAGTGTTTCCAACGTCTTCAATATTTGCTTCTTTCCCCATTTTAAGACGTTGGCTTTCTGAATGAAGAAATCCAAGCATCTGGAAAGAGCACGCACGAGGATTTTGCACACACACTCTACCCTTGCACGTAAGGATTCTTCAGCGAACTTTTTCAAGCTGTTTTGAAATCCCTCAAAGGCTTCCGTGTAATCTGTAAACTCCTCGAAAGAAGCTTTGGGATCTTCCTTCTTCAAAGCGTGGTACTGCTGGATGCGCCAAGCTGACAGCCCATGGAATCACTCGTTTTGATTCATAGGCAGTTGAGAAGGAAAATGGCCGTTTATGACAAGCCGCTCATACACCCGTGCCTTCTTTCTGTTCTGTGCTTCGAGCTCTGGCTTTTTCCGCGCCTTCACTGATGCTGCATAACCTCTTGGTTTATCGTCCTCATCTGATGATTCGGTACGATCTTCTGGTTCCAGTTTGCTAACAACGAAAAAAATTGATAAATCGGTCTCTGAGGATGTCATTTCATTCAGGACCTCTCTATCCTGGCAAGGAAACAAATAACAATTGGTAATAATTGATGATAAGACTGTGAAAAGAAAAATCATCAAATAGAGAGCGAATAATCTAATCGTTTTATTATAAATCTGTTAACTATTCAAAACTTAATAACAAAACAGGCTCAAATAGCTATTTCATTTTGTTTACAACCCCACAATATTACTAGTAAGACACTCACTTTACTTATTTATTAGGCGAATAGCGTTGCCAATCAGATTGCAGCAATTGGATTTGGAAACCCACGGCAATCACTTTCATCCGTGCCCGCGGGGAGGAGAATTTGAACTCTGCTTGGGTGGGGTGGAAAATTTGAACCAGCGGAATGTACGTGTTTGAATTTTTAATGTGGAGGAGTTTAAAGGCAAAGTGTTCATCTTTGCGAACAAATGGCTTAGAAGTGAGTTTTTACATCGTAGAATGATGCATATAATCGAAAAACTTAACAGTGGAGAATCGCTGGGAGTGAAAGAGTTTTGTACATCTGTTGGCAAAGAATGGATTGATTTTCTAAACTTTTATCTTCATTAAAATAATCATTTCGTAATAAATGCAACAGCAAGCAAACCAGAGTAAAAGCTATGCTGATGTTGTGGTAATTACGTCGCTGTCGTTTCACGACGTTCTCGTGTAAATTTAAACCACGACCGTTTAATTTCGATGACAGCAAACGTTTGCTTTAAAAAGCTTCGTATTTAAAAACTACTCTGATCGAATTACTGATTCACGACTCAATATTTTAGAGATACAGTCCAAGTGACTCACAAAATACGGCACTTGGTATAGTTACGATCTTAATACAACCCAGAATACAAATTGTAACCAATCGAGGAATCGATCGTATTGACAACAAAAACCTTGCCTGCTTTGTGAAAAGATTATGTCCATCCACCATGTATATAATAAACGCAAGAGGATTTTCCAGCTGCTTTATTACCAAGTTGTCCAACACTTTATTTTCATTTCTTCCAGGGGAGTCTATGATGCTTACACCGCACTTCAAGAACTCGATATTTAAACCGGTCTCCACGATCGCCCCCACTTTACTAGGGTCACCACGATCCTTCGGTTTGAGCTCGATCTTCTTTCGAGGGATTCTATTTCTATCCTTGCCTTTCATCTTTATCTCTTCTAAGGTTTTACCATATGTGTCAACCAGGCGACAGTAAGGCTCCTCGGCGTGGCAAACGCGAACAATTCTCGCGGTGCTCGGTTGGTCTGATGTAGGAAGCGCTTTACAACCTAGGAGCTCGTTGATTATGGTGCTTTTTCCGCAGTTGGTTTCCCCGACAAAAATGAGCGCCGGCTCCTGATCAAACAAATCGGTAACTTCCTTCTTCTCCTTAGCTGTGTAAAGCAGCTCAGCAAGGGCGTGACCATCCGCCATTGCCACTGTTTGAGCCATTGCTTGAACTTCGTCTGGAGAGGCTTGCACGGGTGAGGTTTTGTAGCGAAGTTCTTCAACAATTTCTGCAGTACCTTTATCGGAAAGCTTTCGAACGATTTCATCGAAGTATTTGACCGTGTCATGGTGAACTTTTTTCAGCACAGCCTTGCTTTTCTTGAAATCCTCGAACACGTCTTGAAGCGCCATGGCTGGACGACTCGACGAGATTGGAGAGCACTGCATGAAATTCAAAGGCTATTGTTTCTTATATTCCTTAATTGGAAAAAAGAGGAAGTCAAATGGTCATCGATCACCTTCGATGAAATTTTACAAATTTGTTATGAACTCATTTATAATAGAAGATTGGAGCACGCAGTCTGCAGTTTCTTGCTATACCAATCCTTATTGTTACATTATGTTATGACTAATGTTATGTTATGATTTAAAGTTAAGTTCCACAAGAAGATTTCCCTATTAAGTTCGAACGCTACTCGTTGGATCTTACTAAAGGTCTCCAGGTTGACAACAGCGCAAGCGACTCAAGACAAAAATGGCAGACCTGTCAAAATAATCAAGGGAGTTCTTGGCGATCCAATATTTCCCCTCAACGCTCTATTACAGTTACAGTTAGCCCGAAAGCTCTTGCTCTTTTCATCTTGTCAGAGATAGATTCTTCTCATGAAACCCCACTCTGACTGGTAAAAACTTAAAAAAAAACAACAATAACAACAAAAATAACAATTTGCTGATGATAGCAAAGTTGTGTACATGTCTGAATTGATTAAAGAAAGATTTTTAATGAAGTGGAGCTCAACTAGAAAAGAAATCCAAACCAGAAAATTGCGAGTCCAGTCCAGTCCAGTCCAATCTCTCATTGCATGTCTGGATGTCACACGACATGTTACCATAGCCTAGTTTTTTCGAAAATCTGAATGAACCAGGAATCAAAGTGAGTTCTAGAAATAAGCGTGGTTTGTTGGGCTCGTCTGCACAGGATCAAATCTCTTTGCAAACCTTTATACTGAATGAGATCCAACCTGACCGTCATTGTGAACAAATGGCTTCCCGCGAGGGTGAGAAAATTGGAAATGTTGATTTGAAGTAGTTCATGTTTACCGCATTACGAAAGTCTGCAGTCTGGCCTTTCTATTGACATGCAAAACATGCAACTGGTTGCAGAACGAGAGCCTAAACTAAGTAATACTTAAGCTTTGTAGGGGAGTTAAACGAAGCCAATCTTCATTGAGATTAAGCTTAAAGAGTACATTACCGACCGCATTTTAGTAAGAGAGGGAAATAGAACCTTCGGTACGTATTCTAAACTGTCACTGATCATGCAGACGAAAACCAAAAGTCACCAGCTTCTCTTCATTTCGTTTATGTATTATTAAAAGTTATGTTTCCATTACGAGAATCGTTCCCAGAATTAAGACATATATTATATTCTTTGGAATAGTTGCAGATCGGCTCTAATTACCGTCACAATGCGATTTCACTCAGAAATTTATGTTTCTGACTCACTGCAAGCCCATAGTAACACTAGTTTCAGTTTGTAGGAACATTCTGAAATCTGTTACTACAGATTTCTTAAACCTCTTATTTTCTTTTCCTTTCAAGCTCATAGCTGTTTGAATCAATGACACCCAATTTTAATTCACAAAACCAAACACCAAACAATGTGTGGGATAAAAACAACCTTGCTATTTAACTAATATTTTCACAAATACGAAACTCTTGCATGATGATATACATAAAATAATGATAAAATAATACTCAAATATGCTATTTGACAAAAAGGCTGGCTGATAGAAACACTGAACAGATACAAAAACAGCAAACATGAAATACTGGAAAGGTATGGAAGGGTCAAAGAGAAATATCTTCTAGGAATACAAATGAGGTTTTCTATATATTTGCTAATTAGCGAAGGAATAGAGAAAATGATATAAATTACTAAGTAATCTTTTAGGTACCTATTATGATATCAGGGTACTTTTACTTGCAGTATGGGAAAACTGCACAACAGGAAAGGTCTGCTTTAATGTTAATTAAAATTACTTGTACACAATGATGATGCAAGACTGCATGTCTCTGTACCAGTTTATCATGTTTGTATTTTAGAGGCACATAACCCAATAATGGGCAATGTTTCCTATACACAAGATTGTGTTTGTTAAAGGAGATCGATTGGCCTTAAATTTGCTGTTCTTTTATTTGCTTTTGCTGTTTTGTGAAGATTAAGAAATTAATTGTGAAAAGTTACATAGGTTGTAGAAAACTATCAGTTCAGCTCTTCCTATGCAGTTGATTTTTAGAAAATTTACTCACAGCTCTTCATTGGAGGGAGGGGAAGGGGGGCAACTTAACCCCTTTTTTGTGCTGAGCTTGCTCACAGTGGCATTCTCAAAACCCTTAATACCCCCAGATTCTCTCCCATTTATGATACAACCATTATCCTCATTAACTGTCTGTCTCAGAATGTATTAATTTTTTTAAGGAGGAAGTACAGTCTGGTAGCACTTGGGAGTGGGAAAATTTGAATAATCTTGTCATTTACATTTTTCACTGGGGTTCATTGCAGTTGTCTGGCTTTTTCTTGTCCTTTTGTATGGATCTCATGTATTTTATAATCAACCCATTCATTACCAAGATCTCATTGGCAATTCTCCATACATTCTATCATATAACTATTATGGTGCTAGTTTGGAGGATTTAACATTGGATAAACTAATAATCCTCTAATTGATTTTTTAATCTCTATTCTTGTAACTTGTCTTCTTGGTATTGTGCATGTAAGGAGAAGTTATTTCTTGGTCACTTCTAGTTCTAGGATTCAAGTTCACAAGTTCTAGGATTAACACAAAATACTATTTATAAGTATTGCAATCAGTAGTTCTTACAACCCAACCTGTCAAGTTTAAAACTGAATTTTGGGTACCAAGAAAATGAAAGCTTATAATTTACCTTTTCCTTTAGTTGGCCAAGATAATTGATTTAAAGTAACATCTTCACCATTGTAAATCTAGGTATCTCTGGCAATGAGGACACAGAAACAGAAGAATTTCCTGCCCCATCATTTGAAGAACAGTTTAAAGACTTGACCTCTCTCATCTCCTTCTTTGAGGAGTGCTCAATCCAAACATGGCAGTCTATTGACAACATGAAAGAGAAGTTCCCTATTAGCTTGAAAACAGATCTTATGACTGACAAAGAAAGGCAGAGTCTACAATCATATCCCTCCAAGAAATCTACTCTTCTTGTTGTTGGACAAACAAATAGTGGAAAGAGCTCCTTTGTGAATGAACTTCTTGGTGGGTCATTCATGCCAACTTCTTGAGTACCATGCACATCTCGCACTGTCCATCTTAAATATAGTGAGAAAAACTGTATCCAGGTTTGTGATACACCTTTCTGTTTGAAACTTTTTAAGAAAGAGAGGCTGATAATTTGATCAAATATCAGCAGTTTTTTTTTTGAGGGGGGGGGGAATAGATTGTAACCCCTTTTTGCCTTCCCCCTTTGCTTCTCAGGAGTGGCTTAATTTCATAGCTTAGTTGGTAGTAGTGCACCCACCTGTATCTTAGAGAAACAGGTTCAAATCCTTTCGAAAACCTGAATTCTAAAGAAGGGGGGGGGGAGGCTGTTGAGCTCTCCAATTTTTGCTAAAGGGAGGGGATGTATAGCCCCACTACTCTGCCATCTGTCTTTCCTCAGGGGATATTTGTAGAGAAACAGGTTCAAATCCTTTAAAAAAACCTGAATTTAAAGGAAGGGGTGGGCTGAGCCTTCCAATTTTTGTCAAGGGGAGAGGAAGTATAGCCCCACTACTCTGCCATTTGTCTTTCCTCAAAGGATATTTGTAGGTTTTCCAGTTTTCCTTCTTCCACAAAAACCATTTGCGCACGGGTACCAGTCGTTTCAAGTTAACCTGGCTTACATGATTTTTTTAATTGCAAGGAGTTACAGATATTTAGGCAAAGTAGCTTGGCGTATGATTGCAGCAGCAAAGGCCAGTGCCCCCCCTCTCGATCAATGGTGTATATGGCAATCACGGAACCTTTTCTTTCGCTGCTCATTTTACTCGTATGCAGTCAATGAATATGAAAAAGTCCTAAGCAGATGAGAAGTAATGAAGCTCTGCTTGGAGCCATGTTCATTATGTTTTTTTTCTTTTGAAAAACAGCTTGACTTCCACGGGAATGCAAAGCTGAACGTTTCTAAGCCAAGGGATGACACGATTCCGTATCCTGACAACTAGGCGCCTTTCCATGTTCCTGCTAAGAATCCCGTTGCAAGCGCATCTGACCCTGATTCGGTGAACACTCTGCGGGACCATTGTGTCTACAGTCTTGCAGTCTTGCTTTTGCTGTTTGTGGAGGAGAAGTATTGCAGACCACCCTATGCCCAGAGGTTAAAAGTGGATGAGGTGTATGCTGCCGTAGCCTGAGGAGAAGACTGTGCGTACGTCTCCGGAATGAACGATCCAGAGGGTCGGTCTTCTGGCGAAAGGCAAAAGGCTCGTGAAATTGTCCTTTCCATTTTTGACTTTCAGCAGAAGCATAACGAGTATCTGCTTTCAGTGATAGATTCTTTCAAATCGAAGGTCACTGAGGTGGTTTCTAGTTGTGAAACCATGCAACAATTTGAATCTACACCCTGAGAAAGTCAGCTTTTCTTCTCTGCCAAGGGGTTGAGCAATTTTTAGATGAAAAAGAAAGGCTGCCCTCAAGGGAGACCTTAAAATTTCAATTCCATTTCCACCTACAAAGCAATTTATATAGGCCAGATTTGATGAGAAAAGTTTTTATTACATTGTTCAATCTATTAGCATTCGATTCAACTCATGAAAAGACATACAAACGAATCGTGAAAAACTTTCTTGGGTTACAGTTTGAGAGAAGCGATGATTTCGCGCTCATTTTACTTGTGCTTGTTTCGTTCAGCTTTGTTATTTATGTTTTTTGTCTTGCATTTAAAGCAACCATACATGGTGATGGAGTATTTATGTCTTAGATCTACTTTCAAAGCTGTTTTTGGGCACGAAAAATAGTTTCATCTTGCTTTTTTTGATGTAACAAATGTGGTACCAATGATTAGACTCAGCCTGTACAGTATGACCTGTAAAAGACACCGCCTCTTTTTATTGACCTCGACTACCAAGGCATTTTTATAACAGGCAACCGTAACCAGCCTCTCAAAAAAAAACTTTCTAAGAACTACAGGAGTTCGGAGATATGTTAAGCATTGAAACAACTTTATTTCCTATATACTTCGCAGATAGTTGTAGCTCGGTAGAGAACGAGGTTCGATAAGTTGGTTTCTCGATTATAAACACCTCAAACAAATATTGGGAAGAAGTGTTATTAGCTTTTCTGCTGCTGTGGTAACTTGTTCTGTTGAAGAAATGACAGCAGCGTCTTAACTGTGAGCGTTTTTTCGTTCGAGAAGATTACAATAATAGTATTAAAACGATATCATGGTACTGTGTAGTGTTGCCAAAACGAAAAAAAAAAGCAAAAATACAAGAAGAAAAAAACGAAAACAAAACAAATTTAAAAAATAGGAAACAAGAGAAACGAAAAGAAGGTCTGTTGCTGCAGCTGCCTTTTTTTTGGTATTAATTAGATCTACAGCGTAAATATTTAGTAAAATCAAGCCAAAAATGGTGCTGTGCATCCTCTCATCAAGAGGGATATAGCTACAAAAGTGTCTGCCTCATATGTGCGAGAGGGAAAATAGTAAATTGTTACTTGTTTCCTGTTAGTATTTGACGTGTGTATACCCGCTTTAAATAATTCCTCTGTAAGCTTTCCATGGAATAAATAGTCGTAACTTACATGCAATCGCTATATTTATAAAGGGGGTAAGTTTCTAAAGAAACTGTGGTGCTGTGTCAGTAGGGGTATTACAATGTAATTTGGTTTAATTAACTAAGTCGATAATGTAACTTGGCCACCGTGAAGAGTTTCTAAAGCTGACGTTTCGAGCGTCAACCCTTCATTTTAGAGCTTCCTAGTCGCTCTGATGAAGGGCTAACGCTCGAATCGCCAGCTTAGAAACTCGGCTTTAGGGTGGCCAATCTACATTATCAACTCAGTTGGTAAAACCAAATTATTTCGCTCTAATTATAGCTTGAAACGTGTCCTGTAGGCGTTGAGATGAACAGAGTGAGCTGTTTTCCCGCCGATGACACAACGCATATTGCTTTTTGCATTGATGTCTCCCTTACTCACCATTTCCATTAAGCGACGACTCTTTCCTGGTCGCCCAGGGAGAGTAGATCAGTTGTACTCATCTTCGAGTCTGACATTTTGATCCTACAAATCATTAATAAGGGTCCAATAATATAATCTCGGAATGTACAATATTCATAATAGAGCACTGATTGATTGGAACTATCAAACCATTCTATTTCTTCTCGAATACCAAACTGCGTATAGAACCTAAGAGACTGAGAATAAGCTTAATCTCCCTTTGCCGCGCACAAACTATTAATAAAATAACTTTAGCTACAGCGGCGCCACTCTTTGGAACAGACTTCCTCGTAACATAAGACAAGTAGAGTCCCTTGGGTTATTTAAGCGTTTAATTAAAGAAGTACGTTCAGGCACGGCATTCGTGGAAAGCAGCTTTAGTTGGGTTTGTGCTTTAAGTATAGTTTCTATAGTATCTAGTTACATGGTCAATTATACTAACGTGTCCCTGCCCGATTCTTTCTCTCTTTCTCGACCCACATTTTTGCGCAAAGAAATATGATCCAAAGCTGAAATTAAACGTTCACTTTTGTCTAGTGTAAGGAATAAATTGAGAAAACTTTACCACTTGAAAGGCTAAAAATTTCAAAAATTCGCCTATCTAGATAGAAATTTTGTAATAAAGCCTCTCGATCACTGCACATGAAACTGCATAAAAACGTCAGGATACACCGCCAGAAAAACAAAGACCAGTACTGTGAACTGCCAGGCCAACTAGTAAGAAACCCGTACTATACTGTTTCAGCTCAACCCTCTAGTGGAATTATATCCAGCCAATTTCAATTAGGTGTTACTTCTGTTGAGTTCCGCCTCCTTTTGCCTGAAGCAATTTGTCTATATATTTTTTGTCTCTCTTTCACACCACCATTCTTCCAAAGTATTTCCAACCTATTCTGAACTTATATGAAATCAAAATGTGAACTAATATCGATTCTTCCAAAAATCTATTAACATTACTCGCTAGGGGTATATGGCTATGTCCAGAAATATCAACCCCTCCCCTCACAGATTTGGTGACAGGTGCAGTTTATAAGGAATATGTCATGCTACATGCTTTGGTTCCGGTACAGCTAACTCTCTCCTAAGACTTCAAGCATCCTTTTTATATCACTTTTCTATCTTTTTGATGAGTAATTCCTAAACGTTTTAAACATCTTGCATGGTATGCTCTTATGTAATAAAATTCTGGAACAAGGAATACAATATTTGTTCAACGACGGTCGCTGGGCATCAAAGTGTCCAGGCAAGAACGCCTTATCGGGTTCAATTCACAGATGACGTTTTCCATTTTAATGCTTTCTCTGTTTTTCCAGCACATCATCATCAAATTCCAGCACGCATCATTCACCCGTGGCAGTCTTTTCGGAAGGACTCCTTTCTCAACCGCTTCTCGCATTTCCTCAGTGGTTTTCATGTTTTGGTAAACTTCAGGTCTTGTTGTCCCACTTCCCTCAAAGAGCACCCACAGTAACATTCCAAATGCGTAGATGTCGTACGAATGATAACTGAGGTGACTTACTCGGTGGTAGTGGTACATTTCTGGTGAGATGTGGAACGGTGAACCAAGAGTGGTCATGTTGTAAGGACTTTCAGGTTTAGCGAGGTTGATCTTGGCTTTTCCATCTTTCATGAGCTAAAGGAAGTATAAACGTATTCACGTTAATGCAGGGAAATTAGTGTTACTTTATGTTGACTTAATTAAAGAAGTGAAGTCTGTAAATGAGCCAAGTGGCTCATCAAGCCGGACATTATGTCGGTTTCTGTAGCATGAAGAGACTTGGAGTATTACAGCCCCCCCCCCCCCTGGATGGGATGCTAATCCATCCCAAGGTTCCCCACACCCCCCCAAAAAAAAAAAAAAAAAATTTTCATCAGGCTTCCCTGACAATTCGCCAGTACCCTTTTATACTCCTGGCTGAGAAATAATTAATTGCATAAAATTCAAATTATGAGTGACAATATCAGTACATAGATAAAGTTCCATGATTTACTCAGGTAAGCTCTTACTGTATTTATACTGTCTCTTGAGGGGAACACTTTTTTCTTAAATATTTTCCAATGATTTCATCTAAATTCTTGTAATTTCAGAATCTAAAATTTCAGATTTTCTCAGAATTCAGGGGTGGCCAGATACTATAAAATATATTTTGTTGACATATTCTTGAGACTAAACACGATTCTTAAAACTAAAGAACGACCCATTCGATAGGGTCATCTCACACATTTTGTGAGAAGCCTGTATGGCATATAGGCTGCTGTGATTATTTAAATTTTTCTTACAACTCCAGCTAAGACCATCATTTAAAACCAAATCCTAGATTGCACACATAGAGGACCCCTACTAGAATATTTCCAGGTTTCAGATCCTCGTAGATGTAACCAATATCATGAATGGCCTTCAACCCCTCAGCCACGTCCAAGGCTATGTTGATCCTTATTATCAGCGGCAACCCCTGTTGGAGAGCACGCAGCAGATTCTTTTCTGCTTTCTCCATGACGACGTGTACGGTATCAGGATCTGGGAGAGTCCATCCATACAAGCGTAACAGGTTTGGGTGGGAGCCATTGAGCCTCAGAATTATGTCCCTAAAATTAAATAACGCTCATATTTACTCTCATGATTTTGTCAGGGATATGGTAATTCAGATCGTTAAGTCTTAGAAATACATATCAGATATTCTACTATTCGGATTTGTAAAAGAGTGAACAGACTGAATCATGGTCACGAAACTATCAGGGGAGTCACCCAAACATTGAGATAAATTGAACAGGGGAATCCTCAAAACGTGTTTTTGTTCTTATCGAGCAAATTATGATCAAATTGAAGCTTCTACATCCCCTTGGGCAACCCACGGGCATTTGATTGTCGTCCACGCCGCGGGGGTGAGGAGTGTGGACCTTACCTGGGTGGGGTGGGGAGCTTTAGCCAGGAGTATTGATAAAATTTTAACTATGGAGGAGTTAAAAGAAAAGAGTCCGCTTTCACATCGAAGAATGATACTTACAAGCCAAAAAAAACAACAACAAAAACAATAGCACCAAAATAAAAATATACGAGTTTGTTAAATTCTAAAAAATTCGTCGATCATACAAAGAATTGTTCAATAAACAAATTGTGCTTGAGTAAGCCATTTGAATGCAAATTTGAGCCAGAGGGGCGGGAATATAAACGGAATAATCTTCAAAAGCTCAAATGCCCGGGTGGTTGCCCGGAGGGGCTGATGAAGCTTAGAATTGACTGACGCATTAATTTATTACAGTTTTTAATGCATTACTTACATCATGTTGACTAAATCCACAGCATTCTGGCTCCAGGCAGCTTCGCTCAAATTTCGCTTTTCAATGACTTTTACCACGCACTGTCCGGTGGGTGAGGCACTACACCAGCTTTCGCTTATGCAGTCATAGATAGCTCCGTGTCTTGTTTTGGCCACAAGAGAACCACGCTCAACTGGCCCAAACGTCTGCAAATATTGCAAGGCCATTCCTTCCACAGTCAATTTTCGAATCTGTGGGGTGAATTGGACCCGGAAAGATTCCAGCTGCCACGACACGAAGCTGTTGGTAAAAGCCTCTTGCAAAGAATTGAAAGAAGAAAGGGCATCCTGAAATTTCTCATGCATTTCTAACAGACGGCCTGCACATGCAGCTAGAACTGAATCCACGACACCAGTGAAGTCAATCATGGCCAACAGAGTCTCACAAATATTGCGCCTGATCGACTTCTTGGAAACATCTACGTCATCGTAACTCTCTAAGTCTTGTGGCGAAAGAACGCGAGAGAGAGGATCTGAGATTCCAGTTCTCAGAGCAACAGAAGAAACGTCGTTCGTGGAGTCAAGAAGCCCATTCATTACAACCTGGAGTAACTGGTCTGTTTCACTTTTGACGGCCAGGAATTGAAAGTCATAGATGTCCTCTAATATGCACGAGACCATTGGGTCTTGAACGACTGAATGGAAGTCATCGATAGCACGTATAAGATCGTGGACGTAATCCCTCATGAGGCCGTGAACAGCTGTCTCCAGGGTTTGGCATGAAATTTCCAAGATACTTCGTTTCATGTCAGCAACAAATGTTGCTAAAGCTATGTCAAGGCCGGAATCTAGCAGTGTTTCTGAGAAAGCCGGTAGCTCAGTTCTAACCATAGTTTGAAACTCTATCTGCAGACTTTCCCGTTTCTCGGCTTTGTACTCTTCAGCTTCGCGTAAAACATGCGTCCTAAGGACTTCTAAATTTGCCAAAAGCGTGCGCTCTGCCTCCTCCGACTTGAATGTGATTGCTTTTGCCAACGTTTGGATCATTTTGTCTAACACCTCGGCAGCCTTTGAATTCAACAAAGGCACAACCGATGCTTTGTGGGTGATGGAATCCCTTCGCACCTTCATGGTACTCGCAAAGCTTTCTAGAAGAAGTACAAGTTTTCTTACGACTCTAACAGTTTGAGTTTTAACAACCTCACAAAGGTGGTTCTTTAGACTGGTTTCAAAAAGACGAAATTTTGTGCTTGCTTCTCCCTCTCGTTTTCTCAGGCGTTCTTCGCGAACTTCTTTGGCTGAAATAGCATGGAACATGGGGCACGTCTCCCACGAATCTCCACGGAGATACTTGTCTTTTAGTTGATCAAAAACGGCCTTTGCCTTTTCGTTTGCTATTCTTGACTCATTTAAATGACGTTTACAGCTGCTACCCGTCTCTTCGTCATCGTCATCATCTTCATCATCTTCATCATCTTCATCATCTTCATCATCTTCATCATCTTCATCATCTTCATCATCTTCATCATCTTCATCATCATCGCCATCATCATCTTCATCATCGTCGTCGTCGTCGTCATCATCATCTCTGTGAGTTTGCAAGCGACGTCTTGACCGCCGATCATATTTCTTTGCTTTCGTAGTGATGTCCACTTTGTTGCAAACAAAAATGATTTGAGTTTGAGGAAATTTGTTCCTTAAGAATTCCAGTGTTTCTCCATCCTGAAAGGAAGAAATAAATAGCCCAGTGAAAGGTTAGTTTAAAGAGAAAATTCTGATGGCAAAGATTTACTCTCAATAACTTCGAATGACAATTTGAGAATGGTACCTAGGATTTTGATTTTTCTTTTTTTTTTTTTTTGGGGGGGGGGTCACATGGTTTTCTAGGAGAACTGAGTGAGATCAGTCGTCGCCAACATGGTATAAAGGGGAAATCATAGAACATTGACTGCTCATTAACTACCAATGAGGGAGGGGGGGATGATAAGAGTATTACAAAGCCTTATGGGGTATCAGGTAAATTTTATCATGCCACAACCAAAAGCCCCTGACCCCTCCCCTTCGCCCCTAGGCTATAAATCAACCGGTCCACTTGTACAAAGTAGGTATTTTGGAACTTCTCCAGTCTAGTTCATGTAGCGAAAGGGTTCACGACAGAGTAGAAAGTGGACTATTTGAATACCTGATTGTACATTCTTTAAACTTTTCTACATTGAGAAAATGAACGACAATTTTTTAAATTTAAAACCATGTTTCGACAGTTCTTCTGTCATCTTCAGTTCTGAATGATACAAAGTACAAAGTTGAATTTAAAGTGTGTAACAAAATGCTGATTGGACAAGACAAACAACAGTAACAGAACAATGTATGCAATTACAAGGAAAGTTTGAAATTAACATAATGATAAGGTTGGTGATTAAGTGTAGGTTTCTCCCATTGAATATAGATAGCTTCTTTGATTTTATGTTGAAAAGTTGTGGAAGCGTGATCTAAGATGTTAAAACACTCATCAGAACAAAGAGTGCGACATTGTGGAGAATTATGTAGATGTCTGAAAATGTGAGAGTTCCTATAACTGACCAAGTGCTCACGTACCTATGTGGATAAATGGCAACATCACTTTCCTACTTTGATTTTGATCTCAGTGCCGTTACATATATTACCCTAAAACAGCTCATCATAGCTGTTCAGGGTTCTTCCGGTTTAAATTTGTAGTTATTACTTCGCGAAATGATTTCAGGTTTTAATTTTTAAAATCATTTAAATTAAATTCTATTTTCTCGTGTTTTACGAGACTCTTTGGCAAAGTTGCTGTTAGATCAAGTAAGAGATTAAAACTTTCCATGCTCTTTGTTGCCAGACTTCAAACCATAACTGAGATGTAAACAATACAGCTTCTATTTATACTAAAGAACAACAGATGTGCGTATGTCTCACGCATGGACTAGTAGAGTGATTCAATGTGTGTTTTAGCCTTTACTTACCGAGCGTGTGAGTCGTTTATCTCCGTTGATAACATATACAAACAATGGTATGGTGCCTTTTTCAAGGAAGCTGTCCAACACTTTGTCTAGTGCCTCCGATTCACTCTTCCCAGGCGAGTCGATGAGTTCCAGTCCACTTTGTAGAAGCTTGTGGTTTAATCCGACCTCAACAGTGGTTCCCAAGACAGCTTCATCTTGCCTTTCCTGATCGGAAACGACGATGAATTCTTTTGGGGGTTGTTTGTCGGTAAAGAACTTTTTCTCTCCCTCTTCGCCATTTGATCTGACGAGTCTAGCGTAGGGCTTAGTCGCATATTTGATTCGAACAATTCTTGCTGTGCAAGGGGTCTCGTCAACAGGTAAAGCGGACTTCCTAAGAAGTTCATTAATCACTGAGCTTTTTCCACAATTCTTTTCGCCAATAAAGAACACCGAAGGGCTTTTCTGGAGCTCGTTTCTTACTTCCTCTTGATGCGGCAAGAGAAACGTGAATGCATCGTCGTTAGTCACTGGAACACTTCTTTCGATTTCCTGAAAACAATCCACTGTTCGCTCGAATAACTTGGAACTACAGTCATAGTAGCGTCTGAATTCATCTATGGCTTTTTGCAAATCGGAGTAACTGTTAGAGTCTCCCATTGATTTCCTACAAGAAGTCAATTCATGTTCAGTGGCAGCCATTCAAGAAGCGCCGAAGGTTTCCTATGTTTCCCAGAAATCATCTTCTAGTTGGATTGAAAATTGTACTGGACTTGTACCAAAAGGATAAGCGGAATGTATTCGTCAAGTGACTGTAAGTCTGAAAAAAATAAAATCTGCCACGACGTTCTCGGCTATTTTCCTTAATCGACGATGAACAAGAAGGATCCTGAGATCAGAATTTAGGAGGCAACTTGATTCGGAAAATACGAAGGGTATAAATATTTTGAAATTGACTTGTTCCCATTTCGCCATACAAGCGGCACTGCCTCTCTCTCCCACGTAGCGAAAGGTCAGGTTCTCTAGTTCTTTCTCAATGCTCTTACTGCTAAAAGCGTCGAAAAGGAGCTCTCAGTCAATATCATTGCTTCGTTAATTTTCTAGCTCATGTGACGACAGTCACAAGTAACCAAGTTTGGGATACATGTTATTTTTCGGTAACCTAATAAAGGGTTAGGCTACTGAGAGGGAGCGGGGGGAGTAGTAAAGGACATGAGAACAGTTGGGCGTTCTCTTTTGAAAGGGAGGGGAGGGACGAGAATACCCAGTCTTCCCAAATGCCCTCTGTTATCGTTGTTGCTAAGTTTCGAAACCCACTCGAGACTTTTCGAGTTCCTCTTCATTCACCCCATACTCGCCACGTGAGGTAATATCTACCTTTCTTCAACTTTTTTTTATTGAAAAAACTTTATTCAAATTCTCATTTTTAGCAAATTTCGTTCTCAATAAAAGGAGGAGGCTGATGGGCAAAAAGCCGTGACATAAGATAAGTCGATCTCCTCTCTCTTAGAACTTAAATCGCCATTGTTTAATGAAAGCAATTAATCAGTTTTTCCACGCATTTTCTTTGCTTTTATTATTAAAATTATTATTTTTCATTTCAATCCAGCAAAAAGCAATATCAACGCTTCATTTTCTACTTTATACTACTCTTTAGTATTCTACTTTTATAGCGCACAATTATAACTTACAGCTCTTGATAAACTTAACTCTATACGATTAACATACAACAACGAGTGCTTTTTATTCTCGTCACGCTACGCTCTCTTTTTTTTGCGTGACAATAGCTTCAAAGAATGTGAGGAAAAGATAGATCGGTCCAATCCTTTAGTAGCCTAACCTCATAGCCCAAATTCGGTTTAAGAAGGGTCTTATAAGGCCCAGTTGCTTAAGAAAGTTCAAGCAACATCACCATTTAGTTAACGGGTTTCTACTGTTTCCCTTATGGCTTTTAAATCAGTAATAATAATATCCATGGTCATGGATGCTCTGTCCTCCCAGCACCTTGTCATTAAGCTCCAACACGCATCACTCACTGAAGGAATCTGGAGTTCTTTATCATCCTTACATGGTAGAATTCCATTTTCCACTGCTGCTTGCATGGATTGGATAGTTTTCATGTCTTTGTATACTTTCGGTCTTGATGTACCTCGTCCCTCGAAAAGCACCCATAAAAGCATTCCAAATGCATAGATGTCGTAGGAGAGGTAACTGAGGTGACCTTTCCCGTGGTACTGGTACATTTCTGGTGACACATGGAACGGAGCGCCCAGAGTGGTCATGTCGTATGGACATTCAGGCTTAGCGAGGTTGATCGTTGCTCTTCCATCAGACATTAACTAGGAGAAATGAGAGAGTTACCCACATCAAAATTTTAGCTCAAAGAAATGTAATGAGGAACATGACCTTAAGATTTACAAGAGCATCAAGTAAAGATCATAAAGGAGCACAAAAAGTCTTTTTACACGCTAATCAAAAGTTTATATGATTGCATGAGCAAAAGCAAAGATTAATAATGCACAAGCAAACAAACAAACCAAACGATCGTGTGTTGTGATCTTCCAGCTAAGGAGAGTCCCCCAAAAAAATTTCACTGATAACAGTGACTTAAGTAGCAAAAACCTTGCAAAGTCATCATCAGAGCTAAGTAAGGAGTTGATTGTGAGTCGAATGTTATAAGTCTGGTTTGATGGCAACAAAACAAAACATGAACAGTGCGAGTCTTTTCAAATCTTCCCACTCTGGTGATAATTTATGGCAGAAGCAATCAAGAAAACTCGGAAAATGTGTGATGCTATTACGGTACTTACTTGCTGAAAGGAAAAACCGCGAGCTTCCTAAAATATCTTAAAAAACATGAATCATCAAATTAGACAAACAAACCAAGAAATTCCATGGTTGATAGAAACCGGTTTCGCATCCTCTGAAAGCGATCGAAGCAGGCTTCGAAAACTGCTTCTGCAACCCTCTTTTCGTCGATTGTGTCGAAAAGGGATTCCACGACTGACTGTCGACGTGTTTTATCAGCAACATCCCTTTTTGTGCAAATTGTCATCTGTTTGGAACTAAGGGGCCCCGAAATTTCTCACCTCAAAGCAACCCTGGCAGCCTCCTTTATGGAATCCAAAAGATGGTTAAGAATATCTCAATTGTCTTCAATAAGTTCGTGTGTTTTAGCTTTTGCTTCAACGAAATGCACACCATAGCTTTCCTCCAAAATTTTAGAGACCATGGGGTGTGTGAGGTTCTCGTTAAAGTCAATGATGGCTTTGATAAGATCACTCGCTACTTTGTCCATCAAGGATTCCACAAACTTGTCGAGGGAATTGCAAATTTTTTTTCAAAATGTCACCTTTCATATCACCGAGAAATCGCTCCAAAATAAAGTCCTCCCTGTTCATTTCTGATAATTGTTCGGGCGAAAATGCAACTTTAAGATCTGTCTTGATCATAGTCTGAGCTTTCTTTGGCATGGTACGCCGGTTTGGAATTTTGTAATGTAAAGTATCCTGAGAAAATTCTTCCTTAAACGACTTTATATGTTCCTGTAATCTCTGCTTTGTATCCTCGGAATCACTGGATGTGAAGGATTTTAACAAGTGGAACATTTTACTTTCTATCTGGTACGCCTGTCTCGTAATTTCTGATACGATGAATGCTTCCTGAGTGATTTGGGATCTTTGCAACTGGACAACGTTCACAAAGCTTTCTTGTAAAACCAGGAGGGCTTGAACGATCCTTTTAGTCTGTGTTTTCATGATGTGAGCGAGAAGAATTTGAAGAATTTGAAGAATTTGCAGAAATGGTATGGAATAAGTCGCATGTTTTGCTAGATTCTCCTGTGATAAAGTCCCTGCTCTTCAGCTGATTGAAGACAACTTCCTCTTTGTTTTGTTTCTCACTTATGCCCTCAATTTCGCTGCTCCCATCTCTCTCGTTGTCCTCGTCTTCTTCATCTTCCTCATCGTCGTCATCATCATCGTCAACCAGTCCTGTTGCCTCAATGTCTACTTTATTACAGACAAAAATGATGGATTATGTGATGGATTAACAATAGTCATTTTTGTTAAGCTAAAGAAATGACCTTTAAGATAAATCACAAATATTTGTTATATTGATCTAAAAAAAGCTTCTTACGGCCCTCAAACAGTAAGGCAATTTTCATCGTAAATTTTAATTCTATAAATCATTTCAAAAATTAATCAACTGAGGATTTAACAGCAACTTAAATCTCATAAGGTATTATTTTTTACCAGACTGATCCAAACAACCTCTCTGAGCATAACTGCCTTCCCCAAGTTTTTCAAATATCTGCAGGTTAATGATTAACCAATCAAAAGAAACAGTCATGTCCATAATCCCATGAATTATGGGTACATACATTTGTAGAATAAACAATCAGAAAACATAATTTTTTGAACAAGGAAACACCAAATAATATCTCCTATAAGCATGGAGTTGGACATACCAGTGCTACAATGTCAGTATGCTGTTGGCAATGGTGTGTCACAACAACAGCAATAAGTGAACAGTTTTTGACAACCAACGGTCAATGTTCCGCTACTTATAGGAGAGTTCACTGCCTCATCTGCCTAGGTCTTCCTCTTGCAAAAGGCCTGCCAGGATTCTGAGGTTTCAGACGTGGGGTTGCTGCTCCATATTCAGGGTCATCATACAAATAGTCTTGGAGGGTGTGGTACTTCTCAAAACAAGGGCTGGGGCACATGTGGACTCCACACAGTCCACACTTGTATGAAGTCAACACTCGCTGCAGGTGAACTTTACAAGCACACCGTTTGTCAACTTTGACTGGGAAGTGTCCCAAAGACAGATTCAATCTTGATATTTGAGGTGCAGCAGCTGTGGGGGTAATCTTGTAGCTCCTTCCACCATGTAAACCTCTGATTACCTTTGGAACCGGTTTTTAATTAGTTCTAAGAAGGGCCTAATTTTCACCAGTTTGTCATATCCATCTTGACCTCTAGGAATTAATTGTGTATTGTTCACAAAATGTATATACCTCAAAATTTGTGTAAACCGATTCCTTGACATGCAATTTGTGAAGAATGGTGTTTGAAGTATCTCATCAGTGGACCAGTAACTATGTATGGTAGGTTTGTTTACCAGCCCCATTGCTAAAATCAAGGCAATAAATGTTCTTATTTCATCTTTGTCCACTACGTGCCAAGGCATACGGTGTTTATCCGGGGTTTTGGCTCTCTCTTGGGCAGCATACAAATTTGTTTGTGTCACAACTAGATCAAGCAAGGCATCAGTAAAAAAACAGACAAAAATAACTCACTGGGTCCTTTTGATCCGCTCCCATTCGAACTTTAGGCCCCGTGGGTTGGGTGAAAGGCAGGTCTGAATGCGTCCTGATGTCTTCTACCCAAACAGGATCGCCCACAACATCGTTTTCGCCCTGTGCTGTACGTCTCCGCTTCCTGGGAGGACCTGCTTGTTGTAATTCTTCATTTTTGTCACTTTCTTCAGCCTCAGAGTCAGTCTGATAAAAGTCTGAGTCAATTTCCTCGTCAGACTCTCGCTCTAAATATGCCGTGCCTATAGCTACAGAAGTCAATGGCATTTCATCTTCGTCTACGAACACTAAATCCACGTTTTGAGAAGTCTCTGCAGCCGAATTTACGACAAATTCACTTCCAGAAGTTGAAGCTATTACTGATCAGCTGTTCCTGAACTTCGCGCGAAAACTCGAACAGAAAAGAATCGCAATTTTTTCGGTCAAAAGCAGGCAAATTCACATGAAAAACACCGAAGAAACCGACAAAAATCACCAGGCGTCAAATGAGCCAGAGGGGGGCTATTGCAATCAAGTATTTCACGCCTAGCGGGCTCAGCATCGGTCAGCCGCATTTATCGTCACACATATGTGACGTTGGGAGGAAAAGGGTTAAAGAAACACCCCTTGGTTAAAAGAGGGTTCATCCCTTCTCTATTGCTTTTCATAAAGCTAACATTGACTTATCTACTGACATGTCAGTTGATAGTATGTAGGAAGTAAAATTATGAACCCTAAACCTTAGGCAATTTTTTTAGCGGTGGTCTTCTCCTAAAAATTTAGCAAAGAATCATGTCAGGCCTCAAACCTGCTAAACTGCTTAAACCTTCTCCTCCAAATCTGCACCTATGATTGGACAGCCCCTATGAATTAACCATTAACTCCCGAGATCTCATCAGTAATTCTCCTTACGTTCTTGTGATGTTAGTTTGGAGAATTTGGTATTGAATCAACTTTTAATCCCTTAACCGATACTTTTCTTTATTCTCATCACTTGTCTGCTTGATATTGTATCGATATTGTAGGGAGAAATTCTGTCTTGGTCACTTGTGGGAGTTAAAGGGTTAAATATATAGCATACAATTTATTTTTCAGGGTTACTTTGGTTATGTTTTTGCTCTTTCAAACATATATACCCCTAACAGGATATGATTTTCCATAATTTTAAAGGCCTGACCCCAACTACTATAATAGCGTAGCATTTTCTTACCGGTTTGATTACCTTGATACAAGAAGTTGGAAAACAAAACTTGTAAGGCCTTTGGAAAATTACATGAAGCCAACCTCTGAAACAAGATTAATGGAAAACAGTGACCCATGTTTTTGAGCTCTGGAAGACTTAATTAGACTGAGTGACACCTACAGATAGGCAAGATTGATTACAGGGCTTGACCATCCTCAATTCAGGTGAATTAGTGGAAGACAGAAATAATTAACTGATCCCCTACATCACTGGGCTATGCTGATGTGACAAGGTCAATTTATATCTGTATGAGCCCAGGAACTCCCCTGGAAAATTCCTTTCATTTAGACACACATAGATATACTGGTAGTTGGTTGCAGCAATTTCCATGTACTGTATTTTTCAAGAGTAACACAAGCGAAATACCTTAAAGCATTGCTGCTGAATCAATTATTATAAAGGCCAAAAGAAAAAAAGTTTTTTATTCCCCTCCCCTTTCCCCAATCAAAAGAAAGTTAGTTAAGTCGCCTGACTCGACAAAAATTATATCGTATTTCGAAACCTGATCGTACCTTCTGGGTACACTGAAAACCAAAAGACAATGGTTGGTTTGGGGTTCCGAGTCACGTTCTTACGACTAGCAAAGCTATCTCAAAAACTGCCACAATCGTATTCTATATACAATCGAAAGGAAATTAAGGCCGTTTCTTAATTCGAAAACACAAGGTTATGTTTGGACATGTTGCAAACATTACGAGTTGGTATGGTAAACAACGTTTAGATAAACAACGCTGCCAAGACGTATCTTTCCTGTACCTGTGACTAGTTACATTTAGAATACATGAAGTTTAACTTACCGAAGGTCTGAGACGCATCTTGCCGTCAATTACGTACACAAAAAGAGGAACTGTGCCTTTCTCGAGGAAATCCTCTAACACTGTCCGACACGTCCGTCTTGTTCTTTCCAGGTGAATCCATCGACTCAATTCCACTTTTCAGAAGCTCGTGGTTTAATCCGACCTTTGCAGTAGCGTCTAAAGCTTTGGATTCTCTCTGCCTTTGTTTGAGACCACTTCAAAGTTTTTTTTCTTTGAACGAGCCTTGCGCTCAACTCATCCGCGTGTTTGATTCGCACGAGCAAGGGTTCTCGTGAACTGGTCGGTTAGTCTGTTTTAGAAGTTTATTAATTATAGAGCTTTTGCCGCAATTTCTTTCGCCGATGAAGACCAAAGACGGTGACTTCCTAAGTTCATCATTTAACTGCGAGGAGGCAATCAAATTTTCAGAGCCTGCCTGTTGACCGAGATGAATAGGTTCCTCGATCTCATCAAAGCATTTTTAGTTCGCTCATACAAAAGGGTCGTTCGATCAGAGTAGTGTTTGAAATCATTGATGGCTTCATGTAGAGTCTTTGAGTGCCTGGGCATGGCTAACTTTGACTAGCATTTGAGGCATGAAGGAACATCAGCAACTAAATTTTATCAGGTTTGCCCTCGTGATTTCTAAGAATTTTCCCGAGGCCGGATGTAAACAACGCACCCTCATCACTTATAGAGGCGGCACTAGATTGGTGAAAATGGGATTTGTGGAATAGTTCGAAAGATTTAACTGTCATGTGTAAGTTTGAAATAACTCTCTTTGAGATGAACAACATCAAGTTAAATGCTAGCCGGTTTCCGTGATATTATTTTTGGTTATAATTTTGTCATATTTCAAGTCGTGACATCTATCATCTTTGAGTCACGCCATTTGGTGTTAGGTGGTAGTTCAGTGGAGGGAATTTAGCGGCCGCATTATCTCCTGAAAACAAAGGCTCCGATTCAAATTTTACTTATACCGACTGCAGATCAAAATAAATAGAAAGCAAAGTAATGACGGGAAAGGGGCAGTCATACAGGGACGTTCCCTTGTGTTAGGAGTTAAAATAATAATTTTAATTTTTCTCCTCCCCTTATCCCAACAATAATTTAGTTCGGATTATCACTGTTATTATTTGCAAGGTTCTTAAAATGCAAAGTAGCTGAAATTTTGATTCAAATCAATAAATTGTAGCTTTATATCTTACGTATCCGACGAATTTTCCATTTTTTTTCCACAGAACTTTCCTATAAGCCTCGCTGGTCACCTTACAATGCACTCAAGATGAAGAAACATGAATCTTCGCGGCCAGGCGAAGGGTCCTTCGCTTTCAAATTTGTTGAATGTTTGATGGCACAAAATCACGTTATTTTAGACAAGGAATCACCACTAAGAAAAACGAAACACATTAAGTGGATTGTGCACACGCTTCCAAACTCTTCAAAACTGAATCACCCGGAAGGGAGGCACAGTAGATACAACAACAAAAAACTGAAAAGAAGGTTCTTTGAATATATCTACGTGAAAATAAGAAAGATAAAAGTTTTCGGATGCCAGAACTCACATGGTAACTTGAGTAGACAGAATCAGCCATTTTGCTTACCAGAAAATAATTCATTACACAAAGATGAAGGCTAAATAATCATTCATGATCACTGGAAAGAGATTTAACTAAATTCTCTCCATATAGACTAGTCTATGGATATTGAAAATTCGATACGTTGATTTTAACTCTTAATTAAACAATTTACAATTTACTGACTGAAAAAAAGAAAAGAGCAATACAGAATGTAACAAAACGAACCAAAACAAACCAAGATCAAAGTGGAAAATGGATCCTGGAAACTAGGGTCTCCGATGAAGAATTCCATTTAAAAGAACCAAAGCAGTAATAACCCAGCCAAAGACAGGCCCGTCATCATCTGAATCCTTGACGTCCTTGACAGCGGTAATGGAGGTCCCATTCCTTTGTTACACAGATCTTCTTCACAGCATTGGTCGCAGATTTTCACTCCCCTTTCATCAGGATCTGTACAGGATTTGTGACATTCGCTTTTATCAGCGCACCTCCGTGTAAACAGGTCAACAGATTTTTCCTTCGTAAATCTTTTCGTAATCTGGCAATGGTCTTCACCTGCACTGCAATTGATTTTTGTGTTGTTGCCTAGTACAGAGGATGACGATAACGCACAATATTCCTCAGCGTCGTTATTGTCTTCACGGCTACATTGGTAGCACTGCAAACAGGAAACTACAAATAGAAATAAACCAACTCACGTAAAATAACTGTTTTTACTTAACTTACGGTCGTTTCATTGGCATGTACTAAAATCCGAAACAGCGAAACGAAACGACCGAAACGAAAGAAGCGAAACTACCAAAACGACCAGAACGACCGCAACGAAACAACCGAAACGACCAAAACGAAACGATCGAAACGATCGAAACGAAACGACCGTAACGACTAAAACAAACCACTACAACAATCGAGAAGAACGGACGATGAAATTCCGAGGAAAATGTACATTTCACATCAGATATTCCCTCGCATTTAAGAAAATTATATTGTGTAACCCTGTTTTAGAAGCCAACCCAAGCCGATGGCAATCGAGAGACAACTACATTTTCCTGAAAGGTAGATCAGGAGCAGACTATAATCGAAACGAGATGAATATATGACCCCTGACACCACTGGGCAATCATTTTACTGTCAATGACTGTTTTTACCTTTTTTCATGCTAATTTTTGGTCCTTGCGGTGATTTCGTTTCGGTCGTTTCATTTTAGTCGTTTCGGTTGTTTTTGTTGGAAATTCATACCTGTTACCAAGCACAGGGCAAATATCAGCAGTCCAACAAATGATTTTGCTGCCATGTTTCGTTCACAGTCCACAAAGAAAGTTAAACAGGCAATTCAGTGTTATGAACTGAGTTAAAAACGTAAATTGACCACTGTATAGAGTTTAAAGACTGACGTTTTGAGCGGAAACCCTTCGTCAGAGCGATTGGAGGAATTGTGGGTTGTGTGTTGGGGCTATATTATTGGTGGGAATATGGAGAAGAGAAAATAAAAATAAATTAGTTGAATAAAAAGCGCTCGTTGATACCGTGGGGATTAAGAATGCCGATTTGGAAGATAAATTTTTGTTCTACTGTCTTGCTGCTTTCGTTAACCGGTAAACCAGACCTCATTTATCACTGAGCTTTCTCCATAATTCCTTTCGCCGATGAAGAACACTGAAGGGCTTTTCTGGAGCTCGTTTCTTACTTCCTCTTGATGCGGCAAGAGAAACCTGAGTGCATCGTCGTCATTCACCGGAACACTTCCTTCGATTTCCTCGAAACGATCCACTGTTCGCTCGAATAAGTTGGAACTACAATCACAGTTGCAAGTCGGAGTAACTGTGAGAGGCTCCCATTGATTTCCCACAAGAAGTCAATTCACGTTTTCGTAGCACCCATTCAAGAAGCGCCGAAGGTTCCGACTAGATAGATTACAATTGTACTGGACTTCTACAAAAAGGATAAGCGGAATGTATTCTTTAAGTGACAGTAAGTCTGAAAAAATTACATCCTGCGTCGACGTTCTCGGCTATTTTCCTTGGTCGACGATGAAGAAGAGGGATCCGGAGATCAAAATTCAGGAGGCAGCTTGATTCGTAAAAATATGGAGCGGCACTGTCTCTCTATTCCATATAGCGAAAGATTAGATTCTCTTATTCTTTCTCAATGCTCTTACTAATAGAAGCCTTGTAAAGGAGCTCTCAGTCAATATCATTACTTCATTAACTTTCTGGCTTATGTGACGACAGTCACAAGTAACCAAGTTTTGGATACATGTTATTTTTCGGTAGTCTGATAAAGGGTTAGGCTACAGAGAGGGAGGGAGGGGGGGAGAAAGTTGTCAAGGACATGAGTGTAGTCGCGCGTTCTCTTTTGGGGGGGAGAGGAAGGACGAGAATACCTGTCTTCTCAAATGCCTCCGCGGAAAGGGTCTCTGTTATCGTTGTTGCTGAGTTTTGAAACCCAATAGAGACTTAAAAGTTTCTCTTCATTTCACACTGGCCACATGAGATAATATCTGCCTATCTCCAGCTTTGTTTAAAAGAAACTTAACTCAAATTCAAACTTTTAGCAAATTTCGTTCTTAACAAAAGGAGGGAGGGTGATGGGTGAAAAGCCGTGACATGTGATAAGTCGATCTCCTCTCTCATAGAAACTACCTCGCCATTGTTTAACAAAAGCAATTAATCAGTTTTTCCACGCGTGTTCTTTGCCTTATCATATTTTTTTTCATTTCAAGCCAGCAAAAAGCAATATCAACGCTTCATTTTCTACTTTATACGTATTCAGTAGCGCACAGTTATTACACAGCTCTTGATAAACTTAATTCTATACGATTACCATACAAAAACGAGTGTTGTTTATTCTCGTCACGCTACACCCTCTCTTTTTTGCGTGACGGGACCAAACAATAGCTTCAGAGGGGTGTGAGGAAAAGATTAATCGGTCTAGGTTTCCACGGCAACAATATTGACTCAACCCAATCCTTAGAGCTAACCCCATAACTCAAATTCGGTTTAAGAAGAGTCTTATAAGGCCCAGTTGCTTAGGAAAGTTCAAGCAACATCACCATTGAGTTAACGGGTCCTATCTACTGTTTCCCTAATGGCTTTTAAATCAGTAATAATAATATCCATTGTCATGGATGCTCTGTCCTCCCAACACCTTGTCATTAAGCTCCAACACGCATCACTCACTGACGGAATCTGGAATTCTTCATCATCCTTACATGGGAGAATTCCATTCTCCACTGCTGCTTGCATGGATTGGATAGTTTTCATGTCTTTGTATGCTTTCGGTCTTGATGTACCTCTTCCCTCCAAAAGCACCCATAAAAGCATTCCAAATGCATAGATGTCGTAGGAGAGGTAACTGAGGTGACCTTTCCCGTGGTACTGGTACATTTCTGGTGACACGTGGAACGGAGCGCCCAGAGTGGTCATGTCGTATGGACATTCAGGCTTAGCGAGGTTGATCGTTGCTCTTCCATCAGACATTAACTAGGAGAAATGAGAGAGTTACCCACATCAAAATTTTAGCTTAAAGAAATGTAATGAGGAACATGACCTTAAGATTTACAAGAACATCAAGTAAAGATCATAAAGGAGCACAAAAAGTCTTTTTACACGCTAATCAAAAGTTTAAATGATTGCATGAGCAAAAGCAAAGATTAATAATGCACAAGCAAACAAACAAACCAAACGATCGTGTGTTGTGATCTTCCAGCTAGGGAGAGTCCCCAAAAAGAATTTCATTGGTAACAGTGACTTAAGGAGCAAAAACCTTGCAAAGTCATCATCAAAGCTAAGTAAGGAGTTGATTGTGAGTCGAATGTGATATGTCTGGTTTGTTGGCAACAAAACAAAACATGAACAGTGCCAGTCTTGTCAAATCTTCTCATTCTTGTGATAAATTATGGCAGAAGCACTCAAGAAAACTCGGAAAATGTGTGATGCTATTACGGTACTTACTTACTGAAAGGAAAAACCGTGAGCTTCCTAAAATATATTAAAAAACACGACTCGTCAAATTAGACAGACAAACCAAAATATTTCCGGGCTTGATGTCCTCGTGAATGTAGCCGATTTCGTGAATGGCCTTCAGTCCTTCAGCCACGTCTAGAGCCATCTTGATCCTCGTGATCAGTTTGGAGAGCGAGGAATGGGTCCAGGCCGAGGCAAGCTCTTTGAGAGCACAAAGAAGACTCTTCTCTGCCTTCTCCATGACAACATGTAGCATATCCGGCTTAGGGAAAACCCAGCCGTACAGCCGCAACAGATTAGGATGGGAACCTTTTAGTTTCTGAATCATATCCCTAAAACAAAAAGGTAAGGTAAGGAAGTTTTAGTACTGCTATCCCACCCTAGATGGGATACCAGTTTAACACATCTTCCAAAGTCGACTTTGAAACTTTGATAATTATACTGAAAAAGTAACTGAATTGGTTACTTACATCATATTGACGAGATCCACTGCATTCTGCTTCCAGGCACTTTCACCAACTTTCTCTTTCTCGATCACTTTCACCACGCACTGACCACTGGGCGAGCAACGGAACCAACTAACGCTCGCACAATCAAAGAGTTGGCCGTGGCGTGTTTTCGCTACAAGTGAGCCGCATGCTATTGGCCCATGGTTCTGCACATATCTCAAAGCCATTCCTTCGACGGCAAGCATTCGTATCTCAGGAGTAAAACGAAGACGAAGATCTTCAAGCTGCTCTGTAGCTTGGCAATTAGAAAAGGCCGTTTGCAAGCGCTTGAGGAATTCCATGGTTGATAGAAACCGATCTCGCATCCGCTGAAAACGATCGAAGCAGGCTTCAAAAACTGCCTCTGCAACCCTCTTTTCGTCGATTGTGTCGAAAAGGGATTCCACGACTGACTTTCGACGTGTTTTATCAGCAACATCCCTTTTTGTGCGAGTCGTCATCTGTTTGGAACTAAGGGGTCCCGAAATTTCTTTCCTCAAAGCAACCCTGGCAGCTTCCTTTATGGAATCCAAAAGATGGTTAAGAATATCTTGAATAACCTCGTGTGTTTTAGCCTTTGCTTCAACGAAATGCACACCATAGCTTTCCTCCAAAATTTTAGAGACCATGGGATGTGTGAGGTTCTCATTGAAGTCAATGATGGCTTTGATAAGATCATTCGCTACTTCGTCTATCAAGGATCCCACAAACTTGTCGAGGGAATTGCACATTTTTTCCAAAATGTTGCCTTTCATATCACCGAGAAATCGCTCCAAAACAAAGTCCTCCCTGTTCATTTCTGATAATTGTTCGGGCGAAAATGCAACTTTAAGATCTGTTTTGATCATAGTCTGAGCTCTCTTTCGCATAGTACGCTGGTTTGGAATTTTGTATTGTAATGCATCCTGAGAAAATTCTTCCTTCAACGACTTTATACGCTCCTGCAATCTCTGCTTTGTATCCTCGGAATCACTGGATGTAAAGGATTTTAACGTGTCGAACATTTTACTTTCTATCTGGCACGCCTGTCTAGTAATTTCTGGTACGATGGATGCTTCCTGAGTGATTTGGGATCTTTGCAACTGGACAACGTTCACAAAGCTTTCTTGTAAAACCAGGAGGGCTTGAACGATCCTTTTAGTCTGTGTTTTCATGATGTGAGCGAGAAGAATTTGGAGTTGACCTTGGAATCGCTGGAATCTCCTTGTTGCTTCTCCCTCACTACCCTCCTTCTTTCGTTCCTTGCGAACATCTTTTGCAGAAATGGCATGGAATAAGTCGCATGTTTTGCTAGATTCTCCTGTGAGAAAGTCCCTGCTTTTCAGCTGATTGAAGACAACTTCCTCTTTGTTTTTCTTTTTTGTTTTTTTGTTTTCGTTGTCCTCGTCTTCATCATCATCTTCATCTTCCTCATCGTCGTCATCATCATCATCAAGCGGTCCTGTTGCTTCAATGTCTACTTTATTACAGACAAACATGATGGAAGATTGAGGAGATTTATCCTTCAAAAAGGTTAATGTTGTTACGTCCTTAAATTGAAATGAAAAAAACAAATAATGAATATCATCTCAGGACTATTACTGCGTAATAATCTACATTTAAATGTGCAGTTTTCATTGTGGAAAATCATGTTTTAAAAGAGTATGACTAAAATAAAATGAAACGAACAAAATATTATGACAAATCAATTGTTTCATGCTTTTTTATAGTCAAATATAATGTGCAAGCTTGGCAGACATGCTTCTGGCATTGTGAGTTCATATTTCTTTAAAGCTTTTTTACTTTAGAGTCATTCTTTAATCAGGACATTCCTGATCATAAGTGACACTTTTTTGTTCTTACCACATTTTGACGTCATCTGTGATCTATTACTGAACAGACGCACGGCAACATGGAATCTATTTGTTAAATTTATTCCTAATTGCAGCTTTCACCAAGAGATCTAGAATCATTTAACCCTTTAAATCCCATGAGTGACGAAGACTGAATTTCTCCTTACAATATCAATACAATATCAACCAGATAAATGATGAGAATAGAGAAAATATCAATTTGGGGATAATTAGTTGATCCAATACTAAATTCTCTGAACTAACATTATAAGAATTGTATGGTTGACATTAAGGAGAATGACAAATTTGATCTGGGAGTTAATGGGTTAAGGAAACTGGTGTGCTTAAAACTGAATGGAGATATAATTGGTGTGTAATTATTGCCAGGCAAAATGTGAATTTTTCCCTTGTGAAAACACCCCTTGGCTAAGTGAGAGGGTTCATCCCTTCTCAATTGCTTTTCATAAAGCTAACATTAACTGATCTACTGAAATCTCTTTGATCAGTTGATAGTATGTAGGTAGTGAAATTATGAACCCTAAGCCTTAAACAATTTTTTAGTGGTGCTATGCTCCAAAAATTAAGCAGACTCATGTCAGGCCTCAAACCTGCTAATCTGCTTAAACATTCAAATCTGCACCGATGATTTGACAGCCCCTATGAATTAACCCTCAACTCAAAAGATCTCATCAGTAATTCTCCTTACTGTCTGCTGTACAGTTCTTGTGATGTTAGTTTGAAGAATTTAGTATTGGATCTACTTTTAATCCCTTACGGATATTTTTCTTTATTCTCATCACTTTTTTGCTTGATATTGTATTGATATTGTAAGGAGAAATTCTGTCTTGGTCACTTGTGAGAGTTAAAGGGTTAAATATATAGCTTACAATTTATTTTTCAGGGTTACTTAGGTTATTTTTTTGCTCTTTCACACATATCTACCCCTCACAGGATATGATTTTCCATAATTTTAGAGGCCTGACCCCAAATACTTTGATATAAGAAGTTGGAAAACAAAGCTTTTATGGCCTTTGGAAAATCACATCAAACCAACTTCTGAAACAAGGGTAATGGAAAACAGTGACCCATAGTTTTGAGCTCTGGAAGACTTTATTAGACCGAGTGACACCTACAGATAGGCAAGATTGATTACAGGGCTTGACCATCCTCAGTTCAGGTGAATTAGTGCAAGACAGAAATAATTAACTGATCCCCTACTTCACTGGGCTATGCTGGTTTGACAAGGTCAATTTATATCTGTATGAGCCCAGGAACTCCCCTGGAAAATTCCTTTCATTTAGACACACATGGATATACTGGCAGTTGATTGCAGCAATTTCCTTGTTCTGTATCTTGCAAATTAAAGTAATGCAAGTGAAATGTGTCAGTTAAGTCTTTTGTTCTCATGAACTTTCCTTGAATTGTTGTGTGGAAGTTCGAATCACAATTTGAGGCTTTTTGAGCAAAATTTTCATTGAACAAAGAACATTATTTTGTCTAACTTTTGCTTTGAAACAAAAGTTCAGCAAGGTTTTGCAATAAAAACCATTGATTTACTGCTTAAAGCTTGAAATTTCATGCTAGATAAACTCAGTAGTTTGCCATGTAATTTATACAATCTATTCTTCATGTATGAACAGTTCATTTCTCTGATAAACATTTGCCTCAAACCAATTGGAGGGGACATAGGCACAAAATTGAACAAGCCACAAAATCAATTTAGGTGCAAAGGACCACTTTCTCTAAACACAGGCTCACATCTAAACCAGCAGCTTCCCATCGGTAAAAAACTTGTTTTTTGCAAAAAAAAGAAAGAAGGAAAACAGTATGTATTCTGTAAAATGTAGTTCATCTGGAAGTTATAATATTATTTATGCAATCTACATTCAATTTCACAAAAAGATGTCACATATAGTGCTGACATTGCCAATTTTTCCTAACTGCAACTCAAATGTGAGAAAAAAAATCTGCATAATACTTTAGCCAGTAAGAAAAAAAAACCCTGATTTCCCTCAAATCACCGTCAAGGGCTGGCATGGGTTTTGGTTTTCAGGCACCAGGGTCTTTTGTAACCATTTATACACGTTTATACCCTTACATCAGTATGCATATTCTCCGTACAGATCTCTTTACAATTCCTATGGCACTGACGAGGAGAATTTGTGTAGCAATCAAGGGTTTTTTTTTTTCCCCAACCGAATAAATTTAGTTAAGTTGCCTGACTCGACAAAAATTATATCGTATTTCGAAACCTAATTGTAACTTCCGGGTACACTGAAATCCAAAAGACAATGGTTGGCTTGGGCTTCCGCGTCACGTTCTTACGACTAACGAAGCTATCTCAAAAACTGCCACAACCGTGTTCTACGAAAGGAAATTAAAGCCGTTTCTTGATTCAGTTACAATCGACATGGACATGTTTTAAAAATTATGAGTTATTATGAAAAACATCCGAGTATTTTCAAACCTCCTCCGCTCATCAATGACGCTCAGATAAACAAAATTTAGATAAACAACGCCTCCAAGACGTATCTTTACTGTAGCTGTGACTAGTTACATTTAGACTAGATGAAGTTAAACCTACCGAAGGTCTGAGACGCATTTTTCCGTCAATTACGTACACAAAAAGAGGAACTGAGCCTTTCTCGAGGAAATCCTCCAACACTCTATCCAAAACGTCCGACTCGTTCTTCCCAGGTGAATCTATCAACTCGATTCCACTTTTCAGAAGCTCATGATTTAATCCGACCTCCACAGTAGCGTCTAAAGCTTTTGGATTCTCTCTCTCTTCGTCTGGGACCATTATAAACTCTTCGAGAAGTTTTTTGTCTTTGATATCTTCCCCACTTTGTACCACGTTCCCATCTGCTCCAACGAGCCTTGCGCTCAACTCATCCGCGTGTTTGATTCGCACGATTCTGGCTGTGCAAGGGTTCTCGTGGACTGGTAGGTAAGTCTGTTTTAGAAGTTCATTAATTATGGAGCTTTTGCCACAATTTCTCTCGCCGATGAAGACCACAGACGGTGTCTTCCTAAGTTCTCTCTCCACATCATTCAACTGCGAGGAGGCAATCAAATTTCCAGAGCCTGCTTGTTGACCGAGATTAAGACGTTCCTCGATCTCCCCAAAGCATTTTCTAGTTCGCTCGAACAAAAGGGTCGTTCGATCAGAGTAGTGTTTGAAATCATTGATGGCTTCTTGTAGAGTCTTTGAGTGCCTGGACATGGCTAACGATGACTAGCATTTGAGACCTGAAAGGAACATTAACCACTGAATTTAATCAGGTTTGCCCTTGTGATTTCTGGGAATTTTTCAGAGGCCGGATGTTAATAACGCATTCGACATTACTTATAGAATCGGTACTGGACTGGTGAAAATAGGATTTGTGGAATAGTTCTAAAGATTTAACTGTCAAGTGTATGTTTGAAATAACTCTCTTTGAGATGAACAACATTAAGTTAAATGCTAGCTGGCTTCCATGATATTATATTTGGTTATATTTCGTCGAAAAGGTTGTAGTTATTCATCGTGGTGAATAACAATAAAAGCTAAGTTTTTCGTTTATCTCACTATGTAGTCATGTGTGATGTAGATTGCGATGTTTCGACTGCATACTGCTTGTCTTCTTCAGGCGATGAATACTAGCAGTATGCAGTCGAAAAAAACCCGATCTACATCACACGTGACTACATCGTGAGACAAACGAAAAACTTAGCTTTTATTATTTGGTTATAATTTTGTTATATTTCAAGTCGTGACATCTAGCATCTTTGAGTCACGTCATTTGGTGTTAGGTGGTAGTTCAGTCAAGTGCATTTAGCGGCCGCATTATCTTCTGAAAACTAAGGCTCCGATTCAAATTTTATTTCAACAGATTGCAGATCAAATTTGATAGAAAGCAAAGTAATGACGGGAAAGGGGCAGCCATACAGGGACGTTCCCTTGTGTAAGTGCCCCCATAGCATGAGTTTCTGTTGATTGTTTGATTTGGTTAATAATTTTAAAGTCACACTAGTTGGCTCGTCACGCGCTCTTAAGTGTAATAAAAGGCCCTTTGATCAGTTTTTGGTAAGCACTCGTGCTCGTAAGGAAAGGAATTAGTAAAGGAAAGGTTCGATCGATATCAGCTCTCGCCAGATCCGGCAATAATGTAAGTTTGATTTACCTGGAGCATTTCTTAATCTTTTTGCGTGTCCCTAATTTCTTAAATCAATTTTTAGTTTCACGATACAATACAAGAATAGAGAAGGCGTTCCGAAAGAAGTTTGGTACGGGACTTTGTATTGATCAGTGGAATTTGTACGGTCCAGCTAGCGGTGGACTAGCGCCGCTATACCTTGAGTTAAAAGTTAAAATTAGATATAATTTTGATTTTTCTCCTTCCCTTTTCCCAACAATTGTTTAGTTTGGATTATCATTGTAATTCTTTGAAAAGTTCTTAAAATGCAAAGTAGCCGAAATTTTGATTGAAATCAATAAATTGTGGCTGTACATCTTGCGTCTCCGACGAATTTTTCATATATTTTCCACAAACCTTTCCTGTAAGCCTCGCTGGTCACGCTACAATGCAATGATGATGAAGAAACATGAATCTTCGTGTCCAGGCGAAGTGTCCGTTGCATTAAAAATTTGTTGAATGTTTGATGGCACAAATCCAAATTATTTAAGACAAGGAATCACCACTAAAAAAAATGAAAACATAAGGTGGATTGTGCACACGCTTCCAAACTCTTCAAGATTGAATCGCTCGGAATAGAAAACAAAGTAGATATAACAGAAAAAACTGAAGAAAGGCTCTTTGAATATATCTTCGTGAAAATACGAAAGATAAAAGTTCCGGATGCCAGAACTTACATGGTAACTTGATTAGACAGAACCAGCCATTTTTCTTACAAGAAATTAATTTATTACACAAAGATGAAGGCTTAATAATCATTCATGATCACTGGAAAGAGATCTAACTAACTTCTTTCCATATAGATTAGTCTATGTGTGTTAACAAGTTCATTAACAATAATTTACTCCTAAAAATTCGATACGTTGACCTTTAATTGCACTCTTAAACAATTTACTTACTACAATAAAAAATTAAATGCTGAAAGGAACAAAACGAACCAAAACAAACAAAGATCAAAGTGGGAAATGGGTCCTAGAAACTAGGGACTCCGATGAAGAACTCCATTTAAAGGAACCAACGCAGTAATAACCCAACCAGAGACAGGCCCCTCATCATCTGCATCCTCGACGTCCCTGACTTCTGAGACGCTTCTTTAGGTCCCTCTCCTTTGTTACACAGATCTTCTTCACAGCAAATGTCGCAGATAATCTTTCCGTTCTCAGCAGGCTTTGAGCAGTCGTTGGTACACTTGCCTTCAGCGCACTTCCTTGTAAACAGGTCAACAGATTTTTCCTTCGTAAATCTTTTCGTAATCTGGCAATGGTCTTCACCTGCACTGCAATTGATTTTTGTGTTATTGCCCAGTTCAGAGGGTGACGGCAACGCACAATATTCCAAAGCATCGTTATCGTCTTCACGGCTACATTGGTAGCATTGCAGGCAGGAAACTACAAATAGAAATAAACTAATTCAGGTAAAATTACTGTTTTTACAGCCAGGGTTACTTAACTTAAAAGTCGGTAATTAGGAAACTCTTATTTAAAGCAAAGTAGACAATGTGCAATAGCAGCACAGCAGCTAATCGCAGCCGTTGTCTAGTCATGTCACACAACGCTTTGCGTGACGGGAACAAAAAAAAAAAGGCTGCAAGGGAGACTATAGTAAATGTGAAGCTGCTGAGTAAACCGATAGTACTTCGGCGGAAATGAAACCCTTGCTGCCACCTTTGAACTTGTTTAGGTAAGGAAGGAGGATCAATAGAAATATAATTAAGATTTAAATAGCGGCTGTATTCTCAGAGTGGTGCCATATCCAAATCGGACTCCTCCGGAACACTCGACACCGAATGTCGAAGTCCAAACGCCGAGCACCAACTGGCGAAAGGCCAATTTTTACAGGGATGCTCTTCCCCAACCCCTTCTCCCATGGGCCACTTTTTTCAGGCAGTAGTTGCCTGAACGGCAGGGGTGTTGTTGATATTAAGAACCTAGAATCGTCATGAGGTATTTGAACGGGTGTGGCCGTTTACTACTTGCGCTTCGTCTTACGAGAGGCCTCAAAAGTAGCCAAGTTAAGGCTTTAATTGCGTTCACTTCACCAATAGATCTAACACAATCATCGGATAGAGAAGGATGCAGTGCTGTAGAAAAATTTTGGAATAAGTTTTCATCTAATGGGACTTATTAAAAGAGTTTGGAACTGTATTTGCTGAGTAAGCTCCCTTCCCTCTACCATTGTACCTAAAAGTTGTTTGCACAATCGTCTAGGGCTCGGAAAATTTCGTCTGGGGCTCGGCAACAACAATCTTTTATTCACACTCAGTTCAGGTACAAGAAGAAGTAAAAGAATTCAGAACTATGACTGATATCTGAGGGGATGATTTTTATACCGCTTTTTAAAACCACGAATAGAGAGCCGTTTCAAGTTTGTTGGTCCGTTTCCCATAATTTAGAGGCTACATATACAAAGGTAAATTTTCCAGTGTTGGTTATTACTTTTGGTCGATGAAAATTACCCCTAAGGCGTATCTGGTGTTATACTTGTGCAGGCTAGAAACTGTTCTGAGAAAATCTTTAAACAGTGAAGGAATACTGGAGGACTTGTTAAATATCTTAGGGGCGAGTACGCATGTACTCAGTTTAACAATATTATTAAATTTAAGATTATTAAAAAGTTTATAGAAAACTTGCGATGATTCTCTACTATCAGCAAAAGACATACAGCGGATGTATTTATTTTGAAGAGAGTATAACTTGTTTAGATTTTATGGATAACTATTTCCTCACACTACAACTGCATAATTTAAATAAGGGTATATCAGTGTATATTTAAGTTGCTTGAGAACATGTATACTCACGTAGTAGTGTCTTGATTTATACAGGATCCCAATATTTTTAGACATCTTGCTTTTAACGTGAGTAAATTCAAGTGTTGGTCTGTATAAACACCAAGGTACATGCAAGTCTTTTGCTCAAAATTTAAAATATTTATGAGTAACATTTTTAAGTGGTGAGGTTATTAACATGAAGTTAGTTTTTTTCATGTTAACTGATAGTTTATTGATGGAACAGTAATTTATAAATTTAGTCATTTCATAGTTCATAACTGATTCAATATCATTTATGTCATCTGAAATATAGAAAATGCTAGCATCGTCAGCAAAAAGTCCAAAGGACAATTTGTTAGATAAATTGGCAATGTCATCGATATAAATTAAAAATAATAAGGGGCCCAAATCATCTCTAATAAACTTAATTTTTCTTCTCAAATTTGAACAAATTTCTTGCAATCTTGGAGAACTTGCAAACCAATCACGCGGCTTACCACGGACACCATATTTACAGAGTTTTTCTGACATGATTTGATAATTTACTGTATCAAATGCTTTTGAGAGATCTAAGAGGAGGCCACAAGATATAAAATTACTGTCAATAGAGGCCTTCAGATTATCGGTGATCTCCATAATCGCTTGCTTAGTGGATTGGCTTTTTCTAAAGCCAAACTGGTACTTAAAAAAATACATCATGCTTATCAAGTATTTAACTAGCTGATCATAAATGACTCACCCCAAGGCCTTACTGAAGGGGATAGTGTGGCTATTGGCCGGTTATCATAAGGATCAGACAAAGCTCCACTTTTAAAAACAAGAGTTATTTTTGACACTTTAAATACATCAGGCACAATGCCAGTAGAGATTAACTTATTATAAATAAATGCAAATGACTTGGAGAGGGTCTTAGAGGCTAATCTAACCCATTTATTTGGAATATCCATTGATGATATCTTATTATTTAAGCAAGAGAAAAAGTCAGAAACCCACTCTTCTGTCACAGGAGACAGAAAAAACTATGTAAAGGAGAATGATTAATAAGCCCACATAGATCTCCAGCAGTATTATGAATAACTTTTGCCAAATTAGGGCCGACATTAATAAAATGCTGATTCAATTGCTCAGCAATATCTAATTGATTAGAGAACTCTCTGCTATCTCTTAAGATTCTAACAGGACAATTTTGGTCGGCAAATTTCGTCTAGGGCTCGGCAAATTTCGTCTGGGGCTAGGCAAATTTCTCTTGCTGCCTAAACACTGCTCTGGCCTGCTCAACAG